CCGATTAACCGTTCTGGCCATATAGTTAGATTAGGGACACACAAAACTCCAGAAACAACATCTTTTACAAGAACTGCAGTTACTCATTTATTATGAGGAGTTTTAAATACCCCAGACTTATTCAGTAAAGTGGCAGTGGTTGCCAAATAGAGATTTCCCGCCTGAAACGCTTAACCCAACTGGCAACGCTCCACATTTATCATTTTCGAGTAAGCCTTGCTACAAGCATCCTCCCACTACAAGTACACTTTGTGAGATCGGTGAAAAGGGCAAATAGGCATTTGTCGTTTCCCAATTACTGCTTTGGGATGTTTTTTTTTCTGAGACAATCAAATTGGGAAATTTGGCCGTTATCTTATTGATTCCGTTATTCTATGCTTGCTAACTGAAACAAGCTTGAACTAAGCTCCTAGGTTAGCATCCCCGGGGGATGAGGCGTGCAACCTTTAATACAGGAGGGCCAGATACAAATAACTGGGTAAAGCCGCGGTCGCCACCTTAATTTAACATATCTTATGACAGGCGTTGTTTGCTTCTCACAAGCTAGCCGTTAGGGCATTGCAATGTCATAGGTATAGATAATAAATTGGATACAGTTATAGACTTTGCAACAAAAGGGATTGGGATTACTCGCCCGTACCAGATTGAACTAAATTGAAAAACTCATTTATAAGCACGCACCCATTCAAAATTCGCACCTCTCCGCGGGTCGCACATTTTTTTATTCTGGGCCCCATTTGGCACGCGGGCCGCAGGTTGCACACTCCTGTGCTAGATGATTGCTGAACTCCTCGTGGTCGTAGGGTGTTTTACGTAACCCCGTTCGATTAAAGCTCCTTTAACCAATTAGGTTGATGCCTCTGAAACAAAACTTAGCTAACAAATCTTAAACTCGATTTGGACTGGTAGGTGGCGTAACCCCATATGGCTCTAAGTCGTGTTATCGGTTTCCCTTTCCCTTGGGATAAATGTGAAAATCATTTATTTTAACATTATATCATACGAGTGTGTTGCTACATTTGTAATACTTCATTAATTTTTGCAGCCTAATTCCGTTGAAGAATTGCTTTCTCTCATATATTCATGCATCAGCAATCAGAACGTTTACATCTTCAAAGAAACCACAAGAGACAGCTCTCAGTCATTTAATTCCAATTATGCCAAAAAACAATCGAAAGAGGCACTGAAATACAGTAAAATTCAATAATACAGAAAATATTTGATGAAGAACAATAAAATAGACAATATCTTTATTAATGATACCGATGTGCTCGCATATTTTCGCACATAAGATCGAACCTTGGATCTATTTTTGTGATAGTGACGGGTCTCAGCATTGGTTCCAAATATTTCGAATTTGGTCGATATTTTAGTTTAATATAAGTTAATGACAAACAATATTTTACCGCGCCCCTCCTTGAACCCTTTCGCGACCCACCGATTGGTTGGAACCCCCATTGAACCCTTCCGTGACCCACCAGTTGGTCTGAACTCCATTTGAACCCTTCCGTGACACCGGTTTGTTGGGACCGGTTCCATTACATTTGAACCTGTGTACATTTGAACCCACGTACATTTGAACCACGTACATCTGAACCCGCGACAATTGCACCTGCGTACTATTGCACTTATAGGATTTTTTTTGTTTTACGAATATTTGAACCCATACTAACCCTAACCCATGGGTTTTAGCACCCGTACATAGATTGAACCCGCGGATATACGCATGGGTTCAAATGTACATGGTTCAAATGTACGTGGGTTCAAATGTACGTGGGTTCAAATGTACGGTCACCGTTGGGACCACCGCCATTAAACGCTTTCGTGGCCCATCGGTTGGTTGGAAGCCCCATTGAACCTTTCCGTGACACCGGTTTGTTGGGACCGCTATTGAACCCTTTCGTGGCCCACCGCTTGGTTGGTACCTCCATTTTGAAGCGTCCATAAGTAAGGCACTAAAATACAAACCCCCTGCAATTTGTAAATATCATTCTGATACAAGTAAATGACAAACTTAGAATTTGAAGCCCCGGTGCAAACTTTAATTTAGTTGGTTTTGAAGTAAACCATGAGGCGTGCCAAATGATACTGCAGCTTAAATAATAAATTAGTTCATATCATAAAATTCGTTTTACTTATTTTTATATGTTCGAGAAAAGGGATGAACTTTAAGTAACATATTAATTAAGGGGGCCTACGTAGTCCTATAGCATCCTCACCCAGTGAATTTCTAGACCAGACCCATATTGACAAAATAACTCCAAATTTGAGTTATATATTGCAGAATTTGCGCAATCGTTTGTCACATAAAAAATTGGGTACTTCCGTAGAGTGTGTACCAGGTTAGGGTCAGGCCATAATTTTGTTCCGATTTTCCTTATTTTAGTTCTATTACGAGTTAGGGGACTGTCTGTGTGAGTCAAGTGAATATGTCAAGTCAAGCCCATGGGTTTCGGTCCTTTTACACAACTTGATGTAAAGTAGGAAAACAAAATTATTTACCCCCATATTATTACACAAACTTCTGGAGCGTTGAGTCTGGGAAATTTTACATCGGACTCCAGATCTATTACTGAAGTATATTTTGACTCAGAGGAAAGAAGGGGGCCTTCAAGGTTTAATAGTTAGTAAATACCTAAATACTTGGCAAATCTCACACTTTTGGAATATGAAATTCAGACTCTTGAACTTGAAAATACGACTCTAGTTTCAGTACCAATAAAATCATGTTAAGCCGACAGATTCCACAGCCCCGATTAAAACGCGATTTGGTTTTCAAGCGGACCTCATGTCATGAACCTATTCTATATTCCTGACAAGATTCGATCTGTTGGGGGTGGTGATTTGTAATTTATAAGAAAATTTAGTACTCCCGTAGTGTGTGTACCATGTTTGGGCATAATTTTATTCCGAATGTCTCTATTTTAGTTCTATTTCGAGATCGGGGACTGTCTGTGTTAGCCAAGTGAATATACACCCTGCGCATAGACTTCAGTCCGTTTACACAACTTGATGTAAAGTAGACGACCAAAATTAGTTACCTCCGTATTAGTACGCATACTTATCGAGCGCCCTTTAATCGAGTGAACCCGAACGTGTGCCTCCCCAAATAAACTAATAGAAATGGTATTTAATTACCGCCTTTGGCAACTTCTAACGATCGTTACAATCAATAAAGATTTTTCGCGATATGAGATCCCCAACAAATTATGCCCCCAGGGACAAAGTTTGTACTCAGATCCGCTCAAGTTATCAACTCTGGATTACAGGTAATAGATTACTTCTAGTGCCTATTGGAGTTAGCAGTTCAGTTTTATAGTAAGAACAATATTCTACTTCAGTTGAATTATCGTTTCTAAAAGAAAAGCCTCAGCTGAAAACTAATAACTCGAAGCTCAGTTAGTTTAAGTTGTTTGAGACGCCTGAGCTCAATAATGGGCGAAAAATATACCAGTACTAAAAAGTTCTGCAATCCCAATGACTTTATAGGTGGCTATACTGGGAATGAAAAATTTTGAACGTTTTTCAAAGCTATGTGCTGAGATTTTGAAGGGAAATAAAGAGTACCGAGAGAAGGATTACAAAAACCGGCCAATGTCGCGTTATGTGTTTTACATAGCTCCAATCATCTTGCTGAAAGTAATCGTAGTTGTGGAAAAAGAATAAGAATTCAGAAAAACGATCCATGGGTACGTTTCGTGTGGAGTTAAAATTGAATATACACTATATTTCTGTGGATCGTCACTTAATACTTAAATATATAATGTTCGGCAGTTCGGGTACTCGAGTTTTTTTCAATCTCAATGCTTTCTATATAGGAAGCTAATGGAAAGATCAGATTTTTGAGGTTCAGCCGCCTTTTTTTTCAAAGCAACGTTTCGAAAACGGCACGATGGAAGGGTCGCAAGCAACAGCGCGCTGAATGGTATATGTAGATACTCCTCTTTTCAGGAAGATTTTCACCAAAGCAAGGTCATGTAAACTCACTTGGAAACTGAAAAGAATGATCTCTGAGTAAAGCGACGGCCGAGTTACTGAAATACCAAGAGATATACTTCGTATTATGCTTAGATGTGAAGGAATAGCGCGTTTTGTACAATAGCTGGATGTGCGTAAAAAGTAAATTCCGCCAGTAGGAAGGTTGTATAGGCATCGTCAGTGGTGTGCAACCTCTAATACAGGAGGCAGTTCATTACATTCAAAATTTGAAAAGTAGGATGGATTCCGAACTGAATCTGGTATAAGTCTTGCGAAAAGATGAAACACAGTTTTGAAATTACCTCGCGAGAAAAGATGTCGATATAGAACAATAGTAGGCACTTATAAGAAACAATGAAGGCATGCAAATATTCTCAAACTAGCCAAGCTATAAAGCAGGGGTGTGCAACCTTTAATACAGAAGGGCCAAATACAAATAACTGGTTGAAACCGCGGGCCGAACCGTTATTTGACATAGGCTCTCTAGTAGTTGCAAGCACAAAAAATTTGGTTATCGATTTTATGACATGTGTTGTTCGCTGCGCATAATATAGATGTTAGACCATTGTAACGCCATGGGCATAGATAACAAAAAAAATAGACTCTGGTATAGGCTTGGAATTACTCACACGTACCAGATTAAACTACATTAAAAACTTGTTTCGCGGGCCGCACAATTCTTCCTTGTAGGCCGCATTTGGCCCACGGGCCTCAGGTTGGACACCCATGGGCTAGATTACAGTTATTTAACAAGGTAGCAAGTCTAAATATATAAAAATATATTAAATATATAATATGGGTATACGTCGGTGCCGGTGCTCAGATGAGCGCCGAGTTTACTAAGAAGATCGAACAAGCGTGGCGAAGACGTTTAAACGCGATAAAATATAAATAGTTTCTTTTACCTAAATTAATCAGATTTTATTTTTCTGATGAATTATTGAGTCCCACAGAACTCAGAAAAAGGGCACTACTCTTCAAAGGTGGGCAAGGTTATCGAACGGGGGGCCAAACATTTTGCCTAATTAGTCTGGCGGGCTATGTAAGTGTCACGTAAAAAGTAACTTCTAGGAACAATATTCACGGTATTACAAAGCAAAGGTGGAAAACTAAATTTAATTGCAATCTCAATTCCTTGAGCTATTTTTAGCTAAAACATCAAAATTTCAGTTTGGTTGTGGCAGCATCAGGCGGGCTAGATTGAATTGGCAAACGGACGGATTTGGCCCGCGGGTTGCATTTTTCCCATGTTCCCCTGTTCTGTGGCTCCATTTGTTTATAAGTTCTCATAGTCTATAATCGATTAATCCATTTGTTATGAAAAGAGGAAGAATTGAGCAGACCGATCCATAGATACACTTCGTACCGAATTATTACTAAATATACACTACATTTTTCTGTCTCGTTACATAGCATTTGATCACATAATGTACGGGATTCGATTTCGAGATCAACACCCGTCTAAACGACGTAAATCATACATGATATCTTTGGCATCTTTTGCTGCCTTATTTTTTCTGCTACAGACAACAACAAACGTGACTAGACGTTCCCTCGAGGATACAAGTTATTCGCGAAAGACATCGAATGATATAGCAAGCGAGAATTCTCGGTTAGAAAAGAATAAACTTGCTGACGACGGCAATATTACTCCATTCACCGACTGTCAAATAAAATTGACTTCTAAAAATCTGGATGTCGACTTTTATGAAAGAAGTATGTACACTCCTAGGGAATTACAAGAGAGAATTATAATACCGGATCGAGACTCAATAAGGTCTATAAATCAAAATCCGGTTATCCGGTTGCGTCCGGATAAATTTCTCCTCCCAATATTGGCGAATGGACCCAACAATCAAATTATTGGACTTCGAGAAGCTGCTCTTGTAGCAATAAAATTGAACCGGACTTTGGTTATTCCAAAATTTTTCAAGCATATTAGCGACAGGTTGGTGACAAATGCCTATTTTTTTGTAAAATTAACTTTTTCAGTTCAAATCAAGCTTCCGATTTTACTGTTTTCATGTAAGCCCTTTGCCTTTTATTAAGCCCACGTTTCCCGATTGAAGATGAATTTCTTCACCGGAAATAAATTCTTGTCTTTCTCGGGGCGAATTTAACTTTGTATTTGCTGAGTATTCTTTCTTATTATTAACTCACCAAGGGGGCAATAGAATGGGCACTCCAGAAGTATGTGTACCAATATTGAGGTAACTAATTTTGTTTGTCTATTTTACATCAAGTTGTGTAAAGGGACTGAAACCTATGGGTTGGGGGTATATTCAATTGGCTAACACATACGGTCCCCGAACTCGTAATAGAACTAAAATAAGGAAAATCAGAAGAAAATTATGGCTTAACCCCAACCTGGTACACACACTACGGGAGTATCATAAAATGAGTAGGCAATGCCTAATCGGAAAGATTCCGGTTCCATTCAAAAAAATTAGCTTCTTACATATGATTAGATATCGTTGGATTCGTCTACTATTATTCGAATCGAATGCCAAATAAAATACATTGTGTAATTTTTTTTCTTTTATCTTTTAAAGTCAGATTGGAAGCGGCGTCGGTACCATGACGTTCATTTATCCCGGACATCGGTTAGAAGTCAAAGATTTTTGTCGATTCATGAGTTGCATATCAATGGAAGAATTCCAACAAACATGTGGATACCAAATCGATGCTGTAATGCATCTAAGGTACGTGGTAATAATGTAAATGTACGTAAAATTTTGAGGACAAAATAAAAGGATCACAGAAGTTAAGTGGGTAGTGCGCCGGGCTCAATAAAGCAGAATATGTTGGGTTATAATGTTTAAATTTAACAATCTACAGCTAGAATTACCGCGGGGCCTATAGAAGTGCGGGTCCATCTGTGGTTACATAGATGGCGGGGGTATAAGGATCGCCCTGCATTTAAACAGTTAGATAGTTCCAGATGCATGCACTTGAATTGTGAATAAAACAGTGGCCGACTAGCGGTCGATTATTCTGCGAAAGCGATGAGTCTTTAAATTATGAGTCTATAAATCTCTATGCGAAAGAGGTAATCCGGTTTGAGAAAAATATATTATTTTTTAAATTGAGACTTAGAAAAAAAATGAAAAAAAAATCAAACATACCGTGTACCCAAGCAAAAATATACGATAAAGGTAACACCACTTTACAAGTTTTTTGTATACAGAATAAGACGCTGACTTATACATAATTTCATTATTACTATTTTTACCAATCCATAGTTTGGCTGTTTTAAATAATGTGAATCAAAATTTTGTATGATGTTGTAAGGAAATTTCACAACTTTCACCAAGAGCAAAAGATAAGCACAATATGCCACAAAGACTGCCTCATGCGAAATACCGTCCGCGTATACCTGCTTTGCGTTAATCATCAAACTGTCATGTTATATTGCAGTCGCTACAGTGAAGCCGATTTGAAGAAATTTGAGTCAATCATTGGGATGAAAATTTTAAATCAGGATATTTCAAGAGCAAAAAAATCAAACGGAGTTAAGCTCGTTCCACGGAAACCAATTGATCCTGAATTTAAATTTCGGAAATTTCGACCCGATGAGATTCCAGAGTTGTTTAGTACCAGTGTAAGTAATCAATAATGTACATGAAGTGTAAATATACAATGATACCTCGGTAGTCGAACGAATCAATATCCGAACAATTCGGTAGTCGACCAAAAAAATAGGTACTCCCGTAGTATGTGTACCGGGTTCGGTCATAATTTTATTCCGATTTTCCTTATTTCAGTTCTATTACAAATTCGGGGACTGTCTATGTTAGCCAAGTGAATATACCCTTGCCCATAGGTTTCCGTTCCTTTACACAACTTGATGTAAAGTAGGCAAACAAAATTAGTTACCTCCATATTGATATATATACTTCTGGAGCGCCAAAAATTTGAGTTAAAAATGCTACGGTACTGAGTGAGATGACTTCACCCGAACCGCGCATGTCGGCCACCTCTTGACCATTCAATAAAAAGCGATGCTCAACTATATTATGGACACGAAATCCAAAATAAAGTAGTATGACTAATTGTTTGAACGTATGCAGTAACTGATACAATTATTTTATATTTTTATTTTATTATGTACACATATTATTCATATTGTTGCTTAGGTGTTGTTTGTTAACATTTGGGTATTTTGGAATTCGTAAAAACATATTAAAATAGTTACCATTGTTTCTTATGGCAAAAAAGTTTCGGCACTCGAACTAAAATAGGTAGTCGAACACCAATCCTGAATGAATTATGTTCGACTACCGAGGTATCATTTTTCTAAGTATTTTCTGTTTTTAATTTGAAGGTTGCTATGTGTAACGTAATACGTATGTCTTACGTTCATTCCACAGTGTGACGCTTTTGCGTTGTGCGTTTGTTGTGTTGCCAATTGCTTGTCTCTTACTTCGCGTGCACTGTATCGAGATTTTCGTATCTGAGAGTTGAAGTGTTGGAGCGTTGTTAGTATTTCTTGACTGCTTATCTTGTGAATCTGTGTACTGGGCAACAGAATAGCAGAATATTGGCCAGCTTTTGAAAGTCAATTAAATTGTCGTTTTGGGAGAAAGAAGACGGTCCTTTCTACACAGTATATTACCGTCGAACGCCATTGCCTAAATATCCCGCTACGTTACATAAGATCGTATTTCTGCGTAACTGATACACCAAAACGATTTAAAATTTTCAGTGCTTAAGGATGGTTGAAGCCGCTAGAACGCTTTCAGTATTTTTATTACTTTTTTCTGAGTCATTTGAGAGGCAACATTTCATTCGAAACTTTTGCTGTTTCATTTCACTTAAATCGGAACACTTTTATACATTCCCGCTTGTCCACCGATCTTATCAGCACACTTGATGCTCACACTTGAGGCATGTACCCTCACCGATGCGTGACCTTCGTTTCCATGACACTGGCCGTTGTTCTCCTAGTATTTCAACCAAATGATACGTTAATGGTGGGATTTGTAAAACTTATTTGTTGTTACTTATTAAATGTAAAGCTTGATTTTTAAATGTACTTTCTTCGCGCAGAAAAGATGCGTTATTTATCCCAGACCCCTCTACAACCTACAATTTGCGAGACTTGACCTGAAAAACAAAGGCAAAGGACGTTTGATTTCTTCTGAGACAGGTTTGCTATTTATATTTTGGTGACGGGACTGGAATTGTCCATTCCTATTGTTTCATTTGTTTATATTATCTTGGGGTCGTGTGTGTGAGTGCGCGGAGTCAGAGTGAATAACTAAAATAAAAATTATGTTTCGTTAACTTAGAAGCGGGCCTAAAGGAGGGTCAAATGGGGCAACCTCCCCGGGCAGCAGACCGTAGGGGGCAGCAGGTACAAGCTGGCAGAGTTGGCGTTATTACACGTGTTTTTCTTGACGTGTTTTTATCCAAGAAAAAGTTGACATTACGTGTATAGTCTTGTCCTACTGTGACTAATTGTAGCAATGGCTGACTGTCCTTTCCCGCCAATATGCTCGTCTGGTCAATGCGTGATATAGAACAATATTACAAACATTTCACTCCTTCCTGACCTTTTATTTGTTCAATATCATGTATAATAACATCTTAATTTGTTTATTTTTGAAGTTAGGTATATTGGGCATCATTATCGGAAACCGGCCATGATCAGCAGAAAAGTTTGGCACGCATCTAGAGTTAACCAGGCTATGTTTACACATTTCTTGGACTGGAAACCAAACCAGAGGCTGTGCTTCCCCACATGATTAGGCGTTCCTCTCTCTCTGGGATTAACATGAAATTCCTATCCTGACTGAATCAATTTGGTCATTATATCATTCCCATTTTTAGATTTACAAACGAGCTCAGACACGAGATTATGGCTTTCATTGTCATATTATTCGAGAAGTCCTGAATATATCTCACAAATCGCGAAGTCATTTATCTCACTGGAAATGGGGAAAAAACAGTTCATTAGCGTCCATTGGAGATATAACAAGGATGATTTCATGAAAAGGTAAACCAACAGGGATGGGCAAAGTGTTTTTGCAGGGGTGCATTCGGAAAAGCTTTTTTGCCGAGGACCGCGTAAAGGGGTCACAGTTGCTGTTCCCATTCGCTATGATAGTGTCGATTTTTAATGGTGGCTGAGATTCTTGAACCGGAAAATAGCATTATTATTAAACACGTTAGTGGACATAACGATCATTTTGGTATTTTTGTTGTTGTTCTTGTTCCTTGACCTAGGTATTAAAAAGTCGCTTTTCTCTTCGATTACTTGACCAAATGCTTTGAAATTTTCTGTGGTTAAAGATGGAATTTTTTTCCCGAAGGTTGTTACTTTTTTTATTTCTAAATTTCGTATAAAATCTGGTATTTCGTTGAAGATTTCACTGTATTATTTTATCCATGGGAACACTGGCTGTCCGGTTTGATTCTGTAAATTCTTGCTACGCAAAACTCGGAAATTTTTTGAGGGTACCGGTAGCGTCAGGGGTAAAAACTGATTTGCTCTGGTTAACGTGTCCATATATTTGAACATTGCTCTCTTGGTATTTTAACAATTGATAGTCTCTAGATATTTTAAGCTGAAGTTGAAATTAAACTAACTGTTGTATTAGGTTATAGAAATTTACATTTATAGTTTATACAATTCAGACAATTAAACCAGGGGTGTGCAAACTGCGGCCCGCGTGCCAAATGCGGCCCGCAAGAAGAAGTTGTGCGGCCTGCGGAGAAATAACAATTTCGAATGGTGTACCCGCAAAACGAGTATTTATTCTTTTTTGTCGCAAAGCCCATACCAGTCATATTAACAAAACAAGGTAGCAAAATTCTGTTGCAAAATACACGATTTATATTACAAAAACGTGTTTTTCACTGCATTCGTTTAAAGTCGGTGTGACAAAAAATTTAAATAGCAGTTTCTTCAGGAGTTTATGCGTTTTAAATCTACTATTTCTGCAAGAACCCCTAATAATGCCGCAAGATCAATAGCAAATATAGGCAATTTTTGTGCTTGCAACTACCAGAAATCCTAAATTAAATAAAGGTGCGGCCCGCGGCTTCACCCAGTTACTTGTATTTGGCCCGCCAATAAAAAAGGTTGCACACCCCTGAATTAAACTATTGCACAGGAGTTCCTCGAGAGCAGTGGTTCTCAAACGGTGGGGCGTGCCCCAAATGGGGGTGGGGGCATAGACAATTCTTTGAGGGGCGCGAAGCTAATTTCAGATAAAAGTATTTTTTAGATTTGATCTTGTTCACCTCATTTTGGATATTTACATTTAATTCATTATTTACGTTCTAACCACATATTTTCAACGTGTTCTTTGAATAAGACACACTTCCGCCTTACTATAATTTGTAACTTGTTATTAGCTAGTTATTTTGGGGGTGAGTCGCTAGACTTGACAAATTCTAGAAAGAAATGCCGGCTTAAAATTTTGAAAACCGCTGCTTTCAGAATGTCTCGTTGGGGTTCCGCTTCACTACAATTGTTGGAAACCATGGTGATGAACAATAATAAACCTCTAATAATCCATTCATATCTTAAAAGCAAGTATTTATTTTCAGATGTCAAATTGATATCACCCACGCGAACGAAATGAAGCTGACTTTATGCAGAAACGCATTGCTTATCAAACCTACTGATATCGCGATGGCGATAGAAGATAAGATAATATCGCTCCGAAAAGAGGGAAAATTACAACACAACCCTCACTTGTATTTTGCTGCGCCACCTAGCGAAAGAAAAATTATAGAGGGCGTGGCGAAAATTCTTTTTGACAGACAGGTAAAAGTTATTGGGTAGTCATTTATATGATTTGACTTGGGTATTAGTTAATTCGACCATTTTTAGGTAAATCTGAGTGTTTGGAAATATTGATATAGGATCATCAACCAGTCGAGCTGGGCATTACGAATTGAATAGCAAATTGTTCGAATCAGTTCAGACAAACATATAAAATCGCCGCCATTTTTTTTTTGTTCGCCAAAGGTAGAGGTAAAATCCACAATTTATTTTTATTCAAGCCATAATTCAACAGTGCCGTCTGACATATGACTATTTTCTTCCTAGTGAGTTATCGATAAAAATTGTTTCTTATTGTGTGTGAACGTTCAGCAGATTGTCTGAGTGTCTGTGCCCATAGCAATGAAAAAGTCACATGCAATTACGGATCTCCCGAGTATTCAAGATTGGATTCGATAAAAATATTCGATTGATTCTGAAATCACCGATCGTCGGCGCACGAAAAAGCAAGATGGCGTCGAAATTTTGCATGAACCATTTCGAATAATTTACTATTCGATTCGAAATAGCCAGCCGTAGTAGTAATCAGACGATCTGTCTTATCGCGGGTTTCCTCTCTTTTTCAGATTATATTTCTAAAATTCCTTATAATTCATTGATTCAGGGCATGACGACATTTTCGTCCGTCGATGTGGAAGAGTTTATGAAGGTTCGATATAACTCATGTCCATCATTGGAAAGGCATTTCAATGATATTATGTCAACAACTGAAATGGAAATATGTACTCGGAGTCTTGTATTCTTGGGGTAAGTTTAAGCTGTGTACGGAGTCGACTCTGGATGTCACTGATTAATTAACTAATATTATGTTAAAAACCAGAATGAAAATCTGTACTCACAGTCTTGCCTTTTGGGGGTAAGTTCAAGATGTGTACAAAGTCGACTCCGGATTCACCTAATTAATTAACTAATATTATGTTAGAAATCGAATATAAATATGTACTCACAGTCTTGTATTTTGGGGATTGCTTTAGATTGTGTACGGAGTCAACTCCGGATGCTACTAAATAATTAGTTAACCAAAATAATTACAAGGGATTTAACGCTACTGAGACGCGATAGTTTAAATTAAAAACTTAGAATGATATCGCAATTAAAAATCAACAAAGACAATTTTTATAACATGAAATTATTGGAAAGTTAACGTCCTTCGGTATTTTCGATAGAAGTTTACAAAGCTCGAAGTCACGCGCACTCACTCAAATGTAAAGGTGGCTCATTTCTGAGAAAACATACGAGTAACCACTAAAATGCCGAAAGCTGCAGAAACTACATATGATTATTACGCGCCAGCAAATTCCCATTGACGCGATATTTGAAGCGATATAACTGGGAAACAGCTGTTGTGAGGCTGTGAAGGGGTTCTCGAGAAAAACATTTGGCATAAAATGGATGAGAAACGAATTATCAGTTACGATTATCAGAAAACTGCCATGACAGCTTCTCGTGTCGAATTAAATCAGCGCCGGCCTTATTACGATGATGTATTTCACTAGTGATATTATTCCAGATATTTAACGAGTGACTGAAAAACATATTGGGTAGTGGCTCCATCACTAGTCTTAAGGATACACTGACATTAAACGATGGGATCAATAAGCTAACCGAGTCCGATGGGTGAAAATTTCTCCGACGTACTGTTTTTTATTGAACACGTAGTGGACCTATGGATAGTTTTATTAATATGTTTTGGTTGTTCTTGTTCTTTGCGTTACTCCCTGTCGTTATGAAACATCGTCTTTCTCTTTAACTATTGGACCAATTGCTTTCAAATTTTCAGTGGTTAATTAAAGATTGTACTTTACGCTAGAAGGCTTTTTATTCATTCCTAAATTTTCCATGAATTCTATGAGATCTGATATTTCATCCAAAATTTCGCTGTATAAGCCTTTCCGTGCTCAAATACCAGGCCTACAGCTACAGGTACGATATTGGTAAGTTGCCGAACCGCATATGATTTTCAGGGAGATGACTACAAAATATTTTGTTTGCCATACGTGTCCATTTATTTGAGCATTGCCCCTCTATTAGTATTATTTTAATCACATGTTCGAATACAATTTTATAGGTCCGTCCGTTCTTCTTGGACGGATAATGTCAAAAGTATGAGGTTGACGTCACAATTTCAAATGGCGTTGCCAGAATTCGACGGTGATATATTTTTATCTTCTGTGGAAATGAGAGAGAAAAGAACTAAACGATTGATGAAGAAACAACGAGATATGTCTTGACATGGATATGGAACTTATTAATTCCTCGTTTCGGCATCGCCTTTCATGCAAGACCCTCTTTGAACGGCAACGAGGCAAGGCTGTATGAGCGCCATCTGATATGGCTTCGTTCGCGCGATTTAACAAATTTTCAAAAACAAACTTTTTTTGACTAGTAAAAATAGACACATAAAATTGGAAATGAAATTTCAATGCATTTAGGGTTCAAAAATTTTGCTCTTGAGAAGGAATTTGTATTCGTCGTAGTATTGCTAATTTTATTATTATTATCATAATACTCATTTATACACACGGTATATATAAACTATTTACACTAGAGTGAAGGTGGAATAATGATCAATTGAAGATTGTATGATTGATGTACTTTTTATGCACAGCGAGGAGTAATTAAAAATAGTCCCGCACTATGTGTACCAGGTTAGGGTTAGGCCATAATTTTATTCCGATTTTTCTTATTTTTATTCTATTACGAGTTCTATTACGGTACTGTCTGAGTTAGCCAAGTGAATATATCACCTGCCAATAGGTTTCAGTCCCCTTATACAACTTGATGTAAATAAGCGAACAAAATTAGTTACCTCTATGTTGGTACACACACTTCTGGAGCGCCGCATAAAACGCTCCGGAATAATCAATAAATTCAACGACAAAAGTTGGAAATCACTAAGTTAGACAATGCTGATTCCGATCCTTCCAAAAATATTAGCTTCTCAAGGATCAGTATTTGCTTATACATGGCCTTGTTCAAATCAAAATATGTGAACAAGTGTCGTATCGAGCTACAGAGTGTTGAAAAAGTAACACGAATGCTATTTAAAACATTTAACGACTGACACTCTTTAACAGTATTGAATTACGGTGAAATGCCATTTAAACATTCCTCGACTGACGCTTTTTAACAGCTACTTTGCCCTGACGAACAATTTTACCTTAATTTTGCGTAACTTTTTTACCACCCTGTATATTTATTATTTATACATAACGGCCTTGTCTTAAAATAACACACAATTTTTGAATAATAAGCTTTGCCGCCAAAGATATTTCTATTCTTCTTACGGGTTTATCTGTTTGTCAGGTTACCACTCTATGTCCGAAGCATCATTATGTATCAGCAAATATGCTAGAAAATATTTGCGCAGGTCATACCAGCCACGTCAACAGAGCCTGCCTTGATTAATTAGTACTGTTTCTCGGACGACATTTTTACTTTTCTATTTAATATTTTGTCTATTTTATATAAATGTGTATCTATTATATATTTAATAATAAAAAGATTAAACGCTGGTCTGTAATGTTTATCTCGAGTGAGGCAGTTACGGGATTCGAAATTTCAATAATCGGTTACATCTGGTTACTTCATTTCAAAAAAACATGCGGAACTAAAACAGACAAGAACGAGTTCGATGATTATGACGACATTTAAAGAACGGGTTCAATGATTATGACGACATTCAAAGAAAGGGTTCGCGAATTTTCATTTTATTTTCCTAATTAAAGTCTATTACAAAAACTCTATGTAATGCTTTATTGCATATATGATACACTCTTATTCTTACCATTTGGCAATGATATGTTGATTAGGAAGTTGTTAAAAGAGAAGTTCTGATTTCGGTAATGGGGGGTAAATACACAAAAGGGTAGTCCTGTAGTATGTGTACCAGGTTAGGGTTAGGCCATAATTGTATTCTGATTTTCCTCATTTCATTTTTTTTACGAGTTTGGGACTATCTGTGTTAGCCAAGTAAATATATCCCCTGCCCATAGGTTTCAGTCCCTTTACACAACTTGATGTAAAATAGGCGAACAAAATTAGTTACCTCCATATTGGTAAACATCACTTCTGATGCGACTGATGCCTCTTATCGGCTAAATCCAGCTCCCCGTGCCAGACAGCATATTTGTAATTTAGTAATTACAACTGTACACTTTTGCCCTTGAGCGTCGGTGCGTTGTAAATGAACTGTTTAATACTTCGGCTTATTCGAGAGGTAATACGTGTTTTATTTACTTTCACTTCGTATAGCTTAGTATAAGGTCAGGTTACAAAGTTATTTCAGGTATTTTAAACAGTCGGGTTAGGTGTAGTGATGTTCAGATTCGGATTCAAATAGAAGTGGCGTCGATTAGGTTTTGCATATTGCAGTGGCCAACAACCTTTTTTGATAAATCAGAGCAGTCAGCTTATGTTACATTCCTCGGTAATGCGGTAATGGATGTTTCTTGATCTTCTGTCTGTGGACTGAGAGCTTCGAATCAAATATCGAATCGAACATTAAATTATTCAAATCAGTTCAGAAGGCAATTTTGAATTGCCGTCATTTCGTTTTTTCTGTGCGCCCACAGGTCGAAATGAAAATCTCTTTTTTTCATTAAAATCATATTTTGTTCTGACTCATCACTTTTTCTGAGTTACAAAGTCAGTTTTAGGTTTTCATTTGTAAGGATGCCTTATGTACATTTTGAACTTAGGATGTCAGAACCTATTACAAAAGTGCGATTTTCGGAAAATCATAAAATTTGAAGATAATTCCGTTCCACTGGGGTGATATATTTCGTCATCGCATATTCTCAAACTCTTCTTTTTTGCGCAGTAAGATTGAAACTCTGTTGCTTTCTCTTGTTAAATACACAGAATGGTCGCTGGAAAAGCAGAAAATTTAGTGGTCAGATGAGATCACGAATAAAATGCGTGCCTCTATACTCATTTCTTTTTCAATGCGTTTTTATTTTTTTTAGGTTCTAGGTTGTGTTAGGTTGATACGTTTTAGGTTCTATTTGATTTCTGTAATATTCTGTTTTAAAAAACTTTGTAAAAGGTATTCTTTGTAATAATAAATAGGTGTTTGACAAATTTTCTCTAATGAGCCCCCTGTATAATGCATCATTAGATAGTGATAAGGGCAGATCGCACTCTAGTTTTTGTAAACATTGGATAATTTCAGGAATCACCAGTCTTTCCGAAGCCGAGGGCTACTTTCCTACTTTTCCGATTAATATATGGAATGTCTCTCCACATTGTGCTCGCTACGACACACGCAAGCTGTTTTGACGGTAAAAAAAAACTCCACTTCTTATTCCTTGCTAAAATGGTACGTTTTCTTTCTTTTCTTCTGCCAACTTGCTTGTTATTTCTGCTCCACAAACCAACGGACTTGAAATAACGCGAGTTATTAGCAGGACTAAGATCAATTGATGCAGCTTACTTATAAGCGCCGTTATTGAGCCCTTTTTTGGAACAGACCCCTGGTTTATATATTGTGTGTACGAGTATGTATTACAATAATACTAAATATTGGGTTATTGCTAGATTAGCAGAAAGTTTGAAGGTCAGATGAGATTACGAATGAAATGCGTATAGGTATAGGTTGAATCGGAACGATTTCTCACAAGTTAACATGAGCTTAGACGACATTTTAACCATCTATGAGTGTAATATAGCATATATGCCTTTATAATTTGTAAAATTAAATACGGTAGCTATTTGACAAGTTTTTGGTTTTTCTAGCGATCACCCTGTATATTGGTAATACCACAAAATACGAAGTAAAATTCCCGGCGCTCCAGAAGTGTGTGTACCAATATGGAGGTAACTAATATTTGTTCGCCTATTTTACATCAATTTGTGTAAAGGGATTGAAATCTTTGGGCAGCGGGTATGATCACTTGACCACTTCATGGTTGGGAAACGCTGGCCCCATAAAATATGGCCGCTTTTATAGGTTATTTCTCATCTACAACACGCATTGGTTCTCGTCCGACAATGGTCAAGAATGTTTCCTCTATTTTTGCGAAGCATCATTTATCTACATCCCCCCGGGAACCCGTCCGTGTGCGGTGTGATGACTATTGAAGATAATCTCTAGAAATATATATTAGTCATATAATTCGGAAAAATAATACGGTGCTCACCGACAATAACGGTAGTTCCGTAAAAAAAAATTCCGATCTTTTTAATTAGATATTAGAACCTGGGGTTTCACTGGTCGATAACCAGCTTTGGTTCCTCGCGACTTCTCTTCCTAAGTAAAATTGTTCGATTATCTCTCTTCTTCTGGATGTTTGTATGCGATTATTTTTTGCTGATTGGATAAAATAAACTTGACTTGATTTAAATACTGTTTTCAGATACTTATTCGATATCAGAAATGGGTCAAAATAGGCTATGTCTTAGGGCGTCACAAGGTGTGGTGATAGGAGTCGTTTTAGCGACGTTTTATGTGTGTACGATGTACTCCGGAAAAATAAATACAACCCTGACATCGGCTTTGAAGGATAGTTCTATTATTATGCAAAAATCAATCAAACGGAAAAATTCAGAGATTGAAATCAATGGAAATATTGATAAATGCAAATTAAAATGGAAAAACTCGAAAGTCAACAAAACAGCTTATGAAACTCTTTACGACATCGCTGCAATTCATCGAAAAAACTATTTGACCTTGCCAAAATCGGTGGAACCATTATATCCGGATCCGGCTATCCGATTGAATCCGGATAAATTTTTACTCCCTATTCCATATAACGGTCCGAATAATCAAATAACCGGAGTAAGAGAAGCAACGTTTGTCGCAATAAAACTCAACAGAACAATGGTTATTACCAAGGTTCTTCAACACTTTTCAGATCAGGTTGGTCTTACTTTATTATGTTAACCCGATAGCAAAGAGAGAGAGAGAGAGAGAGAGAGATAGAGATTTATTGATTTGTCAACCAAAACAAATATAAATATGAAAGCATACACACGAATAAATAAACAATTTTTTGGTAAAGACTTGAGGTAGAGATACGACCATACGGTCATCTAAGTTAGTTCCCTCCCAAATTCACTGTTATTCATAGGATTCACAGTTATTAGATGACTACGATTATGTGTGTAAAGGCTAATTATAGTAGTGTTATACACTTATATTACTTTTAAAAAAAGAATAATCGTTCGTCTCTTTGTTAATCGGTTGATCGAAACAATGAAATTGGAAATATTTCACACTGAAATTATTCAATAATGATAGCACAATCGTTATTCGACCGCTGTAACTAACTTACTAATCCATGTTTGCAACATTCATAAATTTCTGGACACGAAATGGACTATGTATCGTTTTGTAGTGTTTTGTCTTTGTGGACCTATGTATGTTGTTGTTGTTGTCTCTTCAGCACTCGACCAATTGCTTCAAATTTTTGGTGGTTAAAGTATTATTGTTGTCTTTAGAAAGCTATATTCTATTTTATTTCAAAATTTCTATGGGCACGCTTCATGGTATTCGTTTTTAATTTAAAGTTTTGTGTGATGACGTCAACAAAATTAAAAAAAGCGCACCATGTGGCGGTTATGCAATTGTACACAGCGATATGTGGTCTGACTACCGGTAATGCAAATGGTTGATACCGGTACGACATTGTTTGGGCTTTCGTGTCCACAAATTTGAGCATTATTTCTTGTTACTTTTCTTTTAGTTCGGTGGAGGGACACAAGACAGAATATATATTCCTGGACATCGGTTAGACATTGAGAAATATTGTAGATTTATCTCCTGCGTCACAATCGAACAATTTCAAGAAGCCTGTGGCCGTCAACTTGATGCTATGGTCCATTTACAGTAAGATTACTACTAATTACCTCTCATATACTAAAATACAAGTTGCCGAAAGTTAGATCCGACTCCGGAACTAACCCCGGGCCATATGGAAAACCGACTCCGTGTTTGAAAATATTTTAATTTCAGCTCTAGCTGACAAAAAATTGACTTCGACCCAACCTTAAAAATCGAAACAAAAAACAATTTGCGTTGAAAAAAAGTGTAGGACTTGAAAGTCTTTTATAATTTTATTATAAATTTTGACTTCTGGTTTATAGCTAGACCTATTGGCCTCACTGATGACCACTCAGTGAACATAATAGCGTGAATGGGAGAGTTGAATTTGCTGACCGTCTGGTCGTATCACTCTCTCCTGTTCATACCAAACTAATTTATTACATGTTATTACTTTTATTATTACGATGACTGTTATTTTGGTTTGGTTCACGAAAAAATAAAGTCTCTCTCTCTCTCTCTTTCTCTCAGTTTATAAATTGAACAAACTTTTGCGCACCTGAAATATGTAAAAATAGGGCACGGCCTATCGGGCTACGCGCAAGAAACTATTTGCCATCGTACCATCAATCGCACTGCGAGTTTACAATCATGAATCCAGGGGAAATGGTTCGGCTTTTCTTTGAGTAATGTAACCTAGAAGGATTGGAGACAGGAACCTTTTCCTTATATGGCCGGCAATATTACATCATTATGCGTTTGCTTGCATCGTATTAAACCCTTGTATTCGAAAGTCTCTAATTAAGCAAGAATACCATTTTGTGTCCAAGTTTCTCTTACCATTGTAAATCGTGCCCTGAGGTTGAAACAAGCTTATTTATGTTGTAATAGAGTTTTCATATTTTCGCTTACCGCAGCTCTATACCGTTGGTGGAGTACGACCCCTATACCTGAAATTCTAACAGCACTTTTATTTTTACAGGAGAAGCAAAAAATCAGATATTAGACAATGGGAGAGTTATTCGGGAATGAAGTTTTTATCAAAGGTCAAAAATCAACACCCCGGAAATGACCCGGAAAATATCAATGTCAATGTTATTCCAGATTTTCCAATCCCTGGTGGCGGGAAATTCCGGAAGTTCAAACCCGATGAAATAAAGACTTTGTTGAACTCAGATGTGAGTACGATTTCACAAATACTTTGACTTACTTTCTCAATGGCTAAAACCATTCCAGTTCTAGACGAAAGGCTTGAATAATCGCGGTATAAAAAGGGGCGCGGAAGAAGGAATACTAAATGCTGCGAGATGCGTTTATTGCTTCGAAGCCATATTTTAAACAATTTATTTGAGGATTGGAACATAAATTATTAAAACATAATTTTTGTACTTTTCTGTTAATTTAGCGAGAGCATTCTGATAATCGTCGAATATTTTTTACGATTTCTATACTTGGGGGTTGTCTATGGGTATGGGGCATAGAGATAGCTGCACTGAGCAGCACGTTATAGGGGTGATTTTGGTGCTTAGTTTGATGATTTACTTATTATTATTACAGACATTTCACTCTAAATTGATATTTACTGCATTCATTCTCATTTATAACAACATCTATAATTTGTTTAACCCCCGAATTATTTTTGAAGTTAGGTATAAGAGACATCATTATCAGAAAATTGCCCAAGAAGAAGAAATGTTTGGCACGCCCCTATCCATGGGTCCCACTTGAAATTAGTGCGTCGCAACACACAGTGTGAAAATAGATGAAATATTATATTGCTCGGCCCGGCGGTGTGGCGCATCGTGCGTTAGGCGTTTGTAATAAGCTCGCCACCGCACCTCTGATTACCCTGCGTGGGTTCGCAGGTTCGAATCCCATGTGGGGATAGTCATGTGCGAGAAGATTGCTGGACTCCTCGCCGCCGTAAAGTGTGTTCATGTAAACGCTGGTCGGTTACGGCTTCCTCAACCATCAAGTCCATGCCTCCGAAAACAAACAACTGGCTAACTAATTCCATACCCGACATGATCTGATAACTGGACGAGGGGCCGTGGTTCGCCATATGATTTGGCCGTATTATCGGCTTTCCTTACCCTGGGATAAATCTTATCATATTCTTATCTTGTTGCAGGCAAGATGTGTTCTTTATCCCAAATCCTTATACAACCTCAATATATCAGAATCTCAAGACGACAACCTGAATCATGTGGAACTGGTGACCAATCAAAAAGGTAAAATCACATTGCATACATTTTACATTTATTGTAAAATAGTTACATTATCGAAACACAGACACCGTCTCCAACTCACAATGTTGAGGAGCGTTAAAAATCCTGACATTTTGAAGTCTTTGAGGCATTGTGCCGTTTTTATTTTTCTCTGAAATGTACCCAATTTGTTCGCCTAATAATGCGCGCTCGCGCTTTGTTCGACAACCAGTATTGGGTTTTCAACGCTCCAGACGTGTGTGTACCAGTATGGAGGTAACAAATTTTGTTCGCCTACTTTACATCAAGTTGTGTAAGGGGATTGAAACCTATGGGCAGGGGATATATTCACTTGGCTAACTCAGACAGTCCCCATACTCGTAATAGAACTGAAAAAGAAAAATTAATAAAATTATGCCCCAACCCTATAACCTGGTACACACACTACGATAGTACCGTTTTTTTCTCATCTCCCTTCGCACTGAAATGCTATTCTCATTTTCTCTACACTGTATATATATATATATATATATGTGCGTTACGTAGTTTTAGCTTTGGTGGAAAAATAAATATCTGATTACAGCTTGCTGATATGTAATGGGACCTCCTAAAGTATGTGCACTAAGATGGCGCACAACCTGAAATCAGGTTGTGCACAAGGTTAGAGTTCAAGTTGTGCGACATCTTGGTGCGCATACTTCAGGAGTACCATGTAATGAATACTCAACTCCCAGCAAAGTATTTGTCAACCACTGTAATGCTCAAATCTACTAAAATCAAAAAGTGGCACAATTGCGTATTGCATATCAGTAAAAGTTGAAGAGCATATTTTTATACATTTTCAACTATATCAAAAAACGTTTAAAACGTACAGAATTTAAATTAAAACGTGTTGCACCTCATCTAATAGTAATTTTCCCGTTTATTTCACAGACATTGGCAGATTCACCGACTACCAGTTGTATCTATCGATATCAGAGGCTTCAGGAAGTCCGGAATACATCAAAAATATTGCTGGGGAATTTGTCTCGAGTAAACTGAAAAGTCGCCCTTTTGTCAGCGTTCATTGGAGATTTAATAAAAGAGATTTCATGACAAGGTAGGTTGTTCAATTACCATAATCGCCTAACACCTTACATGAGGTTCTTTGCCACTCGACCAAGATTGAATATACTCATTGGTATTTAATGACTTGCCTTAGGGGAATTTTTTCCTCGTCAATTTGACCTAACTAAATTAGGCGCTCCAGAAGTATGTGTACCAATACGGAGGGGACTAATTTTGTTCGCCTGTTTTACATCAAGTTATATAAAGGGACTGAAACCTAGAGGATATATTCACTTGGCTAACACAGACAGTACCCGAACTTGTAATAGAACTAAAATAAGGAAAATCGGAAAAAAATTAAGGCCTAACCTTTACCTGGTGCACATACTATGTTCCGCTGTTTGCCATCTTGGTACACATACTACGGGAGTACCCAATCCCAGGCGTATACATCCGAACTTCTATATCCACATACCTTTTGTGTTCTTTGGACTTTGAAACTAGAAGTGAAAATATTGCAAAGAGATGCGAGAGAAGTGAGGGTTAATTTTACTTTTGAAATTTCCCAAGAGGCAACTGATAAAATGAAAGTTGGCTAATATTATTATACCGTCAACTGTATTACCCTCAAATCAAGAACTAACGACAACCATTGTAACTCGGCGCTTTAACATAACTGAATTAGGCGCTCCAGAAGTGTGTGTACCAATATGGAGGTAACTAATTTTGATCGCATACTTTACATCAAGTGGTGTTAGGGGACTGAAATCTATGGGCAGGGGGTATATTCACTTGGCTAACACAGACAGTCCCGAACTCGTAACAGAATTAAAATACTCTCATTTCAATCGGCAAGCTTAAGGAAATCGGAATAAACTTATGGCATAACCCCAATCCGTATATGACCCCGTAAACACTTCGCCAATAGTTTGTGGTTGGGTCAACTATGCGAACTCTAATCCAGAACTTCTCAAACTGTAAGCCATGACGCATTAGTGTGCTGTGAAAGGTATCTCAAGTTTGAGCGATATCTTATGATTCGTCAAAAGAATTAAAACCGTTTGATCTGTATTGCATTGTGTGTAAATCTAACATTAATGTATTAAATTTCAAATTCATTTTCATAATGAATGACGGGAGTATTAATTATTTCGGGATCGTTTTGGAAAATGTAAGCTTGCATCTTCATAATGTCACTACCAAATCCATCATTTCTTAACGTCATACTGTAACGAATAGAAGTCGAGAAGTATGTGTACCACAGCAAAATTCAGACTCAAAAATGTGGTGTAGGGGACACAAAAATGGTTGAAATGCAATGCTTCAAGGTTGAAAATATTGCATTTTTGCCTAATACAAAATTTTGCCACTTTTTTAGGTGTCGTGACTCCCCAAAGAGCGATACCTTTAAAAAGATGCTTTGCAAGAATGTGATGCGCATAAAACCTGGGGATATAGCACAGACTATTGAAAAGAATATTTCAGACCTGAGACGAAATCATTTGAATATAAAAGATATTTACATCGCTTCACCGCCAAGCGAGAGATCGGTGGTGGCCGGAGTCGCAAAATTGCTATACGATAAGCACGTGAGCTTTTATTTGAACTTTAACAGTAGCATTGTTTGATTTTCTATGGCCTATTTTATATGTCTTTTAATGCGAACACGGCTCTATTCAAGTGTACTCTGCTGGATGAGGGCCTAATATAGATTGGAAGTAAATATATAACGTCTTCACCCGGCAGAGTACGTTTGTATAGAATACCAACAACAACATAACAAGAATATCGGTTAGAGACCGATGACTTATCGATCGAAAGTGCATCCCAAAACAGCGCTCTTACTCCATAGTGACACCTTGTGTCCTATCACTAATTAATTAATAACTAGCTAATTATACGAAATTCATCAAAAATCAATGGGCGTCTGGTCCAACATATGATGAGTGCACTTGCAAAATTTGGAGCAGATTCAATCTCGCTTTCGTGAGATATCGCGTGCATCTAACAGACAGACAGACAAATACCTATCAACATACTTACCGATTAAAATCGATAAGTAATAACAACAAATGGATCCATCGGTACATTTCGTTTCCAATAATTAGAATAATCGTCTATACAATCGTAGGTTCCCACTGCGGCCGCATAGGTTGAGGTGGGCTAACATAAGCTTTCAATTTATTTTCTTAAATGCATGTGTACTTATTATATTACAAAGATTTGTTTCAACTTGGATTAAAACGTACCGTGTATAAGGAACGAGCCTTTTAGGTAGGCTTACCGTATATCTGGAACAAAAAAAAAACGGGACAGTGGGGAAAGGATAAACCTTTGTTCGAACCGGAAAAACCGGGACTGTCCAGGCTAAACCGGGACGTATGGTAAGCCTCTTTTGAGTGGTTTGTTAAAAGGATTAGCCATAATTAAGTCCGTGCAATTTAGAATCAAGGAACCGGAAAGGTTCGACATTACCTACCCATCACACCCTTCATGCGAGATGGGCATGGGATTTCAACCGAGAATTGTAACCTGTGATGTCAGCAAATTGAGATCCAATACTTTTTAACCACATGATCATCAAGTCAGTAAATGAAATATTAAAAAAACTTCTTTGAGTATTGCAATTGTGAAGTCCTCTAGTTGTGGCGAAAAGCCTTTTTGTCAACAACAACAATCACTCTAATAACAACATCAACAAGAATTAAGTAAAACGGTTCGAAAGGTACATGTTCAAATAAGTTCTGAGCAATGCTCAAACCCAAGCTACCAATTAGATGTTGACACTGAAGATTGTATAGCGACAACTAGGTCCGGGTCGACCGCTAATTGGTCTAGTGACGTGTTTTGATTTTTGGGGCGTTTTCTGGATTTCCGTTTGACCGGGGGATCTCTTGCGGATCGCATCTCAACTGTAAATATAAGCATCTGTCTCAAACTAGGTTAAGTCTTTTGTTGTCATACTAACTTTCACTGGAACTTTTAATATCGATTTTACCGTTATTGTTTGGACTAAAATATAATAAACAACCAAGATTTTTTACGTTTTTTAATTACTAATAACTTGGAAAGGGACAGTTGAAAGGAAGCGCAGTCTTAGCACGCGCATAGTCTAGGCTAGGGAACAATATCAACGAATCCTAAAATCAAAAAAGGAAAGTCATTGACCATCTGATTGCAGTAACTAATTTACTTGGTATTGTTTCTATACAGGGTTGGTTGACATTTTCGTCTCTCGATTTGGATGAATTCATGAAGGCAAAGTACGATTCATGTGAAATATTAAAGTTACATTTTGAAGACATTGTTTCGACAACTGAGATGGAGATCTGTGGACTTGGGTCCGCTTTTCTCGGGTAAGTTTGTTAAGATTTTGTTATAGACACGAACGACTCAATTCTTGACATGACTCTAGTCAATTTTCTGATTTTACCTTTTTTAGTTCTATTACGAGTTCGGGGGCTGTCTGTGTTAGCCAAGTGATTATACTCCATGCCCATAGGTTTCAGAACCTTTACACAACTTGATGTGAACAGGGGGAAAAATATTAGTTACCTCCATACTGGTACACACACTTCTTGTGCGCCAATTATACTATCCAATTTTTTGGACTATTCCTAAAAAAATGTTCACTCAATCCAAAATCAACAACAAAGACAAAACTCTGCAAAAAAATTTGATTTATCAAATACTTTTCATTTTTTCAGTTCTGCTCGCTCCACGTGGACTAATAGTGTCAATCTTGCTCGAAGTACGTCCACAGACGCGAACATACGACCAGAATTCGACGGGGATATATTCATGCTATCAATTTCAACAACATAGAGAATGTAAAAGAAGATTGAGAACGCAAAGATGGTGAAGAAAGAGGGAGAGATAGCAAGGGAATGAAGAACTAATCGATAATTTAATCTCGCACATAAGAACCAAAGATATTGCCCAGCAATTAGTCTTGTTGACTGAATTACACCGAAGTTCAAAATTTTCGATTCCAAACCTTATGTCAGTCACCAGATCTAGGGTGTCATAAAGAGAGTTGGCCAGGGTGGTCCAAGGTTGCGAGATTGAAGGATTGATTTTTTTGAGAAGTTATTGCGGGTCGCAGTCGGAAAACCCCAAAAGTGATCAAAAGACTGCGAGTTTATTTACTTGAATAAATTGCTCTTTTCTTGCTTTTGGTTACTCACATGGCTCACGCATGAGAATAGAACTAAAAAATTTACGAAACTAAAGTCACAAAACGTCTTTCCAGATAAGGAGTTGCTTGAAACGAGTTTAAGGTGCTAAGTTGATATGAAAAGCGGGATTAATCTCATCGGCCAGGCCCCATCTTCGCAAGACCTAGGTTTGTACAAAGCGTTTTAACTTTTGGGCGAAATCATACACAAACATAAGTCCAAGTGTTATCATCATTATTATACACACCCTGTATAATACATAACGTAAATATTTATTTATTTGAAAAAGAGGGTGAATTCACGATAAAAAAAAATATGAATTTACAAATTGTTTATTGTTTGCTTGAATTTACTATTTATTTTTTTTTTCGTTATTTCGTAAACGTATTTTATATTACAGCTATAAAATGGATATAATACTGTGCAACTTTCAAAATTACAATACATATTGAGCAAAATATAGAAAAAACTGTTTAAGCTGGTTGGCCAGAAATACTTAGAATAAATGCAGTGCTCGTTGAACAACTAGTAATCACCCCCTAACAATTTAATATGAGGCCCAGTTGGACGGTAAGCAGAATCAAATAAAAATGCTTGTCATCTTAGATAAACATCTGAATCAACTCAAAAAAAAAAATTTGAATCAATTTAAATAAATAAAGCACTTAATTTGTAGATAAAGGATGCAAAGTTGAAAGCAAACTTTTATGATGCCTGGATGTATTGGGGACGAACTGGAGTCGTATTTTTATACTTTTCTGAAATCAGTATTGAAGTTTTTAAATTTATAAAAACTTGGGACATAAAATATAATTTGATCAGAAAAAGCTATTGTACTTAAATTTTGTTACCCTGAAGTCCAGAGTCGTAGTTGGAGTCGTGGTTCCAAATAGCTAGGGGTCAGGAGTCAGACAGGATAAAAAATTCCTCTTCATCGACCCGCACAAATCAATAATCAATCACTGTTATTACTGATGAAATATTTTCGTTATTGCATTAGGTTTATAATAGTTGACTTTGTTTTGTAACAATAAATCTCTCCTCCAAATTCCACGGACTTGATTATGGCCAAATCGCCTGAAAAGCTCGAGTCTTATTTTACAGGATATAGAAGAATATAGACGCAATAGACATTCCTCCATGTGTGGCGTCTTAGAACAAAAAGAAACAAATCTTTGCACTATTATAGGCACATGAGCTTTTTGATAAAATATATTTCCTGTTGAACAAATATTTTGTTATAGCTTTCGCGTCTATATATTTGAGAATTCCTCTCCTCCCTCTAAATTTGACCATTATAATTATATACAAGTCAGTGTATTTATTCTGTACACGCTCGTAAAATAAAGATACCTTTATTAATCGGTACTCCTGTAGTATGTGAACCAAGATGGCGGACACCGAAGCGTAATATGTGTACCAGGTTAGGGTTAGGCCATAATTTTATTCCAATTTTCCTTATTTTAGTTCTACTACGAGTTTGGCGACTAGCCAAGTGACTCCCGTAGTATTTGTACCTAAAATTATGGCCTAACCTGGTACACATACTATGTTCCGTTGTCCGCCATCCTGGGTCACATACTTCTTGAGCGCCCCTGAATCTTGGTATAGTTCAGGCTGGTTCAAACTTAGGCCCGCGGGCCACATGTCGCCCGCAACTTCATTATCTGTGGCCCGCGTCGCATTCGGAGAAGAATAAAAAAAAAATCGCATTTTTTGTTTTTTCGTCATAAAATTAACCAAAAAATCTTTGGGCATATTGTTGCATCACTAATGTCACTGAATTGACTAGTGTTATGACTTACTGAGGCAACTGGCGAAGGTAAATGAGCGAAGTTCTTGGCACTATTGTGGCCCGCGAACAATGCAAAAGTAATTTTGTGGCCCGCGGAGCTGCCAATCCTGGACCACCCTGGTATAGTTCATAGTTGAATAGTCGCATAGGCACCAACATCACTACGCCTGTCCTGAGGAAAAATAAATTTTACGTGGCTAGTGACTTGCTGATTGCGTCTTGGCTTTGAACAAGGTTTTATCTCGAAGTCCCTTACGTCTATAAATCCATTTTAGCCTGTCATATAACACATTTATTGCACTTTGTTTTTGAGATAGAAAGAAAGAAGAAGCTGTACTGCGTAAAACACGTAAAATGGGAGTAGTCATAAGATAACTGCTGGACTGGGAAAAGCCGATAAGACGACTTAATCATATGACGAACCACGGCCTCTTGTCTTGCTTGCAGTCTATGTAACATATGAGAATAGTTTAGCAGTTATGTGTTTTCAAATGCAGGGACTTGATAATAAAGGTTGCATGAGTCACCATAAGACACGGTGGCTCTCAACGTGTGGTATGCGAAGCATTTTAAGTGGTTCGCGAGCGGCTTGGAATTATTGCAACAATGAAGCTTTAGTTGACAAAAATAGGCCTGCAACGCTTTCCCTTTATTTTCCATACTGTATGTATTCGCTGAACGGCGTTTATAGTGCTACCAAACTTATTTTAAGAGATCGCCCTTGTCCGTTTTGCGTGTTACGTCACAAATGTTGTTGTGCCACATAAAATCCCCCCATACAGCCATTTCTTGTGCCATTGTTCCCGACTCTCAAAAAAGGGTATTTGTAAGTCGTACGCGGTCAGTAAGTGGTTGAGAACAGCTGCCCCAAGACTTACGCACATAACTGTAATATTGTTACTGACAAGGAACCAAAATCTCGATCCTATGCTGCCAACACAGTTTAGTGCTCAGCATTGAGGTCATTTTGCCAAATTCCCTTTATTTTTCTTCTATTTGGTCATTTTTTTGCTTTTTTGCGCCATATCCCGATTCATAATATTTTCATTCTCCATTAGCATTCCCTGCATAGCTGAAACTGACATTGAAAATATGTCTCCATCAGACCCAGGTCGAAGGCCTAGGTTTGAAGATGTTCTCCGAGCAAGTTGGACGCTAGTTGTCCATGATGAACGGGCAGATCTAAAAACAAAAAAAATTTGAGTGAACATTGCATTGTGATTAAAAAGTTGTCTCCCGCGCAATACATGTTGTTACACTCTCCGTACGAAGAGTCAATCCTAGTAACGACATACCGCAAAAGACGGGATACATGCATGTTTGAAATGTGAATTCTAAATGTTGCCATGCGGTAAACGATAGAATAAACGCTGAAGACCCCCGACATAATATATGTCTATACATACTAACGAACTAAAAGTCAAAGCTACAAATTGATTTCCTATTCATTTTGTAACACGTATGTAAATACAAGAAGCCTTTGTAAATTATTACCATATTTCTGGAAAATTGGTTGCAATGTTATTAGTGGCAATGAGACTCAGTCAGGCTCGACCTGTAAACGAAACTGCTGCGATTCGATGCTTCCAAAGTATGTGTACTAGGATGGCGCACAACCTGAACATAGTATGTGTACCGGGTTAGCTTTATCAGGTTGTGCGCCATCTCGGTATACATACTTCGACTACAGATGATGACGTGAATTTTAAAATTTACTAAAAATCAAGACTTGAATGATCCATGACTCGATTCGACTCTTATCTTGGGGGGCACCAAGATGGTGCACAACCCGAACATAGTATGTGTACCAGGTTAGATTTATCAGGTTGTGCGCCATTTTGGTACAGATACTTCGAGAGCGCCAGCGATTCGACTACAGCTGATGACGTGATTTTTCAAAATTTACTAGAAATCAAGACTTGAATGATCCATGGATCGATTCGACTCGTATCTTGGCATCTGGGACTTGAGGTGCACCAAGATGGTGCATAACCTGAACATAGTATGTGTGCCAGCTTAGGGTTCAGGTTATGCGTCATCTTGGTACGAATACTTCCGTAGCGCTGGGGCCCGGGACTTGTACATAGCACTGCGCCAAAATCAGTGCACAAGCCATACATCGATTCAATATTCGACCCACGACTTAAAACGTGCAAATTTAATTTCGAACCAAACCGAATAGTCGAATCAAATCGAATAGTAAATTATTCGAATCGGTTCAGAGCAAATTTCGAATCGCCGACATCTTTTTATTTATTTCCGTCCATGATCGAGGTGAATACACCAATTTTTTTTGATAGAAGTCATATTTTTTCAACATAATTCTGATATATGACTATTTTCTGTAATGAGTTATTGATAAAACATGTTTGATACTGTGCGTGAGCGCTCAGTAATCTATCTGAGATATGTATTTTATGTCTTCAGTAATTCATTTGTTGGGAGGACCAATTACAATAAAAAAGTCGATTACAAATATATATTCCCAAGTTTTCGAGATTCGATTCGGAAAAAATATTCGATTCGATTCGGAAATCTCAAGGTATTCGAAAATGCCCAACCTTAATCATGACAAACTTACCCTAGAAAAGATACCCCGAGTCCACAGATCTCCATCTCAATTGTCGAAACAATGTCTTCAAAATGTAACTTTAATATTTCACATGAATCGTACTTTGCCTTCATGAATTCATCCAAATCGAGAGACGAAAATGTCAGCCAACCCTAGATAAAAAGATAAACTCAGGTTACAGCAAACAAGGACCGAACAGACGACATTTTTGCAGAGAACTAATGATTGGAATAAAAAGAAGATAATTTTGCAAATCTTTTCTCATTCCTCCTAGTTTATTACGGCAATCTACCATAAATACAGTATATATGAATTATATGTTTGAATATACTGTCCATGTTAGACAAGTCAACATACCCCCTGCTCATAGGCTTCGGTCCCCTGATACAACTTGATGTAAAGTGGGCGAACATAATAAGTTACTTCCATATTGGTGCACATAATTCTGGAGCGTCAGGCCTTAAAATTAGTTACAAATTGGCAAGATGGCGGGCATGGGATTTGTAGAATTTAATCTAGCTAATTCTAACGCCCAAGCCTTAAACCACATATAATAACGCATGCTTGGGAGGACATTGAACAGTTAGAATAAGGAATTGATTTATGATCACAACTGCAATTTGTATACCTTCATCTGTAAAAGGTTACAGGAATGCTATATCGACAGAAGGTCAGTAATATGATTGAATATGTGGTCCCAGTCTCCATTTGTATTGCCTCCGCCATACAGTGCTATCGGGGTGCCATACAGTCAGTAGGTTAGAAATACCGACGAATATATGGTCACAATTGACATTTGAAAGACCTGCTCTATTATTCCTATTGTGTCTGCTAATTTAAAAAAAATGATTCTTACTTGTTTTTCGAACAATAATTTTGCGACTTTTGCAACCAACTTTCGTTCGCTCGGAGGTGAGGCGATATAGACATCGCCTATATTTATTTTTTTTTGACTCAGATCTAAAATTTTTATTCCAATTGCTTGTGCTATATGCTCCGGTTTGACGCGCATTGCATTCTGACAAAGTTTCTTCTTAAGTACATTATTTGAGACGTTATGCTGACACCTGGATGAAAGGAATTAAAATAATATTAATTTGAAGTTTTTGGCGCGGCGGTGTGGCTTATCTTGCTAAGCATTATGAATACGCTCGCCCTCTCATTACTCAGCGTGGGTTCGAATCCCATGATAATGTTGGGATAACTCAATGATAACTCATTGTCGGCGTAGGGTGGTTCACGTAACCGCTGGTCGGTAACGGCTTTCTCTACCACCAAGTCCATGCATCCAAAAACAAGTAACTAACTAACCCCATGCCCAGCACCACGGAAAAACACACAGATTACTTTGCAGTCGTTTCCGTTGTGCAAACTCAACAATTCGCGCTTCCGCACCCCCTACGAACAGTTTTAGGGTCTCGTGTAGTTTCTAGTTTCTTACCACAATAACTCCTAGTGGATTTGTCATAACTATTTTTGTATATGTTATTCCCCACCTGACTATGTCATTCCTAAATTACGTCACAACACGACACAATCACGTCATATAGATTGCCAAAGCATGGCTACGATCCCCCTGAATGTCATCTGCACCGACGATAACGAACTCCCTAACGCCAGCGATCTCTCTCATATCGGGATCGTTGCAACGAGAAAACGAGAGAAATTGCTCGCTCGATTATGGGTAATCGAATGCACGTTATGGCATCCTTCCGTTTATTTGGCGCGGCGGTGCGGATCATCGTGCTAAGTGTCAGGAATACGCTCGCCACCGCACCTCTAATTACTCTGCGTGGGTTCGCATGTTTGAATTCCGTAAGTTTGTTTGTGTCACCGTGACGTCGTGGTGACGTAATTTTCGGATGGTGCAGTCAGATGGGGGTTAGAAAAGAAATATGCATAAAATTGTTACGCCACGCCTACTAGAAGTTATTGTGGTATGAAACTACGCGATACCTCGGCCCAAACACCGTATATCTTGGACTTTGCCTGGATAGGCGACACATGGCAATACACCCCACGCTACAGAAGCGACCAATATATTATATAATTTTCACGCTTCTCTTGAACAGGTAAGCAAACGAGAATCTATGTTTCATTTCATCAAAAATTAAGTCTATTCCACCCTATCCTACCTTCTCATAAAATCTTCCTCATTATATCTCCAATGCACGCTGACAAAAGGCCGATTTTTTAACTTGTTTGAGACAAAATCTTTAGAAATATTTTTGATATACTCCGGACTTCCCAAAGCCACAGCTATTGAGAGAGACAACTGGTAGTCGGTGAGCCTTTTAAGGTCTGTGAAATAACAAAGAAATTTGCTAATCAGTCAGATCAGTAAGAAGCAAGGGAGGGTGAGAGAGGCAGAATAGAGAGAGAATGTGAGAAAGGAGACAGATGAGCGAAATAAAGATAGTAGACTTGAAGAGACAGAAAGTGGAAGTGGGTGACAGAAAGTGGGCCTAATTTTTGGTAAAATACTAGTCTTCAGATATACACAATATATAAATAAAATCAACAAGAGAGAAAGAGAGAGAGAGAGGGTGACCCTGGAGTGTTTTGGTTAAAGCTCATTTAACCAAAAACATTATTTTAAGAGGCAGAAAGATAGAGAAAGGGTAGACAAACAGGCAGTGGGGGAGGGGGAAACCGATATGCAGAAAGAGACAAGTGGGGAGAGTAAAGTGTGTTCCGGGAAAACCTCTTAGTCTGAAAAAGCATCCCGCTAAGCGTTAGGACTACGCTCGCCACCGCACCTCTGATTACCCCGCGTATGTTCGTAGATTAGAATCCCAATCGGGAATAGTAATGTGCTGGACTTCTCGCCGCCGTAGGGTGGTTCGCGTAACCGGTCGGTTGCGGCTTTCTCCATCATCAAGTATTTGCTTCCAAAAACAAATACCTAACCAGACGAAAGGCCGTGGTTCGTCATATATGTAAGCCGTCTTACCGGCATTCTTCTCCCCCAGGACAAATATGAAAATCCTATCCTATCCTAAAGATAAAGAGAGAAATAAAGGGATAGACAAACAGACAGTGATGGAAAAAGACCAACAAACAATTGGAGAGAGTAAAGGGTGTTTTGGGAAGAGCTTTTTATTCTCACGGATTTGATTTTTCAAACATTCATCGCTTTAATTACATATATTTGTTAGTTTGTTCGGCTTCTTTCTATTCTACCTGTGTCAAAGTTATACTTTATTCACAGGTGTCGCTGCTCTACAACCAACATTGTTTTTTTGCGTCACCCTTCAGCGTAAAATGCCATTTTCGTGTTTTTCCTTAGTTTTTGTTTGCATCACGTTTATGTTTATTTTGAGACAAAACAAACTACTGACTGATTAAATACTGACTCACCTTCTTGGTTTTTGACAAGTTCTGAAATCTTGCGTTTGCGAGGTTTCCTCAGAAGAAGGTTATATAGGGGGTCTGGGTAGACAACGCATCTTGCCTGTGATGAATTGAAAATATCGGAATATTTTAAGCGGCCAGAAAGTTTAATTATGAAAAAGAGAACTATGCTCAAATATATGGACACAAAGTCAAAAAGATTTTTTTTTATCCACAATTTCCCGAAAATGTTATCTTGAACGTTGCCGAAACTGTGGAACAGCTATCCTAATTCACCAGTGCCGCCATCAGGGTACCGGTAATGGTACCCGTACTGTTTCAGTTTTTCCATGTCTTGTGGCGACGATTCATGCTTCAAGTTTCAACTTGACTTGAAATACGAGTCACGTCTTTTACAGTATCGTTATCGTAGTCTACCGTTTCCCTTAAGAAAACCTCCTTCCTACTTTCGATATCCACTGACATGCGGTCCCGTAACCGTTACAATTAATTTAATCTTTAAATTTTGTTGACATCAACACACAAACGTCGAAACGAAAAAAAGACCCCATAAAGTTCACAGACGTTGTTGACCAAAAAATAATAATAGCATTCTAGCGACAGCAACAATCTCCAACTACTTAAAATAGCAATTGGTACAGTTCGCCCGCAGTCCAACTATGAGCTTTCCAACCGCAACAACTTTAGCATACACTGTTGAAAAGAGAAAGCGATTTTTTCATGATAACAACAAGAAAATGAATTTCAATAGCAATCACAACAACATAATACTAAAACATTGTATAGTGTTTCGTGCCCAACAAGAGTTCGTTTCAAACAAAGCTCTCTGCAAGTCATCGTGTATACACAGGCATTTGCTGTTTGGAAAAGTCAGTAAGTTGAGGCGAACTTATGTTACAATTGCGATAAGATTTCCTATTTTTCCCTTCCATTTTTTGTCGTTATTCGCAGTTTAATTTAATTAAGTGTATAATTGTTCTAATTGATTTCTTTGGGCGTGAAAAAGAGCGCATAGTTGTCTGGTCCGCCTTGAACCCAGGTAGAATAGGATTTAGATATTTATCCTGGGGGAGAGGAAAACCGACGACTTAATTATATAGCAAACCACGGCCTCATGTACGGTTACCAGCCCATGTCGGGTATGGGGTTAGTTAGCCAGGTATAAGTTTTCGGAAGCATGGACTTGACTTCTGATATTTAGTTTGAGATTGTCAGTTTGAATAGTATTGTATACATGTGTAAAGTTAGTTGGATTGTATTATTTTGATATTTTCGCCGTCGAACATTGTGAACTTTTAGCGAACTCATTTTAGCGAAGTAGATCGCGTTAAAGATAAAGAGACGAAAAACGCGTGACACAATTATCCAATTGTAAGCATTGTTTAATTCTTGCCAACTTGGCCGGGGTTGAAACGACAACAATATTCTTAAAACTATTCTTTTATTGGTGTAAAATACCCACTTCTGATTCAAATAAACCTTTAATTTCCTTCGCGAAGAACTTCCTATATTTTCTACCTCCAGGAACTGGGAAATCTGGTATGAAATCGACATTGGCTTCTTCCGGGTCATTTTTTCCGGATTGATAACCTTCAACTTTTCGTCGGAATCTCATTCCTGTATACCTTTCCCAGCCCTTTAGATTATTTTCGGTGGTATGTCTGTGGAATATAAATTGAAAAATAGATTGGAAACTGATTGAATATTATTAGATTATCGGATATTCTATATATTTCGAATCAAATATTCAAGCAATTTGACTTTGTTGTGAATCGGCAATATATAGGACAATTATTTTGAACAAATGGAAAACACACACACACATAAGTTATCACACTTCACTGAAAATCAAGAAAAAACAGTTTGAAGACACGACATAAAAGTACTGTACTTTTATTTGTGTAGCCTATTTCATGTCTATTGTCCTAATATAGCGCAGCAGTCCTAAACTGCAGTTATACTTGCTAAGGGTGAATGTCGCAAATTCGTGTTGTAGGCCAGTAAGGTCTTGAACATGTACCCCATCTCTTTCACACTGTTTAAATATTATGCAGATACTGTTGCATTTTGAGGCAAACAAACATACATACATACATGACGTAGAATATGAGTGCGGCACTTTTTAATCGGGCTTTAAAGTTGTGAACGTTGTGATCGAAATATGCTTACAACATACAAGAACGAGTGGTCAAAATACAAAAATTCCGGTTTGAAAATAAACCTAGTTACTTTGATTAAAAAGTACTTACTGCAAAAATACGACCGCATCAAGTTGACGACCACAGGCTTCTTGGAATTGCTCGATCGTGACGCATGAGACGAATTTACAGTATCGTTCTATATCTATCCGATGTCCAGGAAATATATACCATCTTTTGCGTGACGTCACTGAACTAAATAGAGAAAAAGAATTGCCATTACGAATCGCTTTGGATTGACATTGAATTACCTTTCACAATTTGCACATTATTTGGAAGAAATAGGCCTGCACTTGAATACGAAGGTACAAATATAAGGTATTCATAAAGTCTTGAATTTTTTAAATATTACAAAGGGAAATTCATCGATATCGTATATTGTTTTCGTCCTCACAGATGTATTGAATGAGGAAAAATACTCGAACAAATTACTAATCAAAAAACAACAAATCTGAAGAAAATTCATGGACACTCTAAGACCTACAGACCAGGTGTTTCAGTCAAAATTTGCTGTTTTGGGAATATTTCCTTCCAGCGCGCTTGTCCACCGATTTTTTCTGAAAACTCGGCGCTCAATAGTCTAGCACAGGGTCGTCCTACCAGTGGCCCGCGGGCCATATGTTACCCGCGGAAGCATTTCGAGTGGCCCGCGCTGTATTTTTAGGAATTGGATAAAAAAAAATTTGAATCAACTATTATTCGAGTGATGAAAGTATGCAAAGATGTGAAACAAGCGATTTGTTTTTTCTCTGAAATGCGCCTTGCCAACCATTCCAAACGAGCTCCGAGTGTCATTTTGAATCGAAACCAATTGGGGGGGTTTATCGATACATAAACCTGCCATAGTCGCTATATACATACCTAAAATCCATAATATATACATACATAAAAGCGATCTACTTCGAGGCAGAAATAATCGCAAAACTATCGAAGCCATTCTCAAATTGAGAATTCGTTAAGCATCGTATTGTTCGGGTTGCCAATGTTTTCTGTCCGGAAATAAAAAAGGCGTTTGCAAAAATAAGCCTATCAAGACAGACGGTTCTCGTCGCGTTGAAGAGCTGGGGAATTATATAGCAGAAACTTTGCAAGAGCGGGAAAGTTTTATTCGTATTCCTTGGCGCTTGACGAAAGCACTGACATCATGTCTACTGCTCATCATGCGAGGAGTTAATGATGATTTTGAAATTACCGAAGAGCTCGCAGCCATTGTCCCAATTGAGGAGGGCACGACTATGGGCATTGATTTGTTTGTTGCTGTGATAAAAATGATCAAGCTTCTTGGCTTGCCTTTGGCGAAACTTGCGGGAATAACCACTGATGGCGGCCTAATAATAGTTGGAAAACAACAGATTTTATTGTTCTAATAATTGTGAAATTTGGCGTGAGGGTATTGTTTGTTTTTTTCTCCATCCTGTAGGCAGTGTACCAAAATTAAAATATAATTACCATGTTAAGTGGCCCGCGCAATTATTAGTAAACTACATGTGGCCCTTCGGCCAAAAAGGTTGGACGACCCTGGTCTGACAGAATCGGTTTCTACCACGCTTGGTTATGATTAGTTTTAGATTAGTTCAACCGCATCAATCACATCTTAGGTGATGGCGGCCTCCAAGAGCAATAATCAATTGGATAATTAGTATGTTGTAATTAAGTATAATAGGTATGCGGGCTAGAATGTCAGCGGTCGGCAAGTCGTGATTTAATGGGTTAACCGACTCTTTGTAATTTATTCTATTTTTGGACGATGCCTTTCACTTCTAATTAGAGTCAGGGGTGGGCAAGTGTGGACCTAAGTGTGACGTAAAAAGTTACACTTTATGAACAGCTGTTTTCATCTAAAACCTCAAAATTTGGTTTTAGTTTGGCTGTGGTAGCCTTAGGCGGGCCAGATTGAATCACCCAACAGGCCGGATTTGGCCCGCGGGTCGTAGTTTGTTCATGTCAGAATAAAATCCTACACTAAAGCCACTGCTATACACAGAAATATCATTTATAAAGAATCGGAATATTTTCGATTCGTTATTACCTACAAAATATTACAAATTATATGATTGAGGTGAAATTCACGGGGTTTGCTCGAACCCGTCCCTAAATTCCAAGAATGGGTTCGCATGACCCGTGTGAACCCCCTGGTCCTCGATATAAGTATAAGTTTATTTCGACTACATAATCGGCTTAGACGATGAAATAATAGATAAAACAAAAGAAGAAAATAACTGATTATAGAATCGGGAGAGCGAACAAAACCTTAAGTGAGGTTTGAAGCGTACAGACTTTAGATGGAAAGGTATTGATAAAAGAAGTAGTACGTGTTCGCTCACCCAAAAATATAAAAACTAATTAAGGCACCCACGCACACACATACACACACACACTCATGCAATCATCGAGACATAACGAATAAAAATAAACAATGAATAAATTCTTTTGCGTCATCAAATTAATAATTTTATGAGTATTGCCGAATTGGATACCGAATTAGTCAACAAGAGTTTTATATACTAGGAATATAGGAAAATATTCCTCAAAAGATATCGTCAAGCTGATTATAATTGGAGTCACCTAATGCCAAATTGCCCAATGAGAATTACCAAGTTGGATGCATGAAGGTTGGTTTGAACCATAAATTTTCAGTATAGTTAAATCTAACACGTTAAACAAAGGACCTACCCGTCTGAAAAGTGTTTGAAGAATCTTGGTATGACCATCGTTCTGTTGAGTCTTATTGCAACAAACGTTGCTTCTCTTAGTCCAATTAATTGGTTGTTCGGACCGTTATGTGGTATAGGAAGTAAAAATTTATCCGGATTTAATCGTATAACCGGATCAGGATATAACGGTTTCACCGATTTTGGCAAAGTCAAATAGTTTTTGTGATAAATTGCAGTGCCATCGTAAAGAGTTTCATAAGCTGTTTTGTTAACTTTCGAGTTTTTCCATTTTAATTTGCATTTATCAATATTTCCATTCATTTTGAGCTCCGAATTTTTCCGTTTCGTTGATTTTTGCATCAAATCAAATTTATTGTGGAAATCTGATATCGAGCTGTTATCCATTCTTCCGGAGAATATCGTACATATAAAAATCGTTGTCATAACAACTCCTATCACTCCACCTTGCGCCCCCTTGAGGCACATCGTTGTTTGGCTCATATCTGATATTAAGTTAGTATCTGAAAATTAGAATTCAGTGATTACATTTGTCAAAAACAACAATTACATAAATATTCTTTCTTTATTTAAAACTGTCGGAAAATTGAATGTTTTTATACACGGCATTTTCGGTGCTTTAGAAGTGTGTGTATTAATATGGAGGTAACTAATTTTGTTCGCCTACTTCACATCGAGTTGTGTAGAGGAACTGAAACCTACGGGCAGAGGGTATACACACTTGGCTAACAAAGACAGTCCCCGAACTCGTAATAGAAATAAAATAAGGTAAATCAGAATAAAATTATGGCCCAACCCTAACATGGTACACATACTAAGGGAGTACCGAATTTTCTATCTCGGCTGAAGTGCATCGATGCTGTTGTCAAAAGATTTACTTCATCCCTCCTCTGAGGAAAAAAGAAGATGTCACAAAATAAAACGATTGATTTAATCACAAAACTCTCAAATCCTGGCTGTAAAATGCTCGGGTTGCTACAAGATTAATCAGATTAGAACTTATTTAAATAACTTCCAACAGCAGAATCTTCACTTGCAATTCTAAGAAGATTAATAAGCCAGCTGTTGTTTTGATACCTCCAGGTTATTGGTTTCCAATGAAAAGCTATAATGACGTGACCTCGCTACGTAAGAGGATTATCTATGCCCGAAGCACATTTATTATTTCTGTGGTCGGAATCCATAAGGCGATAACAACCACAAAAAATAATTATTAAACTTTAATAATAAGTGACAAATAATGTTTCAATAATTATTGGCGATGCACCATCGTACTACAAACGACATACAGTGCGGAAAGCACTAACCTTAATGTAAAAATGTTCTTGTAGGCTAAGGACACTACAGCCTTGCTCAAATGTGGTACTCCCGAAGTATGTGGACCAATATGGTGGACACCAGAACGTAATATGTGTACCAGGTTAGGGTTAGGCCATAATTTTATTCCAATTTTCCTTATTTTAGTTTTATTACGAGTTCGGTGACTAGCCAAGTGACTCCTGCAGTATTTGTACCTGAAATTATGTCCTAACCCTAACCTGATACAATAATACCTGGCGATGCACGATCATAATACATACAACACACAGTACGGAAAGGACCAACGTAATAAAATATTTGTGTTTTTCCTAGGCTAATGTCACCACAACCTTGCCAAGATGTACTAACGTAGATAGTCTAACCAGCCGAACCAAAAATATATTTTTTTCCAAAAACTTAGTTCTTTCGAAGACATTGTGATTTCCTTCCTATCAGTCCCGACGCGATTTAGTTCATTATACTTAGAATCTTTAACATGCCTTAAAATCTCAATTTAAAGGTGGCATTTTGATATTTCAGGTTATTGGGTTCATTGGTGGTTTAATTGAGTTTAGTCCGACTACGTAAGATTATTAACTATGCCTGAAGCACATTTTATATTTCTGTGGTCGTAATTCATAGGGCGATAACAATCACACAAAAACAATTGTTGAACTTTGATAAAAAGTGTCAAATGTTCATAATTGGCGATGCACGATCGCACTATAAACGACACACATTTTGGGGCGCTCCTGAAGTGTATGTACTAATATAGAGGTAAAGGGACTGAATCCTATGGGCAGGGGTAAATTCACTTGGCTAACACAGTCAGTCCCCGAGCTCGTGATAGAACCAAATATTCTCAGTTCAACCGGAATGCTTGGGAATTAATTAATGCTTAGATGTTAATTTTACTTTTGAAATTTCCCAAGAGGCAAATGATAAAATGAAAGTTGGCTAGTATTATACCATCAACTGTAGTACCCTCAAATCAAGAATTAACGACAATCATTGTACCTAAACACTTTAACCTAAACACTTTAACTTAACTAAATTAGGCGCCCCAGAAGTGTGTGTACCAATATGGAGGGAACTAATTTTGAATGCCTACTTTACATCAAGTTGTATAAAGGGACTGAATCCTATGGGCAGGGGTATATTCACTTGGCTAACACAGACAGTCCCCGAACTCGTAATAGAACTAAATATTCTTAGTTCAACCGGAATTCTTAGGAAAATCGGAGTAAAATTATGGCCTAACCCTAATCCGTATTTGCCGTGGTACATATACTACAGAAGTATCGTTTCGGAAAGCATTGACGTATTGAAATAATGGACCTCTTGAAGTATGCGCACCAAGATGGCGCACAACCTGAACTCAGGTTGTGTACCAGGTTAGGGTTCAGGTTGTGCGACATCTTGGTGCGCATACTTAGGGAGTACCGAAATAATTATGTTTTTCGTACGCTGAGGTCGCCAGTATCTTCCCAAAAAGCAATAAATTAGATCAATACCGCTTTGAACCGCTAACTTTAACTTGATACAGCACATACTACAGGAGTACCATTTTTAATGTATCGATAAATCGATATTGCGGTAACATAAACTAAACAACGTTAGTAAACTGCACAGAATGTAAAGTTATGTTTCTGTAGTTCTTCCCTAGAAAATGAGAAAATGGACGATTTATTCCGACATATTATCCCGCTGATATGCTCAACAAACCTCTTTATCTGTGTTCGCATCTGCATAGCTGCACAAACGTCTGTCGGCAATTTAATTCTTCGATCTCGACAAAGTTATTTCCGTTCAATTCGCGTCATCGCTTAGAAAAATTTCTTTGATATAGTTATTTTTAATCAAAAGTCGAGAGAAATTTTAGCCTTCGGGCATATAAATATGATTGGTCACGTATAACTGTTATTTTCCTATTAATCTCCCGCCCCCAGACAAATCGATGGCAAAATGATGGTACAAAAGCCTTCTATGGAGAAGAGATCATTCAAATTGCGATTGAGAACATATAATCATCCTTATCATGCTATCTATATGGCAGTGAATGTCCCTCTATGGAGAAGGCCATTAATTTAAAACAGGGGTGTGCAACCTTTAAATCAGGAGGGCCAGATACAAATAACTAAGTAAAACCGCGGGCCGCTTTTTTGCGTAACATATGCTTTCTAGTAGTTGCAAGCACATATTTAGGTTATTGATTCTATTACATGCGTTAATGGCTTTGCACAAGCTCAGGTATAGACTTCGCAACGCAAGAAATTGAAATTTCTCGCGCGTGTCAGATTATACGGAATTACTCGTTTCCAGGGCCACGCACCATTGGAAATTGGGACTTCTCCACAGGCCGCACATTTTTCTTTGTGTGCCGCATTTGTCTCGCGCGCCGCAGGTTTGATTTAAATTTAAAAAACCCTGATTTAAATCACTAATTGAAACATGTGGAAAATGCAGTAATATACCTCACCCTATATTCTGACATGGGCGAACCACGGCGAACAGGCCAAATCTGGTCCGTTGGTGGATTCAATCTGGCCCGCCCGATGCTGCCACAACCAAACCAAAACCAAATTTCAAGGAATTTGTTGAGATTGCGATCAAAATTCAGTTTTGGCATTGTTTTCCACTTATGCTTTTGTAACACTGTAAATATTGTTTATAAAATGTAACTTTTTACGTCACACTTATATGGCCCGGCAATCTAGGTGGGCAAAATTTTTGGCCCCTGGCCCAAAAACCTTGCCCTCCCTTGCATAGTAGCACTAGACGTTTTCCATTTTATGACTGAACTGCTGCAAATTAAATATGACTGGGACAATTACGGGCCTCCCGTTTGCCAATCAATCAAATTACCTAATGCACAATGCAAACTGTTGAAATATTTTATTGCGATCAATATTCGGATATCAAATTAACATGTAAATATAAGGTCATATTTACTTCAACTTTTCAATAGTGAGCTTACGCAAAAGATACGTACGTAAAGAGTCGTCCTTATAATTATAAGTGATTATCGTCAGTACATTTCCTATTCACCATTTTCAGAATTTCATCGTTGGGTATGCATGTTCATACATGTTCTATATTGTGACTGCGATTTCGAGCAGTGGCATGGCTTGATCATATATTGCGCTTAATTCATTATGATACAGTTCAAAGAACAAGATAATATTTTAAAATTAATTTTGCGACAAAACTGCGTTCAAAAACCCTATAATTGCTTAATTTGATTTCTATAGCAAATAATAGTCTGGTTCCCATATTATGTCTCATTTTTTATCATTTATAACTAACTAAAAGCTGAGGCTTCTAATAGCAAGATAGGAGAGCAAAAGCACAAAGGTGTATAATAAAAAATTATCTCTCCGGCTTGTTAGTTTGCATTACGGGCGTTCCAGAAGTGATGTGTACTAATATGGAGGTAACTAATTTTGTTCGCTTACTTTACATCGAGTTGTGTAAAGGGACTGAAACCTGTGGGCAGGGAGTATATTCACTTGGCTAACACAGGCAGTCCCCGAACTCGTAATAGAACTAAAATAAGGAAAATCGGTATAAAATTCGGCCCTAACCTGGTACACACACTGCGGTGGTACCGCATTTCGAAATGTATCTAAAGGGTTTTAGGTTTTTTAGATGGGCGAGATTGCTTAGTGATTATCGTGCTAGACCTAACAGTGTTGGCTTTGCAGGTGAAAGTTCCAGTTCAGCCCCCGAGACCCTCACTTCATTTAATCTGGGTGTAATATATTGGGCAGGCGGTACATAATTGAAAGAATACCTGTCCTTACAAAATAGTCGCCCCTACACATAATTGGCTGCATGTAAAGGGTGATGTTCGATGTGAAAGTATGAAAACGCTGTAAAATGACATCTTATAGAACAGTGGTTGTCAAAGTTTTGAGACCTTCTTAGAATTTGTCAAGTCACGCGCCCCACCTCAAAAATAACTAGCTAACAATAAGGCACAAAAAACAGATATTGAAGCGAAAGTACGTTTTATTAAATACACGGTGAAAATGCGTGAATGGAACTTGAATATCCAAAATAAAGAAATGTAAATATTCAAAATAAGGTGGGCAAGGTCAAATCTAACAATTTTTTTTTCTTTTTTTCTATTTAGCTTCACGCCTGCCCAAAAAATTATCTACGTTCCACCGTATGAGAACAGTGACCGTACATTTGAACCCATGCGTATATCCACGGGTTTAATCTATATGCGGATGCTAAAACCCATGGGTTAGGGTTAGTATGGGTTTAACTATCCGTGGAACAAAAAAAATTCCATAGGTGCCATAGCATACAGGTGGAGTTGTCATGGGTTCAAATGTACGTAGGTTCAAATGTAATGGAACCTTTGAGAACAGCTGTTGTAGAATATGATAATATTGAGGTGGTGACACGATTTGATGAGGTGGGGAAGTGTAGACTTACGTCCAGCTATTATATTCTATATTGTTTGTAATAACCGACAAGGCAACAAGGAGACGAATAGTCAGAGTACTTCTACCGCTTAACGAGTTACTATGTTCCTGATTACATTTTGGTTTGGCATTGCCTATCCGATTCATTACACATTAGGTTGGGGTGGTGAACATAGCGATTTCCAGTTTTCGATACCGTAATACTGCAAGTTAACTCCGAATAGATGTGGATCAAACCCTAAAATACGGGAAATTTCCGTTTCTTAACTTCCTTTGTTTGTGAGACACAGAACATGTAAGACTGGCCCAATTCCTTCACCGCTAGTTATCCTCTACTTAAAACCAATGTTTGGAAAACTCGAGTCACTGACTCGACCCGAGATGAACTCAGCGAAAGGATTCGACTCGAACTTGATTCTAGACATAGATGGCTTGTGGTCCCGACTTGACTTCAGCCTCGGCGTTTAGAGAATTTTATCAAACATCGCTTGAAACTCAGTAATTCAATATCTTTCAATTCAGTCGAGGTTCGAATTGAAAATGTATATTTTTTAATATGGTATAGTTAACATAATACTTAGCAATAAAATCCTAAAACAAGTATGCAACAACAAGAAAATACAAAGACAAGAGTGTGTTCTTCGCCTCTACATATATTACTGTATGGATTCACAATTGTGTGCCTAACATATTCAAAAGCGTTTTGGGACTCGTGGCATGGAACTACAGACAGTAGCACCGGGAACTTTTATAAATTAGCTTCGAATAAACTGAAAGTTATGTTGAATAGACAATATGAAAACCAGTTTAATATTACAACGCCAGTAAAAGAATTACATTTATGTGATGTAGGTTGGGAAGTGGAAAAACTCGAACCAAATTTGTACGAATTACCACGGCAGGACTCTTCAATAACTCACGAAAAAGGATTTTTGACTCCAACAAAATTGGTGGAACCGATTTACGATAAGCCAATGTTCCAACTTAACCCGGATAAATTCTTTTTACCGGTTTTAGTTGGAGGACCGAACAATCAAATTATCGGTTTTCAGGATTCCTTATTCACAGCGATAAAACTGAATCGAACGATCGTTATTCCGAAATTTTTCAAGCATTTCACAGACACGTGAGTCGTGATACATTTTTTTACTAATAAAATAGAATCATCAGTATACACTAGCCAGTGGGTTATTATGTCATGACCCTTTCCCCCTCTCTCCTCGCGACTAGAAACGAGTGAATATGATGTCACATTTTCTTTACCGTCTGCATCTTTTTTCAGATACAAAATAAGACATCATAATATGAAGCCTGGCGTACTAATTATGTCACATTTTGAAAAATGATACAATATCAACAGTATTTAATGGTATACCGAGAGAGAGAGAGAGATTTGGCATTGGGCCATATCCCCCACGCAACTAGAAACAAATATTATGACGTCACGTTACTATTACCATTTTCATATTGTGTTAAATACAAATATGACATTATATAACGAAGTCCCCACCCTCCTCAACAAAATCCTGGAATAATTTGCAAAATTATGAAACGGGAGAACTGTTTGGAGAAGTTCTCGTTTCCCAATCTTATTGGAAGCTCGCCATCTATGAACCCTAGTCAATATAAAGATTTATAAACATTCTTTGTTTTTATTTCATATGAACATTTGCCCAAAGCAAATTCATGCGCACTCACTCATTTCTGAGCGAAGTTACGGGCGTCAACTGAAATTCCAAAAGTTACTTTGAAGCATCAAAGCGATGAATTACGCGATGGTAAATACCCACTGACAATAGACTTAAGCCATCGGTTTTCAACCAGTGGGCCACGGAATTTTTTTTAAGTGAGCCGCAGATCTTTTAAAAATTGCTAGTTCTATTCGTGTGACTATAGTTAACTTTGTTTATAGTAGCAATGAATGATGATGCTGTTTTCTGCTACTGAGGGGTAATTTTTATTTTAATCAATGAAGTGAAAGTGTCCACGTTTGCGAAAAGCCTTTGTTTTTTGGTGTAGTTTTTCCCTTGCATAAAAAAATAATTGCCACAGTTTATTGACACGCGGATAAAATAAGTGATACCCCTTTTCAGCCAAGTGACAGCATCGAGAGGATTAAGTTACATTTATCCTGGTCACCGAGTAAACTGTGAGATTCTTTGCAAATTCATTTCCTGCATTACGTTAGATCAATTCCAAGAAGCATGCGGACATAAAGTAGATGCAATTACAAATATAAGGTAAAATGTTTTTATGTTTATTAATGAATGTAGTTATTCGAAAATGCTTGTATTAACGCTTGTATTATATAGGAACACCGTTTTTCCTCGCATTGTTGCACATTTTTTTTTTGGACACGGGGTGGACCTATAGATCGTTTTATATGTTAAATTGTTGTAGTTATTGTTGTAAAAAACGCTTGGCGCTTCACAAGTGTGTGGACCAATATGAAGGTAACTAATTTTGTTCGCCTACTTTACGTCAAGTTGTGTAAAGGGACTGAAATTAGACTATGGGCAAGTGGTTGGTTCACTTGGCTAACACAGACAGTCCCCGAACTCATAATAGAACTAAAATGAGAAAAATCGGAATGAAATTATGGCCTAACCCTAACCTTGTACACATATTACGGGAGTACCAAACGCTTTTCTCTGCAACTAGTGGACCAATCGTTCACAAAGTTTAAGTGATTAAAGATAGAGGAAGATGCCAGAAAGACTTGAATTTATTTGTTTAATTACTCTTGAGTTCGATGAGACGCGATATTTTATTCAAAATTTTACTGTTATATTTTACTTCAAGGTGAAAACTTATCTGATAACGCTTGTTGAGAAAACCTTGTGGTCAGTCTTCCCGTGACGGTAGCGATGCCGACTTTTGTCTTCGTAGACAGGGTGTCCATAAAGTCGTGCAATAAGATAAAACTCACAATACCACACTACTACCGTGTTACTCCGAAAATAATACTGGGTCCTATTTTAATTTCCACTCTAAAAATAACACTAGGGCTTATTTTGGGGGATGTCTTTCATTTCCATTTATCGAAAACAAAATTACAGATTAGAGAATTTCGATATTTTCAAATATAAAAATATGAAAATCGATATCCATTTACTTATAAATAACAAGTTTTCAATAGTTTGCCTCTATCAACTAGGTTTCATTTTAAGAAGGACTTATATTGCTGTTGACATGATGAATCAGAGAAGTCTAAGTATCAAGCTAGAATGATTCCAAATATTTTGTATCTTTGGAATTTTAATATTTATCTTGATGCGCTACTTTATGGCCACCCTGTATTTAAGCTTTTTTCCCTAGTTTTTTTTTGTGGTATTACAAAAATTTTGGTTATCTATGACTTCTGTTCTTCAGAAAAACGGTACTTCCGTAGTGTGTATACTAGGTTAGGGATAGGCCATAATTTTATTCCGATTTTCCTTATTTTAGTTCTCTTACGAGATCGGGACTGTCTGTGTTAGCCAAGTGAATATACCCCCTGTCCATAGGTTGCAGTCCCTTGACCCGACTTAATGTAAAGTAGGCGAACAAAATTAATTACCTCCATATTGGTACACGCACTTCTGGAGCGCCAGAAAACAGCAGAAAAAATTCCGTTCTGTATGAAAACGCTTTTACTGAAAGGATTAAATAAATTTGATAATTCTACTCGCTTATCCATTCTCCAGATCAATCGATGCAAAAGGAATCGCTCAATTAGAAGGAGAATTTGGGATGCAAATAACCAGTAATCTGGCAACAAAGGAATCTGTCAGAAACGAAGTTCATTTTGTTCCGAATAAACTATCTTCAGGAAAACTAAACACATCAACGTTAACGGAGAAACTCTCTACCCCGGTAAGTTATTTGGGTGGGGGTCCTTTTTTCCCGGGGGGGGGGAGGGAGGGGGGTAAATGCTGGTTCCAATATCATTTCATAAACGTACAACATTCCTATACAGTTCCAACATTCCTTAAAACGAAGTGGTTCTATAGATCATTTTGCTGACTTTTTTATTATCTTTCTTGTTTATGTTGTTGTTGTGTACTTTTCCGATGTCTGCAAGGACGGTCTAGAAGTTTGTGTACCAATATTGAGGTAACTAATTTTGTTTGCCTACTTTACATCAAGTTGTGTAAAGGGATCGAAACAAATGGACAGGGGGTATTATCACTTGTCTAACACAGACAGTCCCCGAACTCGTAAAAGAACTAAAATAAGTCAAATGGGAATAAAATTATAGCCTAAGCTTAACCGGCACACATAGTGCTAGAGGGAATGCTAATATAGCTGAGTTGTGATTACTTCATTTATGTCTAATTAAGTTTTGTTTTCATTTGGTAGAAATTAAATTGAATTTACTAAATCTCTACTCCAGGCTCGTTGTCTGATACATCCCAGACCTCTCTTTGACCTTGATATCAGAATTGACAAAAATTACGAAGGTGAGTGATTTGGGGGAGTGATATAATGTGACTGTTGAATCAGAAGATTTAATTTCGCTATTTTCAAAAGTTATTTAATGTCGAAACCAGAGTTGGAATGAAACAATTTTGCGCAGCTTTGTTGTGTTGTTGGAGTATGTGGTTCGTAGATTACAGCTTTTTACTAGTTATGAATGGTATAGTGATGATTAACTATAAAATTGTGTATTCATGGGCCAGAAAAACTATAAAAAATACCAAAATTATTCTGAAAAATTTAAGGAAGTTTAATCAAAAAATGGTAAAAAACAATAAATTTTATAGAAATAACAATAGAGCAGTGCTCAAATATATGGACACAAAAGTCGCGCATCGGTGCCGCAAGGCAAGGAGGTTTACCTGAGCACTTAGTTTTATAAAAATCGACGGACAAGCGTTCCCAGGAATTAGCGTTCCCAGGAATTAAATAAATTAGGACAGTGGTGTGCAACCTGCGGCCCGCGGGCCAAAGGCGTCCTCAAGGGAAAATTGTGCGGCCCGCCGAGAAGTGCCAATTTTGAATGACGTGCGGTCCGCAAAAGGAGTTTTTAGTTTCATTCCAATCTCTTTGTGTTGCGAAGCCTATACTTGAGTCCTAATTATCATCTATGCCTATGACTTTAGAATGTCCTAACAGCTATCCCGTGCAAACAACGCATGTCACATGATCAATACCCAAATTGTTATGCTTGTACCACTGGATAGCCTATGTTAAGGTACGGCCCACGGTTTCACGCAGTTATCCGCATTCGTAACCCAGTTACTAAACTAAAACGAAAAAACTGTGAGTTTATCATACAATATTTTAACACTGTTTGATATTAATTTTTGTCTCATATTTTCCACAGATCCCGGAAAACAAAAAGATTCCGATTTAATGAAGCTTGTTATTCAGCACACAAAACACCCAGAATATATTTCCAAGATTGCAGAACAATTTGTCAATTCCACTATGAGAAACAGAAATTTTTTAACCGTCCATTGGCGCTATAACGAAGGAGATTATTTGAAAAGGTAAATGATGCATATTTTCAATGAGGTGTTACACGGGTACTCCCGTAGTATATGTACCATGTTGGGGTTAGGCCATAATTTTATTCCGATTTTCCTTAAGCTTTGCGGTTAAACTGAGAATACTTTTGTTTTAATTAAAATTCTAAATCTAACTAAAATAAGGAAAATCGGAATAAAATTATGGCCTAACCTTTAGCTGGTACATACACTAAGGGAGTACCGTTGGCACGACTCAAATCAATGCGTTTACTATGAGGTTCGTCCATTTGGTCAAAAATAGTAAACGTCACTCATTGATTGGATAAATTTCATTAAATGATGAAATTCATTGCTGTCATATCGTTAGCTTCCACGCCGATTACGCGTCTACACTTCACATGGTCAGCAATGATATTTAGATTTATTCATCACTTTTCTACAGGTGCCGCAACGACATTGAGAATTCGAAAAATCCGCGTGGGGACAAAAGACTCGAATTCTGCCAAAACGCTATCAATATGAAAGCAGATGGATTAGCGAGCAGAATTGAAAATAAAATTGATTCCCTCCTGGATGAAATTGATGTTACTGATGTCTACATTGCTTCACCTTATAACGTTAGAAATATCGTTGCAGAGGTTTCAGGAATACTCAAGCTAAAAAGGGTAAACACGAACGTTTTATAAATTTTTGTTTTTCTCAATTTTAATAAAGTTTGCCACATCCGCACTCTGAACAAGGCCTTGCATGAAACTGAATCCGTATTACCTATTTTCCCCCTAGAAAAAAACACAATTTACTTCCAAGAGGTTTATTTATCTATAACTATTTTGTACATATTGCCAACTGTGCGAGATCTGACAGCGAATCCGGCCCTTGGATGAAAATAATTGATTTTAAAAATGACTGTTTACTCTAAGATAACAATTTTGTCTGCTTCAAGCAAGCCTGTCTCGAGTTCAGCTAAAAAATTGTTACCTAATAATTCAAAATTACGTCTCCAACTCTAGAATTTGGAGGAAATTTGAAAATACGATTACTCTTCACTTCCGATATCGACAAAAATACCTCCCACCGCACGCAGCCTCGAAAAACTATTATTAAACTTTACCACAACGGGTTTTGATGCCTTCTTTAAGCGTAATTTTACATGCTGACCCATGCAATAGCCGTGCGTCCTAAATACATCGTCAAAATTTTTACATAAAATTGTTCAAGCAGCTGCAATAAAAAAAGGACTGGAAAATGGTCAGAGTGAAAACGCAGTCTCAGCGCAGTCAAAATTTCTCACTGTTACGTTTTCGTTCTCCATTAGCCATTGTTACGAAAGTAAACAAGGAAGTCAAAGATGGAGAAATCATCCATTTGTCGCTGAGTCACATATACTAATGATGTCACCAAATAAGTATTTTATATTATTTTATTGATCTAGAACTGGCAAGTGACGTCATCGACCGATCTTGAAAATTATATGGAAGAAAAATATCAGTCATGTTCAGTAATTCAAAAACATCTTAATGATATTCTTTCTACTATTGAGATGGAAATCTGTGGACGCGGAATCGTATTTCTAAGGTGAGAAGTAAAGATTCAAGTCAAGTTCATTTTTTTCCCCAACCAATAAAAAGTCAAAAATCATGCAAAAAATTAGGAAAAATTTGCATTACTGGGGTGGGGAAGCCGCTGGGAAAACTGGTTTTTGAGCAGCGATACTAACATCTAAATCAACAGATTGGGGAGTAGAGTTTCTGAATCACTAATAGTAATGGTACACACAATGTGAATTTTGCAAATTAGCCAACTGACATCGATTATTAGAGATTATCACTAGCAATTACCGTGTATTATATTATGACGAGGCCAGCGAATAACTGTGGAATCCCCGGTTTTCACTGGGATTAATCAACTATATTGAGCTATTTTTATTTCCAATAATGTAATTTCCTAAAAACGTAATTTCCTTAAATAATAAAGTTAGATATTGAACCTCGGGTTTCGCTGCTCGATAACCATTCCTGGTTCCCCGCGACTTCCCTTCCCCAGCGAAAATGTGTTTTGTATTTTGTTTATTTCGTATGTTATTTTTTACTGAACGGGAAAAAATAAATTTGACTATGACTATTACTAATGTACGGCATTTTTATCCGCCTTTCAGGGTTTATATATAAGTGATAAAACAAAATAAAAATGATTTCAGGATCAGAAAAGCGAAATTCTATTTTACGACCGTAATCGCCCAGGATCGGCATCGCCTACTCAATTTAAATCTACCTAGGCGAGGTGTTGCACATAGATATTAAAGCCGAGATATTTTTACCCTTTAAACCAGAAGTGTGCAACCTGCGGCCCGCGGGCCAAATGCGACCACGAGGTATATTTATGCGACCCGCTGAGAAGTGCCAGTTTTGCATGGTGTGCGGCCCGCGAAACGAGTTTTTATTTTTCGTTTAATCTGGTAGGTGCGAGCAATTCTAATCCCTTTGCGTTGCAATTGCTATACCCAAGTCTTATTATTTAATGTGCTTATGACGTCACAATGCCCTAATAGCTAACTTGTGCGCAGTTAAAACCACATGTCATAATTCTAAGATGAATAACCAAAATTTCCGGTGCACGCTACGCTATATGCCTAATGAAAGAGTTTCCTAAAGTTTTACATCTATCGTAAATTAGGAAAGACCCTGGATTCCACCTAATATGTACGCCATATCCAAATCTGCTTTACTATCTTAATCTAAAAACAATATATTGGTACCCATGTAAAATTATATACAATCTCAAGTGGCGGTATTTTATTTTTATCATTTTTCTTTATATCTGTCTCGGCGGTGTGGCACGTGCTATGCGTTAGAAATACGCTCACAACCGCACCTCTGATTACCCTGCGTGGTTTCGCGGGCTAAATAATCCCATACCCGACATGGACTGGTAACCGGAAGAGGGGCCGTGTTTTGCTATATGATCAAGCCGTCTTACGACTTTCCTCTCGCCCGGGATAAATATGTAAATCCTATCTTCGAGTGTCGCTGATGCTCTTTAACCAGTAGTATAGGTTCTATGCGCTTCCCTTCACCCTGGAATGCAGTTTTTACGTTTATTATTATAATATTCCTACAAAGTGTAATTTTAGTATGATGAAAAATAAAATTTCTCATCACTCTGCCTTTTTTGTTTCAGTTCCGCACGATCAACGTGGTCTTCAAATGTTCGTTTTTCAAGAACAATAAACAACGATGCTGGAGTATTTCCTAAATACGATGAAAATGTATTCTAACAAAACAGCGAGACTCATAGATGAACACTCACACTTCTTAGTTTTTCTCAACAGCTTGAAAAGCATTAATTGTTCAAGAATTGTTTCTTTTCATATGGCCTGGATCAGGGTTTTTCAAACTATGGCCCACGGACCCCTGAGAGTCTGTGATGACTGCCCAGGGGTCCACAACGATCTTTATTGATTGTATTCGATCAAAAAGCCATCTCTTTTTTTCATTGCTGTCAGAAAGCAATCAAAATGGTTAGGCACAGAAATTGAAACGGCATAGGAAGAGGATCCGCCAAAAATCCCAAAAAAATTCACATATTGGGGTCCGCTTTGAAAAAAGTTTGGGAAACCCTGACCTGGACTGTTTGATTGTAGTCCCAGTGCTGAGATTGTTGAGCCGCTGCATGGCAGTGCGGGGTCATTGTATTGCGCAACCGGTTTTCCTCGCTTGCAATTTTACCAAATTTAAAACACGCTATTTAACAATTTTTTTCGTTAGCTTTATTCCAGTTCGAATTTTTGATTTTCACGATACGTAAACTTTGCATTTTTGTGGTAGAAAAGCGATTTTTTTTTTAGTTTTAAAATGAAGTGCACAGCAATTAATTTGGTTATGTATATACTTAACAGCACTACCGCGGTTTCATGGCGAAGGAGGATTTCAATATCAAAACGTGAGAAGTAGTAAAACCTTTAACTATGTTTTTGTGTCACCGTCTATGCAATGATTAATTTTGCATTTCCGGTTCAAAAGATCATATTTTTGAGTTTGGAAACATTAAGGAAACGGAGTCTGATATATAACATATATGCAACAGTTAGCAAAATCGAGAGAAATGGTGAAAACTTTTTTTGTGTTGCAGTGTTCAATGGTGAATTTTGTGTTTAACACAAGCGTCATTACATTCATACTACTGATGTAAAAAAGAAACAATTTTTATCAAATAAATAAAAAATGGACATTTCAAAATATCGAATGTTGTTTTTTTGAATAATTATTTGAAGTCAATTTATAATAAGGGCGAAGAAATATACATATACGTTTATTGGAGGCGAATTGTACTTGCTGATGTTGAGATAAAATCGCTTTTCTCCGGCGCAGCTGTTTGAGCACCACTGCGATCACATATGTGGCAATGGCCAGAGGCTGGCTCTGCTCACAAGCATTGTGGAACTCGACAATTGTTTTCTATCGACCGCTTTGGGCTCATTTTCGAAGTAGACGGATTCGAATTATTTATTGGTTCAAATTTCGAATTACCACGTCTATCCCCCAGCAAGGGAGCCACAGAGCAGTTCGAGTGGGACCACAATGATAGAAGCAAAACTGATTTTACTTTTCAGGCTACAAGAAAACTCACCGTTCTTCCTAGTTTCATTACTGGATAGGGTTATTTCAGAGGGTGTTTTTACTTTGTTGAGAATGAATTGTTTGAACATGGGGGTGGGACTTAGAATCTACCAATCAAAACAACAATATTAATACAATTGAAATGATAAACAGGGGGGCCATGAGTGCTGAAAGCCTCCGAAAGAGGCCGCGAGCCATAACGTTCGAAAACGACTGGTCTACAACTTCATAAGTTAAAACAACGTTGATAATAATTGTAAAATAAAAGATAAAACTTATTCAAAAATCAATCCAACAGAACACACAGGGATTCAGCAGTCGTCCGATAAAGCCACAGGCGCGACAAGGTATTCGGAAGGTCTGGGGTTCGGAACTCGAGCTTTATACAAGATTTATGCAAGTTAACATTTTTACGCATGAGGCTATTCGCTAACAGGTTTTTTTAAATCACAAAATCAATTTTGTAAAATAAAATTGACATTCATGGAGGTTCCCTGACGATGAAAGAATAAGAGACTAATTCTTAAATATGAGGGAACGAGGGTTAAATGACTACGCGATGTCAACAGAATTCAAATGTTAAAAATAATTGTACCAGATGCCATATTAAGTTACGTATTAGATGTCATATAACAGTATGCCTGAGGGTTGAAAACAGCATAATTTTGTGTAGAATATCGAGAACTGAAGGACCAAAGAAAAATATGAGTAAAGGCCATTTAGCCAGTACTCCGAATCAATCTGTCTATTAGTTTTTCAGAAAAGCGTTTACTCAACAACCACTAATTCTGAAACCGTTTCCATTGAAGTCGTTTCGTTTTTCGTTTTTTTGTTTTCACGTCATTTCCGACGATTTCTAAATTTATAATAGTTTGGCATGGCGGATCAACCAGGCTTTTGTTGTTTGCGAGAATTCCTTTTGCTATAACTAACCACGTAACCAATTCCGAAGCCTCACACCAACATGTTTTTCATCACAGCACTTCAAAATGACTAACATTTGATATATCCGGACTATGGGGAACCCGCAAGAGGTTTAACGCTCTCATTAAATACAGTCATTCCGCATTCCATTGCCCAAGGCAATTTTGTAGCTTAAATGATACCTCATGAATATTAGCAATACACAAATTAGCGCTCGAGAAGTGTATGTACCAATGTGGAGGTAATTTTGTTCGCCTACTTTACATTAAGTTGTGTGATAGGACTGAACTCTATTGGCAAGGGATATGTTCACTTGGCTAATACAGACACTCCCCGAACTCGTAATAGAAACTAAAATAAAATAAAATCGGAAAAATTATGGCCTAACCCTAACCTGGTAACAGTTAATCAGTTAATCAGTTGAGCTTCATATGACAAAATAGACGGCAACAGATTTCAACGAACCGCCTGGGATTTGAACCCATATCAATAATGAACATAGCAATAAGCATACGATAAACCAGTTAATAGAACGTGGTTTTATGATCGAGGTTACGCATATCAACTGGTAAAACGCCGCGGGCATTTCGATGTAATTTATTCCGCCAGATAAAAATCTCGTAACAGTTAAAATAACATTAAATTGGATATCTATTATTCAACAGCGTGTTTTAGATCGCTCTTTTGCGAGGATGTGATGGGAAGGATTATAGCGTGATACCAGCTTCAACAGTTTAAGGGAAACTTAGCTTAGTTGGTCTCGTAAGCAAATTGGAAGAATGTGGTAATTCTAGAGCCAATACATGTATTGTACAGGGTATACCCAAAGTTTCTTTACAATTTCAATTTTGTTATAAAGTCAGTTCTCAATATATCTTAGCCATTTTTTTGTGGCTTTTTAATCAGTAATTGTTTAGGTATTTTTACTTCATTTAATACATCTGTGAGGACTAAAACAATATAATATGGTATCGATGAATTCCCTTTGCAATTTCATGGATTTTATGGACAGCCTATATATTTATCAGGTGTTGCTTATATCTGATTCAGGCCGACCCGAGTAATTGTAGCGAAAGCTAGTTTGTTAAGCCCAGTAATTATCTTGAGTTTTTTCCAGAGTCACATAAGGTTTGGAAATATTGTTCTGGATTAGGGTGCTCCCGTAGTGTGTGTACCATGTTAGGGTTAGGCCATAATTTTATTGAAATTGTCCTTATTTTAGTTGTATTACGAGTTCGGTAACTGTCTGTGTTAGCCAAGTGAAATTACCCCCTGCACATAGGCTTCCGTCCCTTTGCACAACTTGATGTAAAGTAGACGAACAAAATTAGTCACCTCCATATTGGTACACACACTTTTGGAACGCAAGAGTTAGCTCTGAAGGTTGATTCCAAGCGGCTGTTAAAAAATGATGTATTCGCGCAAGCGAACATCGGTTAGCGTGAATCTTGAATTAGGTAAAGCTTAATAGAAAAAAATATTGTTAAAGCGGGTACATTTTTTATAATTTCAAAAAAGGTAAATGAGAGAATAAAAGTTAAGAATTCTTTATCTTTCTTTTTCTTTATCATGCAACTTTCAATACAGGCGGGCCAGATACAAATAATTGTAAGAAACCGCGGGCCCAACTTTATTTAACATATGCTTTCTAGTAGTTGCAGGCACAAAAAAGAGTTGTAACGTCATAAATAATTAACGGACTCGGGTATAGGGTTTGTAACGCGAAGTGATTGGAATCGCTCGCATGTACCAGAATAAACTAAATTAAAAAATCGTTTCGAGGACCGCACATCAATCAAAATTGGCACTTTTCCGTGGGCAGCACAATTTTTTTTTGTGGGCGCATTTCCCACGGGCCAATTTGCACACCACCGATCTAGCACGTGAACAATGCTGTTTTGAACTCAGCAAATATTTAGTAAAAAAGTTATATACCGTAGTTTAAAAGCCGGTTATTTGTAGTCTGGTAGTCATTAGTACGCACTTTTGATGAGAAAGGTATTTGTAAAATTTGACAACCGATGTGCAATGAGTCAAAAGTAACTTTACAATTATTTCGAGATCGCTATGACATTGAAGATTTGCTTGAGGCAGATTATTGTAAAATTAACGCGGTCACCAAGATTTTGTCTACGCTTTTTATTAGCAATCGCTTACGTTTCTAAGGTCATTCTTGGTCAAGCTGGCCCTGAGGGTTACAACCCGATTACTTTTGAATTCGTAAGTGGGTCATTATGTGGTTTGTTTATGAAGAAGAACCGAAATAAATGTTTGATTGATTGAAATTGCGCACAGCAATCGTTTTTAGAAAAATATTTTCAATTGAAAAAATCTTAAAGAAGTGTCCATCTTTCCGAAAAAATGTTTCTGTTTTGCTTGTAGTTTTCACTTTACATGAAATAGTTAATGGGCAACCGATCTAGAAGAATCAAGTATTTCTAAAATTTAGATCTATCCATTTAGAGTAGATTAATAAAATTAACGTGGTTATCAAGTTTTTGCGTACGTCATTTATGTCATTCGGAGTTAAGCTTACCCTGAGGTTTACTTCTAAATTTGTAAGTGTATTGATTCGTTCATATGGAAGAGACAAAATACATATTTGATTGATTAAAATTGCACATAGCAATCGTTTGTGGAAACATATTTTTTTATTTGAAAAAAGATTGAAAAAACTTTACGTACCAAATTTGTATAGGCACAAGTGTTTCACGGTTTAGTTGGTATTTTTAGACCAGGTTTATTTGCCCGATAAGTCCCTGTAGAATGTAGACGCTTCCACATATATCTAACAATATGTAAGTAGCTACTAATATTTAAAGAGCGTTCCAGTAGTATGTGTACCAATATGGAGGTAACTGATTTTGTTCGCCTACTTTACATCAAGTTGTGTAAAGGGACTGAAGCCTATTGGCAGGGGGATATTTACTTGGCTAACACAGACAATCCTCGAGCTCGTCATAGAACTAAAATAGGGAAAATCAGAATGAAATTATGGCCTGACCTTAACCTGGTACACACACTACGGGAATACCATTTAAAGAAACTGAATCTTTCCAATTCAGCATCGCCTACTTACTTTATCACACCCTAGTTGAGACTAAATTTGAAATTAGGTTCTTGAATTTATTAAACGAATCAGTTATAAATTTAGAACTTTTCCGTGACCGCAAAATCTATTTCCGAATCGGTTCTGTGGTTAGTATAATAATTATAGCGCAGGCTTCAAATATGCAATCCCTTGGCACATAAAATATAACTATGGCATAATAATAACACGGTTCTAGTTTAAAACATCTAACACTGGAATAGCAAGATTTTACTTCTTACGTGACAATGAAAATGAATAACGTTTATGACGTAATTAATATGAATAAGATGAGAAGAAAATGAAAGTTTGGAACTAATGAGAAACAAATATTGGGCAAATGTTAAATAGGATATTATCAGAAGTTATGAGTCAATGCTGTTTTATTGTTCTAAGCTGTTCATGTTAAGGATATATACAGCGTAATCGGCGTTGTCAAAACGATGTGATTTGCCGACGTTTCGATTTTATATACGTATATATTAAGTGAGCTGGATTTAACCGTATTCGCCTCGCAGGTTCACCTAAACGTAGAATGAACTAATGATAAACTAGTTGCAGGCGGCCGCTTATGAGCTGAGAGTCAAGCCATTTATTTAGTGTAGTCCAGATTTTTCCCCGCGGATTCGGACCGCAGTGCGCCAGTTGGGTAGCCCTGGTATAGAGTATACAAAAAGATAGAGTGATGTTTAGGTTTATCCCTGAGACACATAATAAAATTGCGGTTAAAATGAAACTTCAAAAATGTTTCGAAATCGAGGGAAATATGATTTGGTAAAAAAGGAATGAATAAACAAGCCGAGATTTTAGCCCTCAAATTATACAAAAAGAGGGGAGGAGGGGGGGGGGGGCATATATTTTATTTTTACAAACAATGTTAACCTTAACAAATAATATAAAACAATATTGGATATCGTAAAGCTATAGGGTGAAATTGTTTGTATTCAAGACTGTCAATGGCTAGAGGGACCCTTAATCATTTTGCTTACATTGTAAATACAATGATAGAATTGGTTGAAACAGTGCGCATACATTTTGGGATTATTCGAACATATTCTTAAAGCAGAGCTGCAGAAATTGCGCAATTCGTCGGCTCATTCATTAGTTTGCACCTTTCGGAGATAAAATCGCAAAAATATGTAATGGTGACGGACTGGCCTATTATGGTATCAGATAACGGTATTGTCGTGGTCGCGCATACTTTATATCAAATTACGTTTTATATGTATATATTGCTTGTCCGCGCTCCGGTAGCTTTCTACAGAGAGAAATATTGGCTGTAATAAAGTTTTATTGAAACAAGAGAGCTATGCTCAAATATATAGACACGTACAACTCATACATGTAGTAACACAAGCGATCCGAGTCCCATTATACCTACTATAACACCAGTTACCGGTACCGCGGTTTCACCCATTTATTTGCATCTGGCCCTCCTCTATTAAAGATTGCGCACCCCTGATTTAGATGACTCGAAACATTCCGAGTCTTTGATGGATGATGACTCGGGTTAAAATCGAGTCGAGTCAATGAATCGAGCTTCTCCAAAACTGTGTTAGACTTCTCATTGACGTTGGTCCAAGTCAAGTCAAGTTTATTTTTTCCAACCAGTAAAGAAAATAAATCAATCGAACACAAATTACGAGAAAATGATAATTACACAGATTTACCGGGGAATGGAGGTCGCGGGGAACCAAAACTGGTTAATTAAAAAACATTTGAGCTAATTTAAAAACATTTATTGATTTTCAGGTGATATTATGAAAATAAAGCATAGTCTTAAAATAGAATATAGATTACTGTATCTATAAAAATACAAATATGAACAACATACGGCGAAAGAAATATATCCACGTCTTGCTCTGTCTTTGTACTGTGATCACGATGATTTGTATTGCACAATTCTGCACAAATGGACGAAATATGGCGATATATCACATTGGACCAAAAATGGCAGAAGTCGTTTTACCTGCTATATTACGTTACACCAATAACAATATAAAAGGCAATGAAAGTTGTCCTTATAAACAACTATACCCTCGGACAAAACTCAACGTCTACGAAGGTGCAATTACAGAATGGAATGGGCTAAACAGCAAACAAAAGTCTGCGACACCGAGAAATATACAACCCTTATGGATAAACCCAAAAATAAGACTCAATCCGGAGAAATATTTATTGGTTATACCACGAGGTGGACCTAATAACCAGATGTATGAACTGAGAGAAGCCTTGTTTATTGCTATTAAATTAAATAGGACGATTGTGATGCCCAAGTTCTTCAAGCATTTTACTGACAGGTAAATATGGCATCAGATTTCAATTTAGTGGCGTCTCATAAAATGGGAGACATATGATCGGCGGTGTGGTTCATCGTGCTAAGCGTTAGGAATACGATCGCCACCGAAACTCTGATTACCCTGCGTGGGTTCACAGGTTCGAATCCCATGCGGGGATGATTATGTGCGAGACGATTGCTGGACTCCGCGCCGGCGTAAGGTGGTTCACGTAATCGCTGGTCGGTTACGACTTCCTCCACTATCAAGTCCATGCTTCCGAAAACAAACAATATAACTAATCCCATACCCGACTTGGAATGGTAACCGGACGAGAGGCCGTGGTTCGCCATATGGATAAGCCGTCTTATCGGCTTTTCTTCTCCCCCGGGATAAATATGTAAATCCTATCCTATCCTATCATCATTATCTCGAAATATGTGTATGATTTTTGGTACTCTGGGAGTGTGTGTACCAGGTTGGGGTTGGGCCATAATTTTATATTCATTTTCCCTATTTTAGTTCTATTACGAGTTCAGGGACTTTAGTGTTAGCCAAGTGAATATACCCCCTGCCCATAGGTTTCAGTCCCTTTACACAACTTGATGTAAAGTAGGCGAACAAAATTAGTCACCTCCATATTGGTATACACGTACACACACTTCTCGAGCGCCGATTTGTTTTACTGATTGAAAAAAATAAACGTGACTTCACCCTTCGAATAACTGTGGCAGTACTCTGCAACTGTATGGGTTCTTTACATGCCCTTTTCCACAGAGATGGACAAATTCATATCATATGATTCATAATTAATTAGTTGTACATAATTCTTTCTGAAGCCTCACAAATCCATTTTGATTTTTATTTCAGTCAAGCGACAGGACATCGAAACACCTATATTCATCCTAGCCATAGACTTGACGTTGAAAACTTCTGCAAATTCGCATCCTGTATCACCATTGACCAATTTGCAGAAACATGTGGATTCAAAGTGGATGCCGTTATACAAATGAGGTTTCGTGTTTTACGTGTCTTCAATACAACTAAGTTAATTCTTGTCGTAGTTTATTTCGCAATGGATGTTTCCTCGCGCATCGAGTTTCCTGTTTATTTTCGTAACAATTACAAATCAGCAATAAATTAACAATGATGTGACAATTAAAATTTATGCCGCCACTCAGATACTTCATTCGCTTCTCAGACAGATATTCAAGCGTGGTTGTGATCATTGCTACTTTTTGGTAGTTTTGCACGTTATTTCTCAGTTTTTAGTTGTGTTTCAAAAAATAGTTGTTAACCCCAATTGTCATTATGTCTTCTGAGGACCGTCGACCTAAAGCAATAGCCGACATTACTCTAGTCACGGATATATTCCATGTTCGCAGGGATGTCGGGAATATGGTATATTGTTATTGGGGTCTCAATTCCAGAATTTAGTACAGAAAATGCAATATGTTCACTTAGCCGGTGTTATAAGTTCGTAATTTGTTTTTAGCGAACAACGTAAAACAAAAATGTTCAAGTGCTTAAAGAGTCTTGCTGCACACTAACATAAATATATTTCGGTATACTATAATTGTATAATGGGTACTCCCGTAGTATGTGTACCAGGTTAGGGCCGTTAGGCCATAATTTTATTCCGATTTTCCTCATTTTAGTTATAATACGAGTTCGGGGATTGTCTGTGTTAGCCAAGTGAATATACCATCTCACATAGATTTCAGTCCCTTTACACAACTTGATGTTATGTAGGCGAACAAAATTATTTACTTCCATATTGGTACACATACTTCTGGAGCGCACAATTGGGTATGTCTGAGGAAGAATGACCTTCACGCAGGATAGTTATCTTCACTCTTGATACAACATTCTTGCATTATACACATACGGATCCACTAGCGCAAAAGCAGAGTAAAATGATAAGTAGTTAGTCCCGCAGAAACCCAATCGATGAATAATAAATCGCCCTTTTATTTCAGAAACTATTCGAAGGAAGATCTCAAAATACAGGAAAAATATATGCGAATGCCATTACCTCGAGATGGGGAGTATTTGAGTCAAAGCGTTGCTATTCCAAATGGAAAGGTGCAAAAGTATATTGTGACCGACGAAATAAATGAAATTTTTGAAACTGACGTAAGTATACCATTGAATAAAATGTATAAATTATCTTAACATGGGATGCGAGACATCAGGGGTGTGCAACCTGCGGCCCGCGGGCCAAATGCGGCTCGCAAGGAAAAGTTGTGCGGCCCGCGGAGAAGTGACGATTTTGAATGATGTGCGGTCCGCGACACGAGTTTTTAATTTAATATGGTACGTACGAGCAATTCCAATCCATTTTCATTGCGTAGCCTATACCTGATTCCACTATATTATCTATATATACCATGTCACAAGATTAAATTTCTACTAGATACCCTATGTTAAAAAAGATACGTCCCGCGGTTTTATCCAGTTATTTCTATCTAGCCATCCTGTACTAAAGGTTGCACAACCCTGAGATACATAACTAACTCGATAAAATTAATAGTAACGCATTGATTATTTTCTAACACGAACTCTAACTGGTTAATTACTAATTTTCTTATTCTAAAACCTAGCAGAGGTGTTTTTCTCAAATCTCATATTTTAGAATTAGTGGCATGGGCTCACTACGGAAGATTCGAAGATTCTTACGTATTAATGGTTTTATTTGGAGTAGTTGGAAAACATCTCGCAAAACCTGAACCAAAACAGTCGAGAATATTCAAGCCCAGCGGCTACATCGACAGTGCCGAGTTCACACTGACAATAAATTTATCCCTTTTAATTAATATGTTATGTGTTTCGCCTCTCTTTTCACAACTCATTTAAGAAAATTAGTTCACGCCTCTTAAACGCCCACTTTTTACTAGGTTTTAGTGAGTTATTAGTAGGTTTCAAAAATGTTTTTCTTTTTCGTTCAGGCTCGATGTTTGGTTTTTCCATACCCTCTTTTCAATTTGAGGATTAGAGCGAGTAAGACGGAGAAAAAAGGAAAAAACAAAAAATACAAATTCAGTCAATCATTAGTTAGTAAGTGATTCTGAATCATTTAATCACCGTGTTTTGTCGAAAATAAGACAGGGTCTTGTTTCAATTTTCTTCCGAAAAATACCACTAGGGCTTATTTTTAGGGGGATGTTTTATTTACATTAATCGGAAGCAAAATTACTAAGTAGTGGTTTTCAAATATGAAAAATACGAAAACCGATATTCATTTACCTATAAATAACACGTTGACATCGACTGGGTCTTATTTTAAGGGGAGGGTTTATATTAAAAATATTTTTAAAATTCATGTGTCAGGCTAGGTCCTATTTTCGGGGAAACACGGTAATACAACGTTTCCCAAGCGGGAAAATTTTCTCTCCAAGGATGAATTTTGTCGTTCTTGTTGAGGTATTTTGCTTTGTATTTGCTGTAGTACTTCTACTATTCTTTAGATCATTATAACTATAATAGGCTGCTTATTCATACACACATTATGAGCTACTAAATTGGGTACTCCCGTAGTGTGTGTACCAGGTAAAAGTTAGGCCATAATTTTATTCCTTTTTTCTATATTTCAGTTCTATTACGAGTTCGGGGACTGTCTGTGTAATCCAAGTGAATATACCCCTGCCTATAGGTTTCCGTCCATTTACACAACTTGATGTAAAGTAGGCGAACAAAATTAGTCACATTCATATTGGTACACATACTTCTAAAAGCCCTAAATTGTACAAAACTGGGAATGCGACTCGCGCATAACATCAGCTAACGATCCATTAATATCAAATAAATCAAGTAGTTTCTATCCATAGTAAGGAAAGGATGAAGGTTCCAAAATAGGCAAAGGTAAGAATTTAACGGAAAATGTTGGGAACCACTAGTTTAGGAGTTTTTGTTATGAATTTGTTACACGTTTTGCTCCGAACGTACACACTATACAAGAAATATCTACTACTCTAATTTTGAAATTGCCCTAGACAAGGTAATAGCGAGTCTTCGCTTCAATTCAATTTGTAGTCTTTGTGAAATGTGATAATATTTAACAACGTTACATTATCGCAATTAACCAATCCTTTAATAGTACTTTCTTGGATATGATTGTTAAGCTAACTTACTTACAGACTACTAACTAACGAAAAGAATACTAACTTACTTATGATTTTCAAATTTGGTATAGACATATATTATTAAATTGTTTTGGTGTCTCGTTTTCTAATGTCTTATAGATTAATAATAATTAGAAGCATTTGCATCAACTAAATTTATTCATTAAGTTGAATCAGCATCGTGGGTGTCGCTGCTCGAAGATCTTACGAGGTCTCTCGCGACACAGTTTTACACTGTGTATTTAGCTGAAATAAATAAACCTAATTATAAAATGAAATAGATCTGAGGGTATACTAGTTTACCACACTCGGCTCGCGCCTTTGCTTTGAATAATATCTACGCAACAAGCAGCTTGATGGTTTGACCACGAGCGCTTATTTAAGTTAACGAGCTGGACTTGTTAAGTCGATTTTCCTGTCCAAGTCCTGCGGTCTCCTATCGCTACTATCGTCAAATTTAATTCAATTTATCAACAACTCTAGTCATTTTCAATAGGTCTGTGGCCTATCAATAGTTCCTGTGGCCCAGTAGTGGGTCATGGCCCACTTGCTGAGAAACGGTGGTCTAGTCGTTAATGAGAAAGCGAATATTGTCCCACAACAACTGGTTCCATGCGTCACCCACGTTTCAATGTGTTCTTTAATATATCACAGATCTTGAAGATTCTCCTGACGTGTTGCTGATGAAAGAAATTATAAAACTCACGAGAAATCCAACGTACATTGCAAACATGGCAAAAGAATATATTTCAAAATCTATATTCAAAGGGCGGCCATTCATTAGTGTTCATTGGAGATACGAAGAACTCGACTTTATGAATAGGTAAAACGAAGTTAAACTTTTTTTATAGAAGATACAGCGCTCCCGTATTATGTGAACCAAGATGGCTAACAGCGTAACGTAGTTTGTGTACCAGGTTAGGGTTAGGCCATAATTTTATTCCAATTTTTCTTATATTAATTCTATTACGAGTTCGGGTACTAGACAAGTGACTCCCGAAGTATTTGTACTTGAAATTATGGCTTAACCCTAACCTAGTAAACACATACTTCGTTCCTGTGTCCGCCATCTTGGTTTACATACTTCGTGAGTACTAAAGATACTAAGACTTTGAAGGAATTGGGATCTCTTATTGGGCACCATAGGCGTAGTCAGCACGGGAAAAAATTTCAGCACTTTTTAAGAAATGCAATTATGCAGCGATTACAGTGAGACATAAATTTCAATCGAGTAGGATCAAATATGGTATTTTCAAGCCTTTTTTAAAATTATGGTCAAAAATAGAGTAAATTAGTCAATAGCAAGTTTTCTTAGACCAATTTTTTGTTGACTTGTGTTCGGTGTTGGTTGGTGTCGAAGTCAACTTTGTATTGAACTCCCAATAGTTAGTCGAAATGAAATACCTCTCTATTTTTATTTTTCACAGTTTGGTGTGAGATGGGCAAGGTTTTCGGACCAGGGGAAATAAATTTTGCCCACCCAGACTGGCGGACCATTTACGTGTGACGTAAAAAGTTATATTTTATTAATATGAAGCGTTGCAAAAGCAAAAGTGCAAAGCAATAAGCCTCGTGCCCAAACTAAATTTAATTGCGATCTCAACAAATTCCTTGAGCTATTTTTAGCTGAAACATCAAAATTTGGTTTTAGTTTGGTTGTGGCATCATCAGGCGGGCCAGATCAAATTACTCAACGGATCGAATTTGGCCCGCGGGTCGTAGTGTGTCCATGTCAGGTGTAGACACTTTGAATAAGGCTTTTGACTAAGCGACTGTCTACAATTTTGAATGCACACGTAGTGACAGTTTTGCTAAATCGTTGTTGTTGAGAGGACGTTTTGTTGGAAAATTCGCTTTTCTCCGTAACTAATCGATTTCAAAGTTACGTTACTTGAAGGTGAAAATTGTCTCCAGAAGGCTAAAGATTCAATATTTCTGTTAGTTATCTTGTATATTACTCCTGCTTCGACATATCAATTACTTACACCGTCAAAAGTCAAGTTAAAGTCAAAACAAAACGTTACAAGTCAAAACCTTTAAAGCACGACGCAACATATTGAAATCACAATTGGATCCGCACAATTAAAACGGTTTAAACGTATCTAATAACAGGTGCAGATTTGATTTGAAAAAAGGAAATTTGTCGAAAGCCCGAAAAAAATTTTGTGAAAAGACATTGGGAGTAAGGTGAGCATACCTATATAATAGAAAGGCAGTTGTTTTTCCAACCTGGTTTCTGTGAAACCCTAAGACTCAGTCGCTATAGTTCAAGGGTTCCGCAAGTTGCCACACAGATCTAAGAATTTATATTAATGCATGTATGTTGTTTGTATTATTTGTTCATGAATAAGTATCCTAATAGTATTGAATACCTTAAGCAGAATTTAAACGAAGTAATATGTTCTCCTCGAAAACATCAGAATTTCTCGCAGCAAACCCCTCGCACATGACTATCCCCTCACGGGATTCGAACCTGCGAACCCACACAGGGTAATCAGAGGTGCGGTGGCACGCATAGCACGATGCGCCACACCGGCGTGGAAGATATTTTTGATATATCCTACATACCTTCAACGATGACAATCCATACACAGAGACCATTAAATGCAGAGACTGCCTAATAATGGTTCATAGGAACCAACAATAAATTTCATAAAAGGTGTTTGAATATTCACTCTGGAAATATTATTCGATGATGTATTTTTGCACGATTGCTCAAACCAAGGTTCTACTTCCTTAACCGAAGGTAAACTGCTTACTAACTACCATGTTTCCCCGAGAATAAGACCTAGTCTGAATTTTAAAAAACGTGTTATTTATAAGTAAATGAATAGATATCGATTTTCATATTTTGTATATTTGAAAATCTCGTAATCCTGTACTTTGTAATTTTGTTTTTGATAAATGAAAATAAAAGACATCTTCTCAAAAATAGGCTCTAGCGTTATGTTTCAAAAGGAAAATAAAATACGACCCTGTTTTATTTTCAGTAAAACACGGCGACTATGTATAATTTTGTCGTGCCTCCATTTTTCTCTACGTTAAATATTACATGTCTGCTCACTAAACTAAGATATTGTTTCTCAGCGGAAGTGACATTGCAGACATCGTACTCAAAAAGATATTATCAATTCGAAACGAGACCAACGTACGAGATATATACATAGCATCACCGCCATCTGAGAGAGAGAAGATTGCAAACACTTCAAGAATATTGTTCGAGAGTCACGTGTGTAGATTTTGAATTTTATTTACGAATTTTATTGTTGGCTATATATATATGCATAGATAACGCAGACAACGTATAGATCGCGTATACAACTTTTTTGAGGGAGTGTGAAGCTAATTAAAATTGAAAATATTTGTTAGATTTCATCTTGCCGGCCTACATGGTACATGGTAACTAGCGTAAAGATAAGGCCTTACATCCTGAATATCCTTGAATGGCCACGATTACATCTGATGAACAAAGCCACCCACACCGCTTTCACAGATCAGAGATAAACAAAATCTAGATCAATGAAACTTAACGAAAGACGTGATGCTGCACAGGAAAATATAGACAGCGTTGCCAATATTTGCAAAAAATTCTTATCGAAAATATCATCAATGTTAACAACCATGGCATTTTAAATAAAGTTTCTTTTATCTGACTTTATAGAAATTCAACACTCTTTCTTCTCCTGATCTTGAAGCTTTTATAACTGAACATCATGGTTCTTGTGGAAATATAATGAAGCATTTCAACGATATTTTGTCAACAACGGAAATGGAAATATGCTCAAAGGGAATTGTATTTTTGAGGTATGTACTTGACTAAAACGAGTAAACTTATAACATGAATTTTTTAGAGCAGTGGTTCCCAACCATTTATGGCCCGTGGGCCCTTTTGGGAGGCTTTTACACTCAGTTTATCCCATAGGTTTTTGATTTTAAAAAATATTGAACAACGTATAATTATAGCAATATTGTCTATTCTTCAAACACTCAATATTTCCAAATTATCAAGTTTAAGCATACTCCCGTAGTGTGTGTACCAGGTATGGGTTAGGCCATAATTTTTATCTGATTTTAGTATCTAATTAGTTCGGGAACAGTCTGTGTTAGCCAAGTGAATATATCCCCTGCCCATAGGTGTCAGTCCCTTTACACAAATTGATGTTAAAAAGTTGAACAAAATTAGTTACCTTCATATTGGTACACACACTTCTGGAGTTCCAGGTCCGGTTTTTGAGAGAGAGAAATCCTAAGTATAAACAACGTGAACGATTTGCTTCGTGAACAACAGATACAGTATATTCATTGTGAGAGGAAATCTCTCTCGTTTTATCCATCTACATACGCAATAACATTGTTACATCTACATTTTCACAGTTCAGCGACGTCAACTTGGTCTTTGAACGTGAAGCATTTGAGACTGACGTCAGACGCAAAGAACCTTTTGTGTCAATATGATGAACCAATGTACAGCTGACATACGGTGCTGACCGGAGTCTAAAAACCGGGAATATTTATGCGCTACACTGTGATGTACTGACCGGAAAATCGATGTTAAGAACATATTTTTCCAACAACTATGATATGTAGAAGAATATGTGCAGTCTCTTTCGATAAGTTTTTTGAAGATATACCGGAATCGTAGTGGTATTTTGAGATTGCTCGGATTAGGAGGCGCAGTTTTTACCACTTCATGGCAGCTCCTGCCATGAACGAACCGCGGCAGCTCTTGCCCTGGTTTTATAGCGCTATTCAGTAATCAGTATTGACAGTATATTCACAAAATATTGTACCAGATTTTAATTGATTATGCGGAATTATATCTACTTGAAACCCTAACCCCAAATCCACCCAAACTGCAATCATAAGAAAAACGGTCCAACTTACCCAATATTTGTCACCATAAGGGACAGTCCTGTTTTTACGGCCCACCTGCCTTGGTAACGGCAGCAAAATTTTACCTGCCATTGGTTTTTAATTTGCTGCCGCGGTAATGTCAGCTCGTCATTGGTTTGTGGCAGCTAAAAAGTCAGTCGCCATAGGTTTGGCCGTAGCGGCCATGGCATGGAAATACCGCCATGGTTTTGCGGCAGCTGCAGACGCCACAGAATACTTAAAACTGCATTTGGGAGGATTCGGTGGATGAAGTACAAATTTAAGGCTTACAAAAGCTTGGACAAGAACAAAACAGCTGAAACTGAAAATGAATTTCAAATTCCAAAGTTTTTATATATAGTTAAGGCAAAGTAATATGAAGTCAAATTGTAGTAGACTGCTCAGGGTAAAAATCTGAAGTCTATAACTGGATATAAACTATGGAAAAACCGAACAACTGTAATTTTAAAAAAAGCTTTGGACTTCAAACGGCAACATAAACAGTTATCGTCATGTTTGTCGAAATGTGAAAAAATAACTTGTGATTGAGCAGATAGTTGAATTATGGGCTCCATCGAAGTATGTGCACCAAGATGGCGCACAACCTGAACCCTAACCTGGTACACACACTATGTTCAGGTTGTGCGCCATCTTGGTGCACATACTTCTGGAGGTCCATTCTATGTATGTCTGAGGAAGTCTGACTTTGGCCGGACGAAACGTTGCAGAAATACATTTGTGTTAGTGTGCAGCACAACTCTTGGATTGGATAGAACATCTTTTTACTTTACATTTATTTGTGTGTAAAATTATCTTCTTATTCATTCTCTTTATTTTACTCGTGGTTAAATTCTAGAATGACAAAATTGGCAGATGCCTTAAAGCAATTCGCGGTCAAAAATACAGACAGTATGTAGCGTTGTTTGTAAAAGATTTCAATAATACTTAAAAATACAAATAAGAATAAAATATTCTCTTTCCTAGAAATAACAATTGGTGTAACTGTTGATTGTTGTAAACTGCTTGTCTGAGGAAGTCTGATTTTGGTCAGACGAAACATTACATTTCTGTTCCGGTGCAGCAAGACTCTTGAATTGCATAACTTTTATTTCAGGAAAAGAGATTATTTTAGTCTTTTTTATGACTTCAATACTAGCATGTTTATAAAATATTCTAGCACCTTCTTCTGCATAAAAGTACTCGATTTTGTTTAATGCATTTGACAGAATGGCAATTCAAATATTCAAAATTTTAACGAATTGACCATTTCATAACATGATTACTCTGTTTATTTTTATTCATAAACTTCATTCAAAAACAATTTACTTTCAAAAAGTAGCTTCATGGTGTCGCTGATGTGCAATAAAATTAAGTCCATATTAAATTTTTGTTTTAGGATAGAATAGGATTTACATATTTATTCAGAGAAGGGAAAAGCCGATAAAAAGGCTTAATCACACAGCGAACCACGGCCTCTTGTACGGGTACCAGTCCAGGTCGGGTACCGGTATGGGATTAGTAAGCCAGTTAATTGTTTTCGGAAGCATAGACTTTATGGTGGAGAGAGCCGTAACCGACCAGCTGTTACGCGAACTACTCTACGTCGGCGAGGAGTTCAGAAATCCTCTCGCACATAACTATTTCCACATGGGATGCGAACCCACACAGGATAATTAGAGATGCAGTGGCAATGCGTATTCCTAGCGTGTTATTTCAATTTACATAAACCAGGGCGGTGCAGTCGGAATCGTATTTGCAAACTTGACACAGACGAAATTTTGAATTCATTCGAGTCTAATTTTCAGACGTTTCATCGTGGTAATTCGAGTTATATACAGTTTATCAATCAATTTTATTGCAATAAAATTACATTGAACACAAATATGCCAATAATCAAGGCATTTTAAATATGCCCGCATCGGTCATGGATTGCACATTTGTAAATTCTACTCATTGAGATTTCAACGCCGACCTTGGGATTTCTGTAATGGAGATATCTTGCTTAAAAATAATCTTGGGTGCTGAAAGACCAACTTAAATTTGACGAATCGCAAAAATACGATTCCAATCTATTTATAGTAGATTAGGTTATTTTAGAATCGTAATGTTTCGTTTTAGTAATTGTAATAGTAATCTCGACTCAAAAGCGAGTAACGATAACACTATTAAATTTCATGACAAGACATTTTAAATGCTCACATCGGCAATGGGTTTAATATTTTACGCATCAAAAAACTCGTTATCCACTGAAACAGTCTTTTTTTCGTTAACGAGTGGCCTAATCGCGGAGAATGTTGCGCGGGAATTTCCAATTCCAATTGTGAACCCTCCCTTTTAAAAATTCTGGCCACGCTTCTGTTTATAGATGATGTCATATTTGAATTACCGCCTCGTTGCCGCATTCCGACGCCACGGTTGTCAAAATTTATCGATGCTGTTATTGCTTCTTTGGACACTTATAAAATTACCTATGTCAGTATTTTGATAAGTAATCGAATAGCTCGCGGAGCCCCTTAGGTTTCTCGCTCGGAGCCCTGGGGCTCCGTACGGAGCACTTTGAGAACTAATGAGCTAGAGCAGGGCTACTCAACTATTTTTATCGAAGGTCCGCAAACGAAACTTCAAAATTATTTGGGTCCGGTCTTTCCAGAAGTGATATTTCGTCATCCTTAAACGAGCACTTCCTCGACCGACTAATGATTAGTAGCAAATTAAAATTGTTTATTATGGTGTTATAGTTCTTTTCGTATATATTCAAAACTATGAAAGTCATTTTATAATAGGAAATTCAAAAAGTGGGGCTAATGATCCAAAATAAATAATAAGGTGCGGTCCAAATCCAATACTCGAAAGGTCCGGATTCGGACCGCGGTCCGCCAGTTGAGTAGCCCTGAGCTAGAGGGTCCCGCCGGATGCAGGAAAACTTGGGACTTGAGGGTTCAAAAAGCGTTGCAAGCTACGAAAATTGCTATGTATAATCCAGAAAAATGCTTTTCAAAAGGAAGGGTTCCGTCCTTCAACCCCCCAAACGGAGTTCAAACTTCCAGGAGTCCGAATTTCAGACTCTCGAGGGTGATAAAAGGGGTACTCCCGAAGTATGTGAACCAAGATGGCGGACGAGAAGCGTAGTATGTGTACCAGGTCAGGGTTAGGCCATGAGTTTATTCCAATTTTCTTTATTTTAGTTCAAGTACAAGTAGTTCGGGCACTAGCCAAGTGACTCCCGTAGTATTTGTACCTGATATTATGGCGTAACCCTAACCTGGTACACATACTACGTTCCTGTGTCCACCATCTTGGTTCACATACTTCGGGAGTACCGATAAAAAAAAGTGGAAAGCTTCTAGAGAAAGTCAAAGAAAGTCATTAGATTTACGAAGCCTTTGTAACAGTCTTGAATAAAAAAGTTTTTGTTGTCAAAATTCAATTATTTCGTAGTTGTAGTGATATTTTTTCACTCCTGAGCCGCAGTCAAAATATTTCTTAGGAAGAAATTGTGGTCACCCTTTATCAAATGAATTTTTCATTTTTAATACCTGTCAGCATTACTGTATCTTTTTATTTATATTCGTCAAGATTGCTTACTGCAAGTGGTGAGCGAATATGTATAGGTGTTCAGCATCGCGAGCGAAGTCGTCGTAAAAGCCGTTGGTTAAAAAGGTTTCGTTGTCAAAATTTGATTTATTTTTAGATGGAATCAAAGTGAAAAATGTTTTACACTCCTGACACGCAGTCAAAATATTTCTCAGCCCAAAGTCATGGTCACCGTTTTTTTCAACCTCGAGTTGGGTTTGATTATAAATTTCCTAGCCACAGAAGCCCTGATTGATAGATTGACAGTTATCAAATTAATTATTCAATTTTAATAACTTTCAACCCTACTGTATCTGTTTATTTATATTTGTCAAGATTGCTTGCTTCAGCAGATTAGTGGTTAGCGAATCTGCTAAAGCAAGCAATATGCGATGGTTAAGTTCGATCCACAGTTATTCTACTGACTATTTCGCTACATGTGACCACGTCCAGGGCACAGTTAACACGAGTAAGGATACGGTAGGCTTTTTATATTTATCCCGGGAGAAAGTCAAGACGATAAAAAGGCATAATTACATAGTAAGGCCACCCTTCTGGTTATTAGTCCATATCGGTATTAAAATAGTTGATCAGTTATATGTTTCAGATGCATGTGCTTCATAGTGGAGAAAGGCGTAATCGATTAGCTTTATGTGAATCACCATACGACTGCGAGAAGCCACGCATTCCTCATGAATTCCGAAGTGCCAACCACCGAATCTTATTCAGTTGTTTGAAAGAGAATGGCCGAAGGTATAAATAGTTATATAAATAGTTAACTAGATGACATGTTTGTTAGCGAGAATATTGGGCGAATGAAAGAGACCGTGTCAATGAAAGCCATCCACAGGCGCTCGCTTGGACACGCAACAAACCAATCTAAATTTCAACGTACTTCACGAAAATATAGTCGTCACTGAGGGAAACAGAGCCGGATCATTTTTTTTACAGGCTTTAAGCACTGAAGACTTTAGTGACCTGTGTGTATAATATAATAATGAGGAAACTGGCGTACTATGATATCTGGAAATAAATAAGTAAGTTTCAGTATTCATTAATTGAGGGCTAAGTTACATTTAACTTGCATGATTTTATTTTATATACAGTTTTCATACTTTGATAGAGAGGTTTAAGATGATACTTCAGAATGTTATTTCAACCGGACCAGTATTTAGGTCTGTGTTGTCGGATCAATTCGAATTGTATCAATAAACATTGAACAATTTTTAAATCATTCATAGAAATTGATGTGGTACCCCGTCTTGGTGTAATAAGCATGTGCTTATTTTACGTAATCCATCCAGCATTGCAAGGAAAGCAGACCGACTGTGTGAGAGAAAATGAGTCCACGTAGATATGTTTGAAAATAGGTTCTCCGTAGGGTAATTAGACGCGGCATTTTCACGCGGCACAAAGCAGAGTTTCGTGCACTTAAATGAAACTGGAAACGGTATTAAAACAAAAGTTACAACCCATTTCTTGTGCGCTAATAGTTTATTTATTAGTAGCCATTTATTTTATTCAATCCTCGTGCAAACTTTAGGAACGCGACATTGTAAACTGACTTTGCTAACACTCACTCAGAAAATCGAGGACCATTTCATGAATGCGGAGAGGAACTGTTTGGGTATGTTGCCTGTACCTGTCGTGTATTAGGTTCCTGGCGAGGGTAACGAATTTTCAACAAAGATCGTAAAGTCAACCAAAGAAAGAGAGAAAGAGAAATGATCGATCACACGAGTTGTCATATTTCCATATCATGCGTACATTGCACCGTATTAGCTTATTCGAAACAAAAAAGCATATCGAAATACAAGTGATGGAAAAAACAAATATCTTTGACTCAATTCTTTGTCATTATGACATCGCAATCGGTGTCTCAAATGTCGTGTCCCATCTGTCCCACTTTTCTGAGTTAGGGTAGTTATATATTGTGGGACAAATGGTCAAAATGATCATATTATGAAGCGAAATTCTTGCTTGTTCTGGGTTAAGATATATATATTACTTTGTCAGAAGGTTATAACATATACTCGTAAGCCTTCTGCTAAAATATTATATTCATCCGCAAATCCAGAACATAGCACGAATTCTACTTCATACCATGATTCATACAAGTGTGGAAGTGTGAAAGGAGTGCGATGAGACGCCCATCGCAATTATCCAACGTTGAAGCCGGGAAGGCCAGGTTAAATTAACCGGTTTCCATTCCAACATTATACCAAGTTGAGCACTAGACTCAGAGCACTAAAAACAGAGCGTTTGTAAAGGAATAGCAAGGTGTTCAGTCTTTTTTCTTTCAGGTGAAATCCTAATATAATATTTAAATCGTCCGTTAAAAAATTCGTCCGCTTCTTCGTTCGTCACAGGTTTTTGACTTAAATCAGCGAAATGACCAATAGTTAGACATAGATATTCAGAGGAAAGATAGAGTCGCAATATAGAGTCGCACAGGGCGGTCATTGTTCCTATGCAACATATGCGGCCGCAGTGGGTCCCGCACTTCCAAAAACCCCGCGATAATTAATAAATTTTACCAATATATCATATATAGGTCGGTGTGTATATTCAATATACCAAAGACACTTTAATCGTGATATTATACCTAGGTAAAATATAAATGGGAGGACTTTCATTTACTCTTAACCCAGCGCCTCACGTTAGCTGTTTCACATGCGACTCGCATGACCGGTCTTGTAGGTGCACTCGCAATAAGTAAAGCTGTTTTCAAGTATAAATATCAAAGTTAGTCCAGCATATGAACTATAATATTCTTTTAAAGAACTTTCTCTCCCAAGCATGTGCTTTGGCGTTTGAAAACCACTGCTCTGGTGTCTAAAGCAGATGAATGACTTGGAACTTTAGGTGGGTAAGAGAGGAAAAGGTAAGACTGGCAAACACTGTAGTTGGATTGACAAGTGAGTTCGGTGCAAAAATAAAAAAAATGAAAAGAAAAATATAAATCACTAGTAAACACTTAGGCCATACAACGAACGCATAATCGTATGGCAGGTGTGGTTATATTTTGGATTGAAATGAAAAAAAAAACAGCTGTTCCAAACCAATCTGGAGTTTGTGATTCATTATGTCACGTATATTTCGAATTTTGCCTAAAAATGAAAAACAACTTTGCTATGACTATCTGCATAAAATTAAATTTGTCGTATTGGATCTGGCAACCCTCAGTATGTAGCTTAACTGTGACTGTGACAAGGATGACTCTTCATTTACAATTGTGATATAATATGATATTAAAGCCACAATAGAGCATACCTACGCCTGAGGCTCTTCTAAGCATCGGCAATAATAAAAGATTGTAAAATTATTACAATTTCAACGTAATGTTGTAACATACTCTGAAAATTACAACCAAAGCCAGGAAGCTGCCAATTTATTTACGTATGTATAGACTGTGTTTATTTAAACCAAGCTTCAAGTTACAAAGACCAAGATTGCTACTACGCGAATATTTGTAGTTCAATTACGAATAATTTTTAGTTCAATTTACTACTTTTTTATATTGCAGACCGTTGAATTATCCGCAGCGTTTAAGACCGTAGCAAAGCATAAGCAATTGAGTCTGAGTTATAACATTGTTGCATACTTTGTGTATTATGTTACAGTCGAACTATGTAATATAGGGGCAATTTATGTGTGGAGAATATATTAAAAAGCTTATTGACAGGAAGATAGGATCGTATATATGTTAGAAGGCAATTTAATCTTGTTACAGGTATAAGACGCCGTATTGTGAGTCTGTATACTATATATATGGAAGGTTTAAAGTTTTAAACGATTTCCTATTGTATTGTTACAATTTACCAATGGCTCATGAAATGCATAGTAGAATAATGTGTTGTTTACCTATTTTGTACATGATTGGAGAATATATTTGAAAGACGATATTTGAGAGTAGAAGTATATGGTATTTATTTCGGAGACTGGCAGTAACAAACCATAGGTTCCTAGGCCCGTACACTGAATTATTTTAAGACTATTTGCACAGCGCAACGTCAGCTCACGCAGAAGTAATGAAAACTCATCTCATTTATTGAAACTATATACATCAGTAAATGTCGATTGGCGGGAGACTTGAAGATGTGACTTTGCAAGACAAAGTAGCAATGGAAAAATGTCGTTCAGACTCTAGTGATAAGAACGAGAGACGGGTTAACTTGAAGACGATTTTGTAAATATATTGTTCAAAATAGGTTATTCTTTTTCAACAGTTCCGTTGTAATTAATATGTAGACTGTATATGAATTTCGGATGAACATTGTGCAAAGTGCCTCAATGCGAAAAATACGGAGCTCAAACCAAAAAATATTGCTAAGTTGTCTAATTAAACAATGATTATAAATAAAAGGATGATGAGAAGAAACGGTGCCACCATTTTCCTGGTTCTCTTTGGAGTTTTACTTTTATTTATGCGATATCGGATACAATTGCAAGACACTTTTCGCTCATTGAGAGGAAAAAGTGAGAAAGAAAATGCTGCTATCGAAGAACTATTTGGTCCAAGAAAAATAATTTCGAAAGAACCAAAAATTATAAGTACAAATAAGATTGAAGATATTGAAATTAAAAAAGAAGAGAAAATTGAAAAGCCTCCACTAAAACTAGAAAACGCTCAAAACTGGAAAGTAACTGACGAAAAATGTGAGCTGAATCCGTTTTCGGAAGTTTTCAAGAATTCTGACGATGGATATGAGACCATGAAAATGTCAAACGAAGAGATACATTCAGAGAAGTTCACTCACGCCACATCAACCATAAAACCGGTTTTTGAGAAAACTACTATCCGGTTAAATCCGGATCGATTTTTGTTTCCGATTTTAATGAGAGGACCAAACAACCAATTGATAGGATTCAGGGAATCAATTTATGTTGCGATCAGATTGAATAGAACTCTTGTGATTCCGCGATTCATCAAACATCGTACTGACAGGTTGGATTTCACTTTTTTCTAACAATAATCGCGTTAGCGCTTTACCTTATTAGGCATTCCCAATAACGATTTAGGATAGGATTAGATTTACATATTTATCCAGGGGGAGAGAAAAGCCGATAGTACGGCCTAATCATATGGCGAACCATGGCCTCTCGTCCGGTGACCAGTCCAGATCGGGTATGGGATTAGTTAGCTAGTTATCTGTTTTCGGAAGCATTTATGGTGGAGGAAGCCGTAACCGACCACTGGTTACGTGAACAACACTACGGCGGCGAGGAGTCCAGCAATCCTCTCGCACATAACCATCCCCGCATGGGATTCGAACATGCAAAGCCACGCAGAGTAATCAGAGATGTGGTGGCGAGCGTATTCCTAACGCTTAGCACGATGCGCCACACCGCCGCGCCTACATCATTTTAAATTCATAGTGCAGTGTTTCTCAAACCTTTTTTGTTAAATTCCTTACTTCCCATTTTGTTATGCCTGAAATCTTCGTTAGTTGATCGATACTTATAGAATTCGTAGCTAGTCTTATGTGCAAGTAGAGAATAGCACTCTCGCTTTTGTACAGTTCTAATAGTTTATAATTTGTGGGTATTAGTAATGCCACAGCAAATACAATGTTCATTCCTAAGAACGACGAAATTCCTTCCTGGGATAGAATTCCACTCTTGTTGGGAAAAGTTGGCATAGTGGAAAGTTTTATTACAGAGTATTAATAAAGTCCCGTTGCATTTTCATTTCGGTATGAAGCCAGTTCTCAATATATCTAACCAGGTTTGTTTTATTTCAATCAGTATTTTTCTACTCTATTCACGGGGTACTTCCATAGTATGTGTACCAGGTTAGGGTTAGGCAATAGTTTTATTCCGATTTTCCTTATTTTAGTTCTATCACGAGTTCGGGGATTGTCTGTGTTAGCCAAGTGAAAAAAAAAACTTCCCATAGGTTTCAGTCTCTTTACACTTGATGTAAAGTAGGCGAACAAAATCAGTTACCTCCATGTTGGTACACACACTTGAAATCGCCGTATTTACTCAAACAACCTTTTCACTTCAAGAAATTTCAATTGTTGAATGAACCATGAACATACCACACAATCGAAGTTCGAGACTGGACAAAATATGACTATAATTGAATTGAATATACCCGATTAGAAGTTCTGGTTTGTAATATGTAGGCTTTTCTCTCTCCCGGGCAAACATGAACCTATTATATATCAAAATAACTATACACATCAGCAATCTTTTTTATTGGATACTTATTCAAACGTTTTGCTCCAAACAAAGCCTTGCACAAGTATCCACGGATATCCAATCATAACGTGTTTCCCTAAAAATAAGACCTAGTCGATAGCGCGAATTTAAAAATAAATAAGTAAAAACGTGTTATTCATAAGTAAATGGAAATCGGTTTTCATTTTTTGTATATTCAAAAATCTCGTAATTTACTACTCTGTAATTTTGTTTTTCATAAATGATAATAAGAGACATCCCCAAAAATAATCACTAGTGTTATTTTTCGTAAAAAATTGAAATAATAACCAGTCTTATTTTTGGTCTTATTTCTTATATTCGGGGAAACACGGTACTATACTATTTTCGGAGAGTTCGGCATTGTACACCCTGGGTGAGGTGCCGGATATGGGATTCAAACCTGAAATACGTAACCTGCAATGCCAACACAGTTGATTCCAACGCTTTATCCGCTAAGCCGCTTAAATCTCACCGTATTTTTATTTTTTTTTCTAGTCAACGAGAGGAAGGCAGCACTACTATCCATCCGGCACATCGTGTTGATTTTGTCACGCTCTGTAGTTTCGTTTCTTGCGTCACAATGCAACAATTCAGGACTGCTTGTGGAAACCAAGCTGATGTCATCCTAAGATTACGGTAAAGCTTGCAGAATATATTGTATTCATAGTAGAAAACAAATCCCGAATCAGAAAGTATTTCGGTATTATGTTTACTAGGCTTACAATGTGTTGTCAAATAAAAATCTACTGCCCGAAGTTGTTTAAACTAGTCATGTGAAACATCAATTTGTTGACTCAAGAGTTCCCCAACCTTTTTTGATATTCCCCCCTTTCTCAACCCTCAAAGTACAATGATAACATTTATGTCCGGGCTATGCATGAAATAACTGATAAAATACAATTAGGAATATGAAGAATATGTGACAAACAGACAAACTCCGAAGTTTTGAACAAATAACTTTGCAAGAAACCTAAAACCAAAAAAGTTTTGATTGAAAAATTGAAATTAATACCAAAATAAATATAAGCCATTGAATCCTCTTTGAGTCTTTCGCGAACCCTCGTCCACTGCAACAAGCCGATATCCGTTTTTGTAGTTTGTTACATTCTTTTTATTCTTTCCTATCGTAACTGGTGTTGCACGACAAAAATAAATATCTGAATCTTAAAAGGTCTGACTCAGGAATCTTTTCATTTCAGGCATTATTCAAAAAAGCGAATTCCAGAAATGGAGTCGCTAACCGGAGTCCGGTTTTCTTACAGCAACAATCCGAAAGAACCGAAACTGAATTTAGTACCGAAAGAACCGGAAAATAAAGCGACAACGTATTTTGGACACAAGGAGAAAGAGATTCAGGCAATATTCAATTCCAAGGTAAATAATATTGTTCCAAAGACCGTTTTCAATTAAATGCAAAATAAAGCTTGTCATAAGCCCACTCATTGACTTCCTGATTTACTTACATGACATTGGCTAATCATTAGGAGGCGCTCTTGGTGTGTGTACCAATATGGAGGTAACTAATTTTGTTCGCCTACTTTACATCGAGTTGTGTAAAGGAACTGAGATCTATGGGTAGGGGGTATATTCACTTGTCTAACACAGACTGTCCCCGAACTCCTAATAGAATTCAAATAAGGAAAATTGGAATAAAATTATGGCCTAACTCTAACCTGGTACACACACTACGCGATTACTCATTAGGACCTCACCGATGTGATAACAAATGAAATGTTTGTAGCCTTTGAGATGCAATTTTCGCCAAGACAGCTTTTCAGACACTTAGCTTTTCTGGGATCAGGAGTTGGGGAACTATCCATTGCTACCGCGAAGTAGGGACAACGCGGAATTTGCAATCAGTAAATCACGTTAAAACTTTCAGAGATATATTATTAAAAAAATTGGCGATGGAAAGAATTAGAAAAGCAGGTTGCAAAATCTAAATTTTAACGAACAGTTGAACGAGTCATGCCTTATATTTATATCTCCTCCTGAATCACATAATGACCATCGCAAAACTAAAACAGAATAGGATTCTCATATTTACCCCGCCTCTAACGCCTACCAGATACGGACGTGGGCAAATTACGGCTGACGGGCCGGATCCGGCACACTGAAGTGTTTCATTCAACCCACTTGTGTCTGCTGAACTTACGATTATAGTTTTTATGAATATAAATTTCCGTTGAAATTATCGATAAAAATAACGTCATAATGACCTTGATTGTTTGTTACTTTGTGCTTCTGATATGAACGCTACCCTATCTGTTGGACTAGCTCTTGTAAATAAATTGTTTTTATTCATAGTATTTTTTATTGAGTTTCCGGCCCAGTAACTAAGTCTACTATCTGTAACTGGCCCACTCAGAAAAGTAATTGCCCACCCCTGGCCCAGAACGATGTGCCAGCCGCTGTGCCCAGCTCAACTATGTTTTTCTTACACAGGGCAGATGCGCAATTTACGCACTTCCGTATTATAACATGAAAATCAGATTGAAAGCATCGCCAACCCACATTCGTACACAAGCAGGTAAGTAAGTGTTCATCAGTCAAGCAGCAATTTCACATTATCGAAGAAAGGGAGGGCTACCAAGGATGAGATTAATTAGTAGTGATTTTAAACCAACTTTTCAGTCCTGATTTGAACTTCGCCGAATTTACATGTACTTCCTAGGAATTTAGACAATGTGCCTTTCGACGGTATTTTTAATTATCGTGCAAACATCAGAGTTTTTACCAGTGACGATGTATGACTATTAATTAAAACAAATTACTCAGTCAAGTTCAGGTCATTAGACGTTTATCTAACGAAGGACTGTACACCAGCGGAACACAGGTCAAGTTGGCTTGTTATGGGTCACATCACAACTCAAATTACCATGGCGTATAGTAGACAAGACATTTTATGTTATAAAAATAGGAATAGGAGTCGATCATATACATTCATTTAGTGGTGAGCATCATCTTAAAGCTTTCAGTCTGTCGTGCTTTGTTAGTTATATGATTGATGAGAATGAATAGTCGGCGCTCCAGAAGTGTGTGTACCAATATGGATGCAACTAATTTTGTTCGCCTATTTTACATCAAGTTGTTTAAAGGGACTGAAACCTATGGGCATGAGACAAATTCACGTGGCTAACACAGACAGTCCCGGACTCGTAATATAACTAAGATAAGAAAAATCAGAATAAAATTATGCCCTAACCCTAACCTGGTACACACACCACGAGAGTACCGAATAGTCAATAGTTTCTTTCATCACAAAGCTGAAAATACAAAAGCCGCACTGTTCATACAATGTAGAAGAGAATAAAAAAATGTCATTCCAGGGTGACGCAAGACGCGAAATAACAATACTTGTTATCAAGCAGCGACACCCTAGGTATTTTTTTCGAAAATAAGACCTAGCCTGAAAACAAGAACTAGCCTGAAAACAAGAACTAGCCTGAAAACAAGAACTAGCCTGAATTTTAAAAATGATTTTCATATAAGCCTTCCTCAACCCTATGCCCTCCGACAATCAGAGCAACTATTGACACCTCCATTGAAAAAGTTTATTCCCCTTCGTTTAAATACGCGAGACACGCCACATAGCTGTCTACCGAACGGTTTTATTAGTCGCCTTGCGAGCGAGATTACTAGAGAGAGTTATCTAGACTTCCTTTCGCTCCAAGCACTCTCGAAATGTAAATTTCCGAAAATTTTCGAGGCTTTGCTTCAAATTGTACCGACTGCAGTATATAGTAGTGATACAAGAGAATTGTCTATTTCAGACTTAGTCAATAACGCGAATTTTTTTTTTTGACCTAGTCGATAGCAAGAAATCCCACCTACACGTTTTAAATGATTGAAAATCTATATGTTTTGCAGTTATTTGGAATAAAAACGTGTTATTTATAAGTAAATGAATATCGGTTTTCATATTTTGTAAATTTTAAAATTTGGTAGTTCTCCTATACTTTGTTATTTCGTTTTTGACAAATGAAAATATAAGACATCGCCCGAAAATAAGCCCTAGTGTTATTTTCGGAAGATAATTGACATATGACGCAGTTTTATTTTCGGAAGAAAATTGAAATAGGACCCAGTTTTATTTTCGGAAGAAAATTGAAATAGGACCCGGTTTTATTTTCCGGGAAACACGGCACCAAGCTATGATTCAATTATCATTTTTTTCTAAGATCTTCATTCGATGAGCGACACTGATGTGTTTTCTGAGATAATACGTCACACGCCAGCCCCAAAATATCTTCGTAGTGTAGCGGAGGATTTTATAAAAACAAAATTTGGTGGAGCGAAATTTCTCACTGTTCACTGGAGATATGATAAAAAAGACTGGATGAAAAGGTGAGAAGCGTTCTTATCATTTGCTTCTTCCATCACTACAAGTCTTGAAATGTTTTTAAAGCATAATGCAAATACCAGCGCCAGCCTTAGGCCACTGTTACCTACGTGTCACAGTTTGGTTTTGTTCACTTTGTTGAATGAATCAGAAGACTCGAAATTCCGGATTGATTGTTTATTGTAGGGCAACTTTATACCTAAACAATTAAGACAGCAAAATAATGATTGCAAGCACAACTAAAAAGCAACCGACGCAACAGCCTTTCCGGACGAGAAGAGAGCGCGAAAACTCTTTTATCTCACACCACATGTGTGGTTGAAGTCTACAGTAGGCCAATAATGGCAAATCAAGAGTTTGGGGAAAGAGCAAACCGAGGAATATACAAGTATATTGCCACTGCGCAAACAGAGACATTGCGGTGACACTGCGGTCGCAAATATAAAAAGTGAATTCTTTGCCCCTTAATCCTAATCATCTGGGCACCTCCAACTCTAGCACGTTTTCATTCAAATCCGGGAGTATATATCAAGGGAGTATATCGTCACGCTAATAACCGAATTGCGTAAGTCATTTTTGGCGATTTTGAGATTTTTATAAAATAGGCATTTATGTAATGCTGCGCACCTGTCTGTTAACTCAGATTTTATTTTAAGAATTCCGAAACCCATAAAAATGAAGATTTAGTATGACATGCACATTTGTGCAATTGTTTCGTCATAATGAATTATCATTGTTAACGCAGGACTATTGTGACGTCACAAATGCAAAATAACCTCGGCGAAGTATTTCCGAGTTTTTGCATCTCGGATTCTAGCTTAGCGCGTATTAATTTGAATTTATACTACAGTTTAGGAAGGCGTGCATTTGGGATATTCACTGTCCGAGTCCAGTTCACCTTGGTTGGCTTTTATATTGGGTGCATTGCTGTTTTATTCTTTATATTTAATCTTAGTCTTATTTCGGTGGGTGTGCAGAACGTGTTATATTGATGAAATATATATTTTTAAACATAAAAAAATAATGTAATTGGCACTGATTAGTTATTTTGGGGATTAGACATTGTAGATACTAAGAATTACATTCGTTTTTGGAATGTTCAGTTTTCAGGACTGGTGCATATAATAAAGTTACAAGATTGCGTATGTCCCCAAGTCATAGACGCATTTCTGCCTAAGTCACAGTGCGTCATTATGATGTCACTTACTGCGTCATACAAATTAATTTAAATCCGGCTACGATCAAAAAAATTGAACCATGGCAAATTATTGATTCTCAATGGCATAACAATATCATTAGGAAGTTTTTTACGTTTTGCTCAAAACTGCTGAAAATGACTTACGCAATTCGGTTATTAGCGTGACGATATATATCTGGGAGTATGTATTAGATACAGGGTGTTAAAAAGTAACTCAAAATTAACAGAAGTTAAAATGAAATGCTACTTAAAACATTCAACGGCTGACATTTTTAACAGTATCGAGTTACGGTGAAATGCCATTCAAACATTTCATGACTGACGTTTTTTACCAATTACATTTTCAACATTGCGATGACGAAAATTTTTACCATAATTCTTCGTAACTTTTTCAACACCCTGTATATTCAAACATATTAACTTGCTACACTTTGAAAATCATTTCGTTTTGCCAGTTTCAGGTTTTCTTTTATATATATATTTATATATATACCCATTGTCTACTCTAGACTCTAGACAAATAGTAACGTAGATATGAAATATGAAGACTACATATTAAACGCGTTCAGGTGGCATACGCCACTCCATTTATTTTTTTATACAACTTGTTTTCAATATACAGCAGCGTTCCCAAAGGAGCGATTTGCTAAGTGCGCGTCGAAAATTACCAGAATTGTGTTAAACATAACTACAGTAATGTATGATTGAACATTTAATTTTAAAAAGATGCGTCCAGGGCCTCAGTCGCACACCTCTCATTAGAATATTAAATAAATAAGTGTAAATTTTATGACCTTATGTTATTTTGTTGACTTTACCTTTACTCTTCGGGCCTACACGTTTTTAACTTAAAAAAGAATAAAATACACAGCAACAATCACAAAATTGAGTTTTATCTGAATTCTGTCTTTTGTGTAGGAGCGCCGGGAGTTTTTTCCATGATAATTTGTCGTCGCACGAACATGAATTTTGGAAACCGCTGCCATACAACATAACCAACCGCTTGCCTTAACCTAACGTGTTAGGCGTCCGTAATAAGTTTCCCATCTCACTATCGACTTCTTTTCCGTTTTAATTCTCATTTTAGATGTGATGAGTTGCAAGCTGGGTCGTCAAGAAAGAAATTATGCAATGAAGCAGCTTTAATACAGCCGTCTAATGTCGCCCAAGCGGTTCTCCTGAAACTGGACGACGTAAAATTCACCGTTCCCGGCATCACACATATTTATATCGCATCGCCACCGAGCGAGATAGAGTTTATAACCGAAGTGAAAAAAATACTGAACGAGAAAAAGGTAGGCAACTACAGCATTTGTCTCATTCAGAAGTGAATGCAGTTTGATCAGAGAAGCAGTAACAAAATTTTATATTTTTATTATTATGTTTTTATACAGTGTACTTTGTGTTGTGTTGTATTTATTAATATATGCTGTCTTCTCTTGTGGGCTCCCTTGTACAAACAGTTTCGTATACCTCGCCCTTGTCCTTACTTTTCTTTTGTTTTAGGCAGTATGGTATTGTGCATACGTATGCATTAATCAGTTTGTTCGAAATATTTTTATCGAAAAACAAATTAACATGCACATAAACATACAATGACATTTAACTAAATAAACAGCTGTATAAGGTTGTGTCGAATAATTCATATTTGAACATGTGGTGCTATTTGGTTTTTAATAACTTTACTTTGACGAATTACTTCTGCACAGATTAATAAATACTGATAAAAAACTCTCGCATGAGTTTCGCGAAGTTGTGTTTGTTCGCCCTCAGATGGGACAGAGTTCAAATGTAAATACTTGCCCGTTGTAATACGGAATAAAAACATTTTCGCAGCTCCAATCTTTTCACTATGATGCGCAACTTCCATGTAGTATAAAAAATCAGACAAGCTACATCGCAGAGTATTTTTATAATTCCCCCAGGAAAGTCACCCTGGATAGTTGCTATGGTTGCCTACCCAGACTGGTAACTAGAGTCTTACTAGACAACAGATCGTCATTCATGGTATGCATACTTACTCATATCATCCGTTTTTCTCACGTCCAATTTATAGTTGATGTAAATTCGCCAATTTAACATATATTTGTTTGCTTTATAGTTTCTAGTTTACCACATTCCTGATCTTACAAGCTTTCTGAAAGAAAGATACGCTTCATGTAATTTCATCAAAGAGCATTTGGATGATATTGAATCCTCCATTGAAATGCAGATATGTACGAGAGGATCAGTGTTTCTACGGTAAGTATCAACCAAATAGCAGCCTAAGCTGTAATGCACGGTTCCGCGCCTGAGACTTGGCGCTTACAAACTGACGTTCAAAACTATCATCTTTAGTATTAAAAACATTAAAGCATATGCCGCTTACAGGTAATAAAAGCTAAATTTAGGCTAGTCTATCAATTTTTGACCAAACTAGAGCACCTCGGAAAGCATAACAATGATTGAGGTATTTCATCTACAACTGCAAACTGACAAATAACACGCAAAACCACGAAAACAACGTAATGTTTACAACCGTGCTCGAGACTAAAGTATCTACTTAGCGAAAGAAGTGTCTGAGCGACTGCACCAATTGCAATTGTTACGTTTTGTTGACTTATTGCTGATTGGTAATTGTTACGTATAAAAAAACAAGAAAATCGATGCTCGGGCAAATGTCCATTGGACTCAGCAGTCGGAATTCAGTAGACTTCCAAATGTGGGGAGTTTGAGTCGTGAGTTTAAACCAGTGTTTCCCAACCCGAGTCCGCGGTCTCAAATGAGTCCGCGAAGCGTTTGAATGAGTCCGCAACGAGCCAGAAATTCACTGCGGGCCGCAAACGTTTTTGCGAAAATTAACTATCAGCCAAGTTACGATTAACGTTAAAATTCACATAAAACATAAAAAGCAAGTTTATTCACATAAAATTAATCAAGTCAATTATTACTAGTTACTGAGGAGGGCTGGGCATATATTGGAATATTTAACTATTAAAATAGCAATTCACTATTCGAAAATTTGGTAACAGGTGACGCGACAGGTCAAAACAATTGGATTTCACAACTCACTTGCGAATTCCCGACAAAAACACGACCACACGCGTGGTGTTTCTCGCGAGTTCGAACAACGAGAAATAAATTTTTTCTAGTAGGTTGGTGGCAACCCAAATTTTCTGAATTGAAAAGCGGCAATACAAAATACTAAAAATAAAACGGAGAACACCTTAACTTTTGTTTTATGATTGTACGCGACCGATTAAAAACGCTTCTTAAGACATTGTAAATCGCAAAGTTTCGGGTGATACTGTAGTATATTTACCGGGGCATTTTCCGTTAGTCCTCCACATTGGTACGTACAGTACTGGAGCGCCGTAAGCGTTGTACGAACAGCTAACAATTCACAAAAATACGAATCAAAACAAATATAATTGGGCACTTTACCACGCATTCTTGTGTTCACGGATTGTCATGATATTTTCTGATTAGTATTGCTTTTATTTCGTCAACACAACCGCAAATTAAAATGATCACCATTAAATTAATAATAAAGCAAGGCGGTGAATATGTATTTTTCATTTACTAATATACTTTAAATATATTTTTAATAACTATTAAATTAAGTTATACTTTCTGATTCATAGCAGATAGTAGGATTTTCCTAACGACGATAACAAATTTGCAAGATCTTTAAAAATATTTATTAAATTTAAATATAATCGGGTAATATGTTAGCTGATTGCTGTGGCATTTTGAAGCAGTAATGCTATCATCTTGTCGTAAGTCGACGCAACCGTGAGTTACCATGAACACAATTAAAATAGAAAGACATTTTAAATTCTCGTCGTTGTCATGATTGCATATAGTGCGACAGAAAAGGCCATTATGCAATAAAAAAGTCGGCTCTTTTAACGGACGCGTTTTTGCGGCGAATTTCCGATTTTGAAATTTGTTCAAATTCCGCTGTGTTTGGTACGGTTGCAAAAAACGCACCTTGAGTCCGCAAAGGTTTTCGCCGGTGAGAAATTAGTCCGCGACCAAAAAAGGTTGGGAAACGCTGGTTTAAACAACAAGAGAGCTATGCTCAAATATATGGACACGTAGCGCCACCCAATGGCAATAATTTTGATGACGTCATAGCGAAAAAAAAAGTAATAGCCTTCTGGAGAAAAATTTTATCTTCAACCACTGAAAATTTCAAAGCAATTGGTCCAGTATTCGAAGAGAAAAGCGACTTTTTAAAAACGTGTCAAAGAACAAGAACAACAACAAGGATAACAAGAACAACAACAACATAATATTGAAACGATCGTTATGTCCACTACGTGTCCAATAACGAGCAAAATGGTGGTTTCGTGAAAGTCGGGCGGATATTTTTAAACCCAAAACTAAACGGTAATCAGATTAGTTGTCAAACTTTTTGCCAACTCGAAGTCAGTTCAATCTGAAAATTGGATTGTACTTCCAACCCTGCCACAGCTATCCATCTGAAACTACTTATGCTTATGAACTGACGACAACATTGGGCCGCAACGAATTATTGTATCTCCGCTCTAGGAGACCCTTATTTTCAGTCGTTCTGTTTGTCTGTTCAGATGTAGCGTCTAAACGACTGGATCAATCTGTATGAAAATTTTCACGTAGGTTATTCCGTCACCCCAGTAATGTTATACTCCATAACCTGAGGAAGCCTTAGGGATTTTAGTGAACAATATCTTATTACCCACAGCGTGTAACTCAAGCAGGTATGTCTACGAAACGCGCAGCGCCTGAATAAACTGGCAGTTTCGGTAACCCACTCATTATTACGCCGTCATTATAAATCCGTGAGTTTCTGTGGATGGTAACCGGTTGCTTTAGTGTGGGCTTCAACTATCAGCGGAGATCCTGGGCGCCTACCAGCTTATACAAATGTGGTTCAACTATTATTGTTTTGTCAACAGATCAACTCGATCCTCGTGGTCTAGCAATGTAATAGAATGGAGAAGGCACAATCTCACACCAAGCATTCACACTGATAAAGACGAAGACGTTTTCCAACTCACCAGAAAAATTATGGAAAAGAACCAACAAAACAAAGTTTGATAACTTGGTTACGATGTGATGCAATATCGAGTACTCCCCGTAGTGTGTGAACCAAGTTGGGGTTAGGCCATAATTTTATTCCGATTTTCCTCATTTTAGTTCTATTACGAGTTTGGGGACTGTCTGTGTTGGCCAAGTGAATATCCACCCTGTCCATAAGTTTCAGTCACTTTACATAACTTGAAGTAAAGTTGGCGAACGAAATTAGTTACCTCCATATTGGTACACACACTTCTGGAGCGCCCAAAATCGTTTTCTTATTTAAAATGATAAATTTTTCTTTTCTTGGTACGTTAATCAGAAACATGTTGTCAAATTTTGGAGAATAAATTTAGTTTTGTGATTTCACATTCATCTGTTGTAATGTATTGCACAGCCGAACATGACAACGTTTCATGTCGGGATTGTATTTTCGAATTAGCTTAAGTCACCGGATTAGGTTTCTACGGTAGTGGCGAAATATTCGTCCACCATATTTCTCAGTCTGCTATGAGCGTGAATTTATCAGGCAGGGGCGTAGCCAGAAACTTGCGAAGGGAGGGGGTTTCTGAAATTTATATTCGCCAAGTTATATCGATACAGGTAGCGTACCCGGCCGAACGCCGAAAAACGTGTGTTTTCATGATGTCTTGAGTGTCTAAAAAGCATTTCAAGCTACGACAAATTGCTATGTATGATATGAAAAGATGCTTTTTTTACAATTTAAAAGGGGATTTACAATCCCCTCCCCCTCGCTGTTATCAAGATTCCCAAATTTGCGACAATAGGCGGGTTTTCCCAAGATTCCCATATACATTTAACAACCTTAGCGCGACATTATTTTCAGATATATATAGCGAGGTGGGCATAAATTCCCAAGTTTTTTGATTCACGCCAAATGAAAACGTGAACTCTATTATTAGCCCACAAAGAGACCGGAACCTTTCGTCTGGTCATCATTCCAAATCTGATTTGGCATCAGTGTATCGCCCATGATAAACGTCGCTTATTGAAAATACTGTACAATTACCGCCGCTTATTTAGTTCGTTCAAAACGGACAATTCAAGCAAAACTTCCCGATGAAATATTCTTTGCCGCAGATCTTGCACTTAGCGAAATTCAAACACACCCTAACTTTTTATTCATTTATGTACACTTGCCCCCTTTCTTAGACTTACCCGCAAGACTGAACAACATTTTATTACATTATAAGGTGTCGTGGTAGCAAACATTTACCTTAAAACCACCGAGATTTGCCATAACATCTAAATGTATTTCGTGCTCATAAGCAAAAAGCACCAACTTGTACGTAAACTTGATCAACAGTAACGGGATCTGAATGAGAGTTATTGACAAGCTATTTTACGAGTTGTTTGAACGTGAAAGTTCCTATATTTAAGTTGTACAACTATTTCTGAATGATTAGTAGGCACAGTAATAAACGGATTCCAGGATATACAACTGCTTCTGACAACCTTTCTTCGAACAACAGGAACAATTCCCCCCTAAGTCCAAGAGTACGTTCAGACAAACCCAGGTTAAAAAAAAACTCTGCCGTAAAACGAATCAACAAAAACTTATAAAAAAAAACATAAAAACAAATATCTGAACTTGGTTTAGAACTTTATTTTGCCAGCGAATGATGAGAGCATGATTTATCCTAGTATTGGTGGTATTAAACTTTATTAAAGGCGGCAATATCGACAGATTGCACTAAATCCTCGAAAGCTGTGATCTCTTCTTCCAAGAAATCCGTTGAAACCTTTAAAAAAAATAAGAAAATTTTCTGCATTGCTTGTGGCAGCATCAGGCTGGGCAGATTGAATAATCCAACAGGCCGGATTTGGTCCGGCCCATGCAAGATCTAACATTATCAAATTACTTTATCAAAATAAGATAAAAATACATAAATGGGATATTTTATTCCAGAAACAATCCCGCCAAGTGATTAATTTACTAGAAATGAATGCTGCAAAATTACTTCCATCTGCTGCTGATGGGTTTCAAAAAAAGGTTATTTTCACATTTATTTATTTTTTTAATTTTATACCGAATATTTCATTACATGATGCAGTAAGAATAAACAAACAAACAATAATCATAGAATATAATAGGAAGGGGGCAGGCAAGACTTCAAGGGCAACCGACCCTCTGAGGAAAGAGAAAGGTTGTTAATATTGCTAAACCATGGTGAGGTATAAAGAAGTATTATTCCATAAAATACAGACCTTATCATCTTCAACGACACACGATATTTGTAATTTCTGAATTCCATACGCGAGAGGTACGAGTTTAGCTGGAAACAATAATTATGATAAAAAAAGCAAAGTCAAGCACTGGAGCTGTAAAGCATGGTTCGAGCTGGTCATTTTTTCAAATTTTTATTTAAAAAGCGAGAATTTTACCGAAAGTCAGGAAATGCAGTGTTATTCAGCCTAACCAATGTGGACTGTGTGGTGCTTACTGGGCACTCCCAGAAGTATTTGTACTGATATGTAACTAACTAATTTTGTTTGCCTGCTTTACATCAAGTTGTGTAAAGGGATTAAAACCTATAGGCAGGGGGTACATTCACTTGGCTAACACAGACGGTCCCGAACTCGTAATAAAACTAAAATAAGAGAATTGAAATAAAACTATGGCCTAACCTGGTACACATACTACAAAAGCACCGTTAATTGAAGTCTAAATGTTCACAATTGCAACCCTTCGGAAGTTTTTTTCAATAAACAATTCATAATAGATGCTTATTTAATTAAAATGGAACGCCAATCAAGTTTTCATAAGAGCATCATCATGTTACCGATTCTTTTTAACTCTCATTACAGACAGCGTTTCCCAATCGGAGTAGAAGATTTTTTGTTTCTTTGCAGAAGAAATATAGAAATAGTAATTTGTATTCGGTGTGGTTTTACTGATTTTGTTTAAGTCAATTAGTATTGTTATAATATCTATTTTCATGCAAATTATAAGCTATTCAAAATCAGAGGTGCGGTGGCGGATGTATCCCTCACACTTAGCACGATGACGCTGCCGCGCCAAAGATTAAGATTTAAAAAAAATCAACAAAACTTACAAGCCCCCCAAAGAAGACCGTCTGTTGCAACAGTCCGAACTTTTCTCTCTATTTCTTTCATGTCGGTTTCATCATCCCAAGGTTTCACATCCAAAATAATGTTGGATTTCGCGATTGGGCCAGGTTCTGTAACAGCAATAAGTGGATGTTAGGGTTTGATACTTTGGCTGCCTCAGGGATGTCCACATGACTTTCTCAACCTTCTGCTCTGTTAATCTACTGCAGGTATGAGCATGGTTTTTGGACCAGGAGCCTAAATATTTGCGCACCTAGACTGGCGGGCCATGACAGTGTGACGTAAAAGTTACATTTCATGAAAAATATTTACAGTGTTACAAAAGCAAAAGTGGGAAACAATAAGCCTCAAGACAGAACTAAATTGAATCGCAATCTTAACAAATTCCTTTTGGTATTACATAGGTTATTAACATCAAAATTTGGTTCAAGGTATTTGCGCCTGATGTGGCAGCATCAGGCAGGCCAGATTGAACTACCCAGCAGGCCGGATTTGGCCTGCGGACCGTAGTTTGCGCGTGTCTGATTTAGTGCAATTTTTAATTTCGATTGGGATTTCATTTTCATTTGGGAACAGTAAACATTCTCAACTATATTAGCCTGGTAGTATGCTACCTAGTAGTGCATGCCTGTGGAGATACTTGTTCGGACAAAAGACATACAGTTACGTTTTTTAAAAAACAAACACTTTTTAACTAGATAGCAATCAGAGACCGCTGACTTATCGATCTTTCGTTCGCAGAGACGAAAGTTAGGGAATCCCCCGAAACAGAAACTATGGTTTCGATTCTTGCGCTCTTACTCCATAGTGACACTGTGTCCTATCACTAATTAAGTAATACCTCGCTGGTTATATGACATAATTCATCCAAAATCAACAGCTTCTGGTTCGAGATAGGATGACTGCACATGCAAAATTTGGAGCAGATTTAACCTCGCCTTCGTGAGATATCGCATGCATCTAACAGACAGACAGACAAATACCTATCAACATATTTACCAATCTTAAATATGTTGATAAGTAACAAACAAATACCTAACAACATACTTACCAAACGAGATCGATAAGTAATAAAGAGAGTGTGGCCCCATGCCAAAAAAATTTGTAAATTTGAAAAAAAAAATCTATTTATGCACTCAGTCCTATCGATCCAGAGAGTTATCTCAGCATGAATTACTTTGTTCATAGGTTTCATCCTTGTGCACTGGGGGAGGAATTCAAAACTCGAATTTAAAAAAAAAATTGGTTCTATCGAGATTGGGAGAATTGGTTCTTTGCTGCTATCGAAATTTCTTTTCTGATTATGTCAGCCTCAGATTAGTCACTTTTCCTGCTATGGAAATGTATTGAAATAAGGGTAAGACTCCATGCCATTCTAAAGATGGTGGATTTTTACATGTCAATGACAGTGCTTTTTTCGAAGTGAAAGGTAAGAAAACGTTATAAAAGAACTGAATAGACTTGTATCATTCTCCACAGCATAATTTTGACAAATGTCGAGCCGGAAAGATTTCATCGTTACAAAAATAGTAGTTATATGTCAGTAGCTACTGCCTACACAAAACCGTGTTCAGAATGGTAAATGTCCTATAAAAAAGTAAACATACTTTTAGCTTTCTTTTCTGCATATTGCTTGAGTCTTTCCTCTTTGATTCTCTTTTGTTCGGCTAATTCTTCTTCGTCGTCGGAGCCGAAGAAATCAATATCATCATCATCGTCGTCGCTGTCGTCATCAGCAGCGGCTAAGATTGAAAAAAAATTATTTCTCATATTTTGAAAGTTTAAAATCTCGAGATTACTCCAAAGTGGAGGCGTAGTTCTTACTACTTCATGGCAGCTCCTGCCACGAACGTACCGCGGCGTCTCTTGCCATGGTTTCATGGCACTATTAGCGGTATATTAACAAAATCATGTACAATATTTTGGTTTATTATGCGAATTATATTTACTTAAACCTCAACCTAACCCCAAATACATCGAAAACTGTATTCATAAGAAAAGCATTCCAACTTACCCAATATTTGTTACCATCAGGGGCAGCCCTGCTATTACAGCCGACATGCCATGGTTACGGCAGCAAAATTGGTGGTATTCGATTTACTGCCGTAGCCACGGGAGCTCACTATTTTATTTCTCAAATTTTTGAGTTTAAAATCTTGAGGTTACTACAAAGTGGGCAAGGCGAATGGTCCAGCATTCAAAATGGTATGATCGGAAAAAAGTATTTTTACTACTTAGGGTACATGAGCTGGTTTTTGTGCACATAAATGCTAGTATGTATGTATGTTTATTTGCCTCAAAAAATATAACAGTATCTGCATAATAATTGAACGATATACAGAGACGGGATACATGTTTAAGACCTTACTGGCCTAAGACACGGATACGCAATATGCAATACAATACAAAGAGGTACGGCACAACAACGACGATATGTACAATAACGTTTCAACCGAATAGATGATTTTATGTTAAGTTCTGAACATGGACAAATTTAAAGTCATTTTTAGGATATGTAGTGAAAGTATGCATAATATGAAAGCACTTTTATGTAAAAATAATACGATAATAATATTCAAACCTGCAGCCTGAGCACCTCCATATTCAGCAATTGGTTTCTTCACTCCAGGAAGGCTGAAAGTAAAAGTGACTGTTTTTTACCTTATCAAGATGAATCAACATAAATAGGATCTAATCCAATTGAGATAACTCGCCGTGCGAGCCGCTAGTTTACAAGTTATCAATCCATTCACATCATTTTGATGCATCAACAAACATTGCCACCACACTATGTAATGGCGAGTGCAGGATTCCAACTACTTACACTGCCGCTGGATGTTGAACTACATGTAGACCGCACAACACAAAATTTTATTTAATTCTCAGACTTGGGAGGGTATAACACTACACCAACCCTATGTTGCTGTGCACTCAGTCCTATCGATCCAAATTATTATCTCAGCATGAAAAGCTTTGTAAATAGGTTTCATCACTGTGCACTGGGGAGTGAGGTGTGATCTGACAGAATCACCAGTCAATCACCAGTTCAATCATAATACCATTATCCCGACCAGATGCGCTTCGATTTTCAGTGGGGTCCAAATTGCCCTAAGGTGTCTGCAGCAGGATAATCATAGTTAGGCACACTTTACAAACGAAGCTACGGTCTCAACTTACAAGAAACTTCGGGTTGAAAATACTTAACTATTGACCATCAAATTTAATTAACAAAACTTTTGGCATATGTAAGACTTCTTCAATAGAATGCTGAGAACGATAGTAAAACCAATGTTTTCTGGATTATAGTAGAAAGTTTTGACTGTTTTACCAACCTTCCAAATTGTGATTTGTATGAGAGAACATGATTGTACCAGCGTAACGCATGAACATGCTTGGCATTGGGTGGGCCGGATATACTTTCAAATATGGCAACATCTCCTTGTGATGGAACATACCTAAAATTTAAAACAAGTATCTTATTTTACTGTGTGAACATGATGGTGAAAAACTAAAGGGGTCTCGTGAAGTAAGCGTAACTGCTTGAATATCCGCAAACACAAATGCGGTGAGTACTTCGATAATGCCAAATAAATGTGATGTGAAAATAGAACCCATATTTTCAATTTTTTATAGAAATGAAAGTACGTCTTGCGCAAATTTCACATCACATTTTAGTTGGGCGTTAATTGGGCAGTTACGGTATGGTATCTACTTCACTCGATCCAAACTAAATGGCAATAATGTAATACCACCTTGCAAAATTTAATTACAATTCAACTGCCAGAAAATAAAAAGATAGCTGCAGCCCCAGCAGTTTTTAAATTAGGTCAAGACATGTTTCCAGATGTATCAAACCCATGAGGCCTTTACTTCCTCATACACTAATTGCAAATCATGAAACGCAGGAAAAAGTTTAAATGAATGTCCAATAACTGAATAAAGTTCAAAAAATCTCAATACAGCAATATGGGAAGACAACTATTTTTTAGGAAATGTTGATATTTTTATATAGAAATCCGTATTCATTGTAATCCCTACAGTACAGCAGTATATGCAAGCATGAATCCCAAAATATGTTTAACTGTTCGCGTATGACGTCACTGCCCAGTCCAGTACGGCACACTTTACAGATCGAGAGACAATCTCTCGTTTTAGAGAAACCTATTTTAACGGTGATCGAATACCCCTCCTTCGATGGACGTCTGGCGGATTTTGTCTCCCGATATCGATAAATTGAAGCTGCGCAGTAAACTAACAAAAAGCGCAATCTAAAACCATCACCATTGAATTCCTCGTGAAAAAATAATCAGATCTACCGATGTAAAAAAAATTTTACCGGTGCGTTCGAGAGAAATGAGCAAAAAACGATTGACGGCGTGTGACGTCACTGAATTTCAATCGACGCACGCAGGCACGCATCGACCGTTCCTCGAAGTAAACCTTGGCGTGCCGTGTTTCTCTCATTTTCAATGTAGATAGGATGGCGTGTTAACGATAATAAATGGATCAGAGATAATAAAAATTACATTTTGATAACACACAATCGATAAACCGTAAAATTAATGCCTCGATATAGCATTAGATGAATTAGTTCATAAAGCAATAATTTAATCTAATGCCGCAACCAGACATTCATATGCCGCAAAATGTGCAACTTGCGTAATTTATACAAGAATAGATCGGCGAAAAACGAGAATCAAATTAGCAAAATAACTTAATATAATGCCACATCGATGTATTCATATGCCGCAAATGTTCAGTTTGCATAATTTATACTAGTAGAAATCGGTAAAAAACAAGATTCAAAATAATATAATGTCCCATCGATACATTCATATGCCGCAAATGTTTAACTTCGAAAGCTACGGTATACGAGAATAATTTAATTCAATGCCACATCGAGGCATTCATATGCCACAAATGTTAATTTATACGAAAATAATTTAATTCATATGCCGCAAATGATCAACTTGCGTAATTTACACAATAATAGATCGGCAAGAAACAAGAATCAAATTAGCAAAATAATGTAATATCATGCCGCATCGATGTATTCATATGCCGCAAATGTTCAATTTGCGTAATTCATACTAGTATAGATCGATGAAAAACAAGATTCAAACTAATATAATGCGGCATCGATACATTCATATGTCGCGAATGTTTAACTTCGAAGTATACGGAATACGAGAATATTTTAATTCAATGCCACGTCGAGGCAATCATATACTGCAAATGTTAATTTGCGTGATTTATGCAAGAATAGATAGGTGAAAAACAAGAATCAAATTAATATAATGCCGCATTGATGCATTCGTATGCCGCAAATGATCAACTTGCGTAGTCTGTGAAAAACAAGAATCAAATTGGCAAAATAGTTTAATCCAATTAATCATCGAGGCTTTTATTTTACTATGGATTGTTGACGCTCAAATTTAAATAAAAATCTCGAATATAATTATTAAATGATATCGTAATTCGTAATCGTTGTGCGTTCTGGAAGTTTCAGTTCTAAATAACTGAAGATGCTATGTTAAATTGTTGTAATTACATGTATTAACGGGCATACAAAGTTTCACTATCGATATTAATTTAACTATTGAAAAAAAAAACTTCGATATCGTGCATCGTTTTGACTTCGTTATACGACAATTCAAACGATGTCATGTAGTCACAAACTTTTATAATAAAATTAGTTGGACTCGTAGACGTATTAATCGAAACGCATAATTTTATAATCTATTGATATTATTTAAAAGTAATTATTTTATTCACAGACGTTTGCATTTACGCGACATTATTTTAATTAGGCACTACCAACAGTAGACTGAATATAATGATTCAGAAATACATCGTATATCTAACCATATAGGTCAGTATACATCGGTAAAAAATGAAAATCAAATTAGCAAAATTCGAGAGCCGTGCCGAACTGTCGATCTGTGCGTGACTTTCTTTGACGTCATATCCAGACATCTGACGTTCTCACGCATCGAGCTCGCAGACGACTCGACGCCCCCGGTTTCACAGACGCCTATTCATATTTTGGCTCTTCCGGAATGTAGACGCAAATCCGGATTCGGGATAGTGTGCCGTACTGCAGTCTGGATTTCATGGCCTTTTTGAACGAGAAATCGGGCGTGCAATCAGAAATTCTCGCGTGCAAATAAGAATTCCTGGCGTGCAATTATAGCTCACGGCGTGAAAAACAACTGCGCCCGCGTGCAACTGATTTTGACATTAGATACCTCTCAATACATCCGCGTAAAATTACCGGTATCTATAAAAAAGAATCAGAGCAAAAATGGACGTTTGACCTTTGACCCCAAACATTATTTTTAACTTCGTCACTAATTTTTGAAAGTGTTTGTGCGACTTTAGATATCGGTACTGTTCAGTATATTTGTGTAAGATTATTGTATGAAGAATACGCTGAATCGGAGCCGTACCTGGCCAGCGTTGGTGCGGAGGCGATCTTTTCGTCCATAACTATTCTCACGGGATTTCTATCATTCAACACGATATCGTCTTTTTTGCTTTGCATTTTTCGATCAGATCAAATCTTGCAAGCTGGTATTAGTCGGCAATTGTGGAGTTATAACATTTTGGCATCTTGATATTACTGCATTATTGATTTTAAAATCATTTAAACCGATTTACATTGGTGGGCAATTGCAAATTTTCGGCGTGCAAAATTGAATTCGTTCGCGTGCATTTTTACGGAGCGCTAGCGCCCTCGGGCGTGCACCTGCCATGGAATCCAGTCTGGGTCACTGCCCTGCCCACCTTTTAATGCCCATTTACACGAGATAATTTACAAAAAAATCAAGCTCACCCTTCGATATAGCTTTTATCTTCGAGATAGGTATTTAGTGCAGATAATCCACAGTCACTCTTCAAATTTCCGAAACCCATTTTAAAGAAATTACGGCGATTAAACAAAAGAAGAGAACGAAATCCAAACCAAACGCGTGGCAAAATTTTGGAAAAGGGTTCTTCAGTGAACACGGTTCATTGCTTTGCCGATAAACCGTGGTTTCGTGCCACGAAACAGATTTTGGGCCGAATTTATCCAAAAAATGAAGTGTATATTTTTGTACAAAGCGATTATTAATGAAAATTGCAGCAGCAATATTATAGATTAGTTTACTCTATAAATCTAAATATATAAGATGGTTATGCGTTATCAGTATGTAACCGTAAATTTGGAAAACCATCACTGCTTACATCCCCACCACCACTGTCGAATTGGAGATGGCATAGCCTACTAAACAATAAAACTAGAATGCAACAGAATAATTTCTTTTTTACAAAAGTCCATCACGCTTTGAATTTGAACTGCATGTATTTTTATCTACATAGTTTTGCAAATATTGCCTGTCAGTTCACAATGGAGCAATCCAGGTCTTCGTCATCCCTTCACTGTAACAATCCGGCATGTCATAGAGAGAGAGAGAGAGAGATTTATTTTCGTCAACCAGAAAAAAAAAAAACACTGAGACAATAGCAACAATAAAAATGTATAGTTTTTCGGTATAGACTGGGGGGAGCGATACGACCATACCGTCATCAGAGTCAGCTCCCCCCATATTCACTGTTTTAATTATGCATATGAGAATTCTTGAAAATTGAAAAAAAAAAAAAAAATTTCTATTACAGAAGAAATACAGAAATAATACAGAAAATAATGACATCCTAAATAGATATCTAATATTGAGGTGGAATTTTTGTTCAACATGCCAGCTGATAACAAATCATGGGATATGTGCATTGGAGCTTGGAAGGAGCAGCGGTGTGGAAAACAGTTACAGAAAAGATTTGGAGAAGATTGAGAACCACTTCTGAAAATCATGATCACGAAAATTGGTCACGTCTGGGAAAATTTCACTTAGCAACTTATGCAAAAAATAAATAAAACTTTCACATTGTCAACGTCAAGTACATTCAAAAACCTAATGATGAACTTTTATGATGACAATTGTGAGAAAAGCTTTCATTGAAAGGCATGTGTTGGCAAGAAGAAAATTTATACACATCTGAGGAATGTTGGACTTGATAATGCGGAAGACTGAGTGCCCCCTATTATATATTCATAGGACATATATTTATAGGGAATGTCATAACTCGAACTATATCTATGTTTGCTGACTTAATGCTATGAGAAATATTTTTTGCTAATAAAAACTTGAGCCTTTGGGTGATGTATACAAGTCAGTCGAATTACTGGTCGTAGGGTCCGCATTGATAAAAATAGATTTGAGAGGAGTACTGGGAATAAAAATAATTACACTCCATCCTGGATCTAGTATAGTTGGGGCGTTCAAGAGGTTTTCAGCATGGTCATTATCAATGTAAATGTACCAATGCGGTGATCAAACTGACCTAATCACAATGAAGTATAGGAGGAAAATTTGTAAATATTAAAGCTCAATAAAGGCACTCAAAAGATCTCATTTATATAAATACAATATTCAAAAGAAATAATATAACAGTAATCAAACATATAGGATAATTCTTATATCATTTGGATAATTATGAAAGTGATGGACAACTAAGACAAGTACAGTATGATTAACGAATTAAACGGGTTAATAAATAGTTGATGGTTGAATGGAACAACATTGCACGCTATAAAGAAATATCAGGTTAGGAAAAACATGTCATTTAAGATTGCACACTGCAAGTTTAATTATATTTTAAATATTGCATAAACAGGTTGCATGAGTTCATTAAATTTTTAAGGTGGGGTCTTCTTATAGGCCATATTAACCATAGACCGTATTGTATCTGAAAATCTCGATAAGGTTATTCGTTACCAAGTGTGATTGTTGTGATTGTAATAAAATTTAGTTAATTCAATTTATTTAGATAAAATTAACTTGGTACTTGTTTACATATACAAAATTTTACTTTCTATAGAATGGAGAAAATGCGTCCGGTTACAGCACTTAGACTGCTTGCGGTCAACAATAGTGTTACGGTCGCATACGAATAAGAAACCGAAATTGTGATTATTTAAACTGTTTCTTTTCTTCATCAAGCTAATTAGATAAATATTGCCACAATATATAATTTTAACAGTAAAATCATGTTTCGTTTGGGGTTTACCTGAATTCCCTTTACTTTTTAGTTGTTGATTTCGATATTTTTTGTTCTTGTCGCGGCGGTGTGGCTCAACGGGCTAAGCGTTAGGAATACGCTCGCCACCGCACCTCTAATTACTCTGCGTGGGTTCACAGGTTCGAATCCCATGCAGGGATGGTTATGTGCGAGAGGATTGCTGGACTCCTCGCCGTCGTTGGGTGGTTCACGTAACCGCTGGTCGGCTACGGCTTCCTCCACCACCAAGTCCATGTTTCCGAAAACAAACAATATAACTAATCCCATACCCGACTTGGAATGGTAACCGGACGAGAGGCCGTGGTTCGCCATATGGATAAGCTTTATTAATGGCTTTCCTCTCCCTCGGGATAAATATGTAAATCCTATTCCATCCTACTGCATTAATGTTCCTTCACTCGATTAAGATTATTAAAAAAAATTAAAAGCGATGGATGAGACGACACCGTATATACACAATATTTACACATACCGGTATGTTTTGTTCAATGCATTTTGGTGCGATATTATTAAATATTAAATTTGTAATTAATTTATTTTCATCATATGTTAGTGTGGAACTAACAGGACTAAATATTGCTGCATCGTATTTAACAAAAAAATATTTTTTGAGGATCCTACTTCACCATATTCAAACTGGCATACATTTAGCCAGACATGACATCTAAATGATAAGTTCCCCAACTCAATTATTTGGATTGATTTTGGTTATTGGATCATTTGCTATTCTGTTGTACCCATAGTAATCAACTTGAATTTCCCATTGTGTTCTGTTTCCATCAACGACTAACATACCGGTTCCAATATTTTTTATCACTGGCATAAAAATTTTAGTAATCCTACCAAGATGCATATAATATTTTATCATGATTTTATTATCATGAACAACTAAAAAGTTCGTTGAGTCAGAAATCTACCACTTGTTGCTTTTAAATTCATTTTGGAATTCCTATATGTGAGTATTAATTTAATGATTGTTTTGAGAATCCTTTTTGAATTCAGCACTTTTCAGCTTTTGCACTTGCTGACTTCTGGACTTGTAGTTACAGAGTTAGAAGACTGTAAGTTGTTCTTGTAGGTGGGGACAGGTAGTCATTTTGGATTTGTGTTAGGGCTGTAGCCTGTAGGGTGGTGAGTATTGAATGTCATGCCTAGTTTGACTTAGTAGTGTGGAATTGTCCACTATGCACAGTGCACTACCCGACTACAGTTCATTTGGGATATTCCAAGTTGATCAATCAACAGCAAATCCACAATGTCAGAATATACAGCCGTACAGACAGAATGATGTAGGCTGGGTCATAATTTGCTCTATTTAATTTGATATATTTCATGATTTAACTGAAAATGCTGAAATGTAGTCTATATCATGTAGATACAGAAATTCCGGACTCTAATAATCTTGTAATCAGTTCTTGTAGCATGGATAATAGCATATTACAGTATTTTCAGAGCAATGCCAATACTGCAATATGTTGGTTTTCATATTGCGAATGATTTCCAATCGTATCACAGACTACGCGACTGGAGTTCAACATTTACCTAACCGCCGAGAGAACGAAAGAATTTGGAATAACGAATGTAGAAGAAAGACAAGCAGAGAATGTGGAGACAGTCGCAATTTGTCATAATACCAAAACTGCAGCATCACTTTGTGACTTCACAAACAGTGAGGAAGTCGTATATAAAGAAGACTTTGAAACGAGATGGAGTCGTTCACCATTGCTCGCAGTATGGCAATTTGTGATCGCGCAGGACGATCATTCATATTGCACGCAAACTGTCGATTTGTCATGAATTACTATCTAAGCAAGGTAAAATTGAAGAGTTGGGATTTTGGTGGAACTACGTACGCAATTTAGCGACGAGGAAGTTCATATTGCACGCGAATTGTCGATTGTCATGAACTTGCTACCCTACCTTAGCAGGATAAAATTGGAAACTTGGTTTTTAGATGGATCTGCACATATTACTTAGCGACGAGGGAGTCCTTATTGAAATTGATTGAATGTGTAAATTTTCTTTATTCATGCGTTATTGTATATTTGATATAGTCTGTCTATACCAGGATGGTCCAAACCCAGGCCCGCGCGCCACATGTGGCCCTCCGCTTGATTATCTGTGGCCCGCGTCACATTCGGAGAGTAATCAAAAAATCGCATTCCATGTTGTTTCGTCATAAAATTAATCAGAAAAATCCTTTGATATATTGTCATCACTAATGTCACTGAATTAAATAGTGTTATGGCTAGCTGGGGAAACTAGCGAAGTTGAATGATGTGCTTGGCAGTCTAAATTGTTATCTGGCTTACAACTTTTTGATCGGGAATATATGCTAACAATATAGGCATCATAGAAAACTAAAAATCGAATGCGGATTCTATTAGCCTAGAATGGCTATGCCTGGTAACTATGTGATTGCACAATGAAAGTGTTTGTTTTGTATTGCACTGTTTACCTATTCTTGGCACTATTGTGGCCCGCGAACAATGCAAAAATAATTTTGTGGCCCGCGGAGCCGACAACCTTGGACCACTCTGGTCTATACCGCTTAAAAAGGAACTATTCCTTTTCCCAACGTTTTGACCCGCGATTTCCCGTATAGTTGACGTTTTTTTAGAATAATAATTGAAAATAAGTCTTTGTTATATAGCGATTCAGTTCAAACTAATGTATAATATTTGATTCCTGTCCTGAATAGATAAAAAGTAAAAATGGTAGTTTCTTATGAAACTCAACCATGGTGAAAATTTGTAAATATTGACATCGACAAGAACAACAATTTACTGAAACCATTCACAGTTTTATTTCGTGTCCACTACCATTCGGAGACAGGAAAAATTTTATCTTTGTTTAAGATTTTCTTGCTAAAACCGTATAAAGGGTAACTAAAAACTAAGTTAAGTCCATGTTATTAGGAAGATATTCTACAAAAAACATAACTTTTATACGAAGCGTTCTAGATTAACTATTGGGCACAATCATACTTAAACTGGTAAACAGACGAGAGACTGTGGTAGGCCATATGATTAATCCCTGTTCCCGACTTTCCTCACCTAAATATGCAAATCCTATTTTATCCTACAACAGAATTCCAAGTGTAGAATAAATATTCTTTATTTTCCTATAGAAGTGGTTAAGTAATTTATGGATTCTGTGTTTTGGGTCACTCTTTATATATCTCCGATTGAAGATTTTTCTGCAGCTCGCCATTGTGAAATCATAACGCTTGTATTCTGTGCTTATAGCTTGGCTCTACACCTGCATGACTGAAGATTTTACATTTTTATTATAATTTCAACTTCTTTCAAATCTATAACATAAAATGAGAAATCACAAAATGTTTCATGAATTACTCCCAAAACCATTATTTAGATTGCAAAAAAAGAGTCCGGTATCTTATCGGCAATATCGAAAAGTTTATGTTGGAAATATAGTTCCCATTCCCATCTTGAGTATCGAATAAAATCCATTGGTTACGGGTTTTTTTAAATGCAAGAATTCAAAGCAAAGTATGGTATCTGTCCCGACCTAGAACATAGCATGAGTACCGCTTTATATGCTTACTTCAACTATTTGCCTAACAAGAAATACCTACTCTAACCGAGATAACGAGTGCTAAATGGATAATGTTAGACAGTAATAGAAATGAATAAATATGGTCTTAATGGTCACACTAATCGTTCGCACAGGGCAATTGATATCAGCAGATTTTATTTTTATCGGAGCTCCACCATTCGCTTTAGATATCACTCACAAGATTGTAGGGGAAATTTTTTTTTTTTTAAATGAAGACGTGCAGACTGTAGATAATTAAGCAGCCATTGATATAAAGCAGCAATTCTCTTCTAGTGTTTCGCGGGACAGGGATTGAAGTTGCGGCTAAATTGGTATCCATGGCGATCTCGGCCGTATTTCGACGCCTCTACGTCGTCAATTGGTCTCCCAACTGTCGACGGACAGGCCCCACTCCAGTCTGAAAACATGGCGTTTTGTCGATCGTTCAATATCGTTAACCATCGGCATAATTTTTTAATTGTCATGTTTACAGAAAACTTTTACCAAAGGCAAAATTTTTTAGAAACCACTCTTCTTAATAAATTGTTGACTGAAGACTGTGAGCCTCAAAAGATGTCGTGGTAAGCCGGCTGTGCAGTAAATCCATAAAGTAAATCCATTACACAATTCTTTATTATCAATTTGATCTTCTAATTTGTTGGTATTTCGCGAGGCGAGATAAAGAGTGTAGGTGTACTGAGGCAAAAAAAGAAACTGTGATATAAAGGATGATACAGTTTTGAAATGAGCGTTCCGGCAGTGGTGGTCACAATATATGCTATACGTACCCCATTTGTGGGCTCCTGAGTATGATTCAAAATAAGACTCGTTTCCTGTATACCAAACATCATGATGCCATATGTCGCCCGTTGCGACATAATACATTTCCATCGTCAAACAATTGTTTTAAATCAAGTTTTTTTTGCCTGTTTTGTTCAAAATGGCTGTACTAATTGATTTTTTTGTATTAAATAGGTTGAAGAAAAATGGATATAATAACTTGCCAGGTGCTTTTTATTTGCAATAAATTCTTCAAAACTCCATAAATATCGATAGAGGCTCATACACACCTTCGCAAGCTGTAGTTCATTGGATGGCGCAGTAAGACGCAACCGATAACGTAACGCCATAAACGACCCTTCGACGTAACCACCTTGCGAAAATTGATATGCGATTGAATAAATGAGTTTGTATAATCTTGAAAAACTCTATCACGTCAACCTCAAAAACAAATGCATAAATTAACCGAAGAGTATTAGCCGTAATAATGCCTCATTTTATGAGAAAAATGTCAATACATAAACTCGAAATCCACACCATGGCGTCATAACGGCGCCTATTTGTGATAATTCTGTACTTCAAAGCAAAACAACTGAAATAAACAAAACCGTTTAAAATTTAACTCATTGTTGTCCAATTTTTCAGTTTTCTATTAGCCAAATCATTAGGTTTTCATGTGACTGAATGTACTCAAAACAAAAAACTCAATCAACTACCATTGACATCAGACATGGCAAATAGATATCACGAGCATTTCAAGTACTGTCAGAATAATACCTTGGTGGGAAGGATTTCACAGAGAGGAGAACCGAATTATAAATAACAGTAAAGATGTGCACGGATATATTCTGATTCACATTTATACACCTTAATTTTTTATTATTTTCACATACCGAATATACTATTTCTAGTGATAGAATTCTAAGCTTTTATCAAACATGCACGATAAGCATGAAAACATGTTTTTACCAATTGACTCCTCTACCTGGAATCATATATGTAAATACGTTTCGGTGTTTTTCTGACCCTGGTCTATTTTCCGCTTCACAGAAATCGACAAACCAAAGCTTGAGCTCGAAAATCTCCATCGTGAAAACAGAGAACAGATTGCTAGTTTGTATAAGGCTTTGGCTATAGAAGATTTGAAGTTGGAAAACGGTATGTTTAATTTTCAAACTGATTTAGTTTATCCCGTTTCGCCATGAATTACTCAATTAACGCCAGTATCATTACAAAAACTTTTACGATTTACGGGAAACATCTATATATATGGGAACAAGTGTTGGGATTCAGGGGGTTCGCGAACCCCTTTTTGGAAGATCGCGATAATCAGCTAACCCGTTCTGGTCCTAGTTCAGCACGGTTTTTTTTTTTTAATGACGGAATCTCTTGTTAGCGAGTTCGATACAAAAGAAAAATTTTTTAATTCCTCTACTGATGCGAACGATCATTTTTATCTTCCTATATATCAGTGTTTCTCAAACTCTTTTGACCCGGAACACCTAAGCTTTTTATCACGCGTCGCGGAACACCGAGCAATTAGAAGATAAAATTGATAATAAAAAAATTGTGTAATGGATATACTATGTGGATTTACCTCACAACCGGCTCATCACGGCATCTTTTAAGGCTTACAGTCTTCCGTCAACAATCTATTGAGAAGTGGTTTCCAAAAATTTGCTTTGAACTTGAAAATTGAAAAATTATGCCGATGGTTAACAATATTGAACGGTTGACGAAAGCGCCATGCTTTTCAGCCTGGCGCGAGGCCTGTTCGCCTGTTTGTCGCCAGTTGGGAATCTAATTTACGACCCAGAGGCGCCAAAGTACGGCCGCGATTGCCATGGCGACCAATTTAGCTGCAATTTTGATCCCTGTTTCGCGAAACACAGTTTGAGAATGGCTCCCTTACATCAATGGGTGCCTAATTATCTAAAACCATGTCCATAGCAGTGTATAGGACCTCAAAAAAAGTTAATTCTTAGTCTGCACGTATTCATTTTGAACAACAACAAAAAAACATTTTTCATTCAAGCTCGTGTGGACTAGGGACCACCGATGCCTATATATTCATTCCTATTCCTGTCTGACATTATCCTATTAGCAATTGTCTTCATCTTCCGAGTTAGAGTAGATATATCTTGTTAGGCGAATAGTTAAATTAAGCATATAAAACAGGACTCGCGCTGTGTTCTAGGTTGGAATAGATACTGTCTGGTGCGTGGTAGTATGTCTCTATAGACCTCACGCCAGTCGAGACTGCCTTTCCTGAACTGTCCGCTTCCAAGTCTATATTTGAAACGTGTAAAATCTTGGTTGTGTATTATAATCTTCGATTAATTAAATCGGTAACGATAAAACAATTTAAAATAGCGATAAAACAGCAAATGACTCAACTCATTTTGAGGCCGTTGCTTGTTGTTGCAGTTGGGATACGTGTTGCGAGATATCCACAGTCGAGTGACAATTTAGAAAACGCCCCCAAAATCGAGACGCATCACTCGACCAATCCACGGTAGAGGCGACCAGGACCTAGGATCGCTATAAGACTATACTTAGGCAGAAGGTTAGACTTTCATATGGAGATTCATGCAATTGGGACACTACGATTTTGAAACACTCTCGACTAATGTACAGGGTGTAAATAAAGTCCCTTTACAATTCAAATTTTGCTATGAAGTCTGTTCTCAATATATCTTAACCAGGTTTGTTGTTTTTCATCAGTTCAAGTATTTTTACCTCATTTAATACATCTGTGAGGGCCAAAACAATATATGATATCGATGATTCCCCTTTGCAATTTTAAAAAAATTCAAGACTTTATCGACACCCTATATTATAATACGTCAATACTCAAGATGAGAATGGGAGCTATATTGCCAACTAATTGCCGATATGATACCTGGCTTTCATTTTGCAATGTACGTGATGAATGGGGGGGGGGGGGGATATCCATAAAACATTTTGTGATTTCTATTTTTGTTTTATTGATTGACAAGAAAATAAAATCATAATAAAAATGTAAAATCCTCAATTCATGCAGGTGTAAAGCGAAGCTATAAGCACAGAATACAAGAGTAATGCTTTTACAATAGCAAACTGCAAAAATATCTTCAATGGCCGCCCCAGAAGTATGATTACCAATATGAAGGTAACTAATTTTGTTTGCCTACTTTACATCAAGTTGTGTAAAGGGACTGAAACCTATGGACAAGGGGTATATTCACTTGGCTACCAAAGACAGTACCCGAACTTGTAATAGAACTAAAATAAGGAAAATCGAAATAAAATCATGTCTTAACCCTAGTACACATACTACGGGAGTACCCCACAATGAAAGATATATAAGGTTCAGAGTCACCCTAAAAAACAGAATCCATAAGTTACGAAAATAAAGAATATTTATTAAACACTTGAACTTCTGTTGCCGGATAGGACGGAATTTTGTACATTTATCCGGGCGAGAGGAAAGTTGGGGAGAAGGATTAATCATATGGCGTACCACAGTCTTTCGCCTGTTTACCAGTTTGAGTATATGATTGAACCTAATAGTTTCAGTAATCTAAGACGCTTTGTATGAAAGTTATGTTCTCTGTAAAATATGTCCTGAATAACATGGACTCTGTTTTTTTAGTTATCCTTATACGGTTTAGTTATCCTTATACGGTTTTTGCACAAAAAACTCAGATAAAAACTTATCTTTTTGAAAGAATGACAAGTAAAATATTTCCAGTATTCGAATGTTAGTGAGCACGAAATGAAACTGCGAATGATTTCAGTAAATTGTTGCTCTTGTCGATGTCACTGGGTCAAAACTGCTTCAACTGATGGACCAATATTTTCAAATTTTCAGTAATTAAACAGGGTAGCGTTTCATAAAAAGATATCATTTTTATATATTATAATTTTAATAATAGTTTTAATATTATACAAAAGATTGAACAGAATCACTATATAACAAGGGAAATTGCCGACCAAAACGTTAGCAATAGCAATAGTTCTTTTATCTACTATTAAGCGGTATGGATAGACAATATTGAATACAATAAGGGGCGCTCCGGAAGTATTCGTACCAAGATGTCGCACAAACTGAACATAGTATGTGTACCAGGTAATGGTTGTTCAGGTTGTGCGTCATCTTGGTACGAATACTTGCGGAGCGCCCAGTAATGCATGAATAAAGAAAATTAATACATTAAACTTCAATAAGAACTCCCTCACCGCTAAGTAATATGCGCAGGTTAACCGAAATAACGAATTTTTAATTTTACCTTTACTAAGGTAGGGTAGCAAGTTCATGGCAAAGCGACAACTTGCATGCAATTAGAACTCTCTCGCCGCTAAATTGCGTGCATAGTTCCACCAAAATCCCAACTCTTCAATTTTACCTTGCTTAGGTAGTGAGTTCATGACAAATCGACAATTTGCGTGCATTATGAATGACCTCGTCCTGCGCGATCATAAATTGCCATACTGCGAGCAATGGTGAACAACATCGTCTCGTCTCAAAGTCTTTTTTATATATTTCAAGACTTCTTTGTTGTTTGTGAAGTCACAAAGTGATGCTGCAGTTTTGTTATCATGACAAAACGAGACTGTCCTCACATTCTCTCCTTCTCTTTCTTCTACATTCGTTTTTCCAAATTCTCTCGTTTTATCGGTGGTTAGGTAAATGTTGATTGCGATCTGTGATAATGAAAGCAGGGTTATGGTTTGGCATTTGTATTATAAACTCCCGGGAGTCGAGAATTAGAGTCTAATTTATGAATGGTCCTGAAGTCGGAGCCGGAATTGCATGCCTTCAATGAGGCGCCCCAGAAGTATGTGCACCAAGATGGCGCACAACCTGATAACTCTAACCTAGTACACATACTATGTTCAGTTGTGCGCCTATGTTCAGTTGTGTGTTCATTTACCTAAACTCAAAAATTATTAACTTTACTAAGCACTTTAAACAGTCTGTTAATGAAAACTTTCATGCGCCAAAGTTTTTGTTAACAAAAACGATTTTTTTGGAGTTTGGAGTAGAATTTTTTACAACCCCTAGTAGGTAGGCAAAACTTTTCCTAGCCCCGGGTCGGGAGTCTGAGTAGATTGTAAATTTTCCCCGTTCAACAAAACTATGATGTGAACAGTGACAAGATAGGTTAAGAACAAGACATGCCAAGCTGAAGGCACAATTATATTAATTTGGGTACTCCTGTAGTGTGCGAACCAAGACGGCGGACACCGGAACGTAGTATGTGTACCAGGTAAGGGTTTGGTCATAATTTTATTCCAATTTTTCTTATTTTAGTTCTGTTACGAGTTCGGGGACTAGCCAAGTGACTCCCATAGTATTTGTACTTGGAATTATGACCTTGAAACCCCCCCTTTTGAATTTTTTTGGAAACTGAAAAAGTCGCCGATAACGCATGCAAATGCCTTCTGCTAAAATCGCCGATGGTTTTCATCAGCGTGGCGTGTTATTTAGGCCGTAAACGCCTTTACATTGGTGTTTATTCTTTTTAAATCACAAATCCGCGATCTAAATTTTGTGATTGGAAAAGCGGCAATATAAAATATATACTAGAAAAGAAACCGTAAACAATATAAGTTTTGTTGAGTCCCCGACAGTCTAAAAACGATTTTCTAGGCATTGAAAATCGCAAAATTTCGTGTGCCCACGGCATACATTATGTTTGGTCGACGTTTAGAAACATACCGTCACTAAAATCGAAACACGGTTAATTGTGGGCAGAATTTGCCTTTTTATTCATTACTTTAAAATTGTGGTCGAAAATGTTCGTGTTAATAACATTATACAAGGTTGGAAACGCGAATTTTTCCCAGTTTGTGATGTTATATAAGATAATTAATCTAAAGTACATTTGATCAATTTTTAATGTACTGAAATAAAACTCCGTGAGATTTTTTCTGCAGATTTACGAATTTTTCAGAACGTTTCATCTTTAAAAATAATCGGAGTGGCAGCATTGCAATTGAGCGGAGTCAGTGTTACAAGTACATCTCAATTTCGAATTCGCAAAAAAGCAAAAATATGGATCAAAACAATATATAATCGGGCAGTTTACCACACACTTTTATGTCCGCAGAATGCCGTAGTGTTTTAGAGTGGCTCTTGTTTTGTCGACGACACTAAGTTTAAATTGGAGGCAATTGAATTAATAAAGCAACATATTCTGAATATGCCCGTACCGGTCATGGATTGATTACTTTGCACAAGAGAAAAAATCATTTTTCGTTGAAAAAGTCGCTCTTTTAACAAGTGGTGTAATAGGGCGACTAGTCGGCGTGGATTTCGAGGCGGTGAATTTGTATTTTCAATTTACCGGTATTTTCATTGTATGAAGTAAAATTGTACTGAACGGGATTTATATGAGATATCGAGATTTTAATACCGACGATAACGCAAGATTGCAGAAATATGTATCAAAATTAAATACATCAGGCAGCTTATCTCATATATTTAAGTTCACAGATCGCTGTGGTAATTTAGTGTAGGAATGATTTTATTTTGACGTGAGAAGTCGCAACCGCAAGTTACGTTTTGCCTAATTAAATTAATATATAAGGACATTTTAAAATCTCGTAGTCATGGATTGAATGTTTTACGCGACAGAAAATTCATTATACGCTGAAAAGGCAGCTCTATTAACAAGCGCGTCATCGTGGTGAGTGGTGACTGTTACAGACGGCACTGGGAATTTCTGATTCTGAAACCCCCTCTTTTGGAAATCCTGGATGCGCGCCTGCGGTACACATAGTAATAGTGCTCAGCGTGTCAGCGGTGTTTTATATTTACAAACTCTTGTCTGAATACCATTTTCAGTTCCATTTGAAAGTTCGAAACCTTGCTTTGAGCAAAATTGCATTGAAATTAAAAAAACTGAAATCGAAAATTTCATTCCCATTTCCCACACGATTTTATAATCATTTTTCAATTATTCAATTGTATTCCAATCTTCTTTATTTTAGTTCTATCACAAGTTCGGGGATTAGCCAAGTGACTCCCGTAGTATTTGCACCTGAAACTTGTTACACATACTACGTTCACAGATCGCTGTGGTAATATAGTGTAGGAATGATTTTATTTTGACGTGAGAAGTCGCAACCGCAAGTTACGTTTTGCCTAATTAAATTAATATATAAGGACATTTTAAAATCTCGTAGTCATGGATTGAATGTTTTAAGCGACAGAAAATTCATTATACGCTGAAAAGGCAGCTCTATTAACAAGCGCGTCATCGTGGTGAGTGGTGACTGTTACAGACGGCACTGGGAATTTCTGATTCTGAAACCCCCTCTTTTGGAAATCCTGGATGCGCGCCTGCGGTACACATAGTAATAGTGCTCAGCGTGTCAGCGGTGTTTTATATTTACAAACTCTTGTCTGAATACCATTTTCAGTTCCATTTGAAAGTTCGAAACCTTGCTTTGAGCAAAATTGCATTGAAATTAAAAAAAACTGAAATCGAAAATTTCATTCCCATTTCCCACACGATTTTATAATCATTTTTCAATTATTCAATTGTATTCCAATCTTCTTTATTTTAGTTCTATCACAAGTTCGGGGATTAGCCAAGTGACTCCCGTAGTATTTGCACCTGAAACTTGTTACACATACTACGTTCCGGTGTCTGCCATCTTGGTTCAGATACTACGGGAGTACCCAATTATGTGTCGGAAGTTGTTGAAGTCTGGTTTTTGGACGAATCAGACTCGACGGAACTTTACTCCGACCCCAAAGCTCTAATAATAAGTTTGACGGATAAGATATGAACATACCTTTGCAGCATTATCATTGATGATCTTCCTCTTAGCACGAAACGTGAAAACCACCAAGTTATTCCGTATTTTCTTTATTTTATCTGGAATTACTTCCGCACGGTCATGACCCCGGAAAAACTTTGTTAAACTATTTTCTTGCAATGCGGAAGCTACAATATGCGATCCTCCGGTGTGGGCAAAAACAACACATTTGATTCCTTCTTCGCAATAACCCATTGTAAGAAAATGTTTCTGTAATTCTTCGACGTCATTTGGTTTTGCAGTGTTAACTATAACCTTTCCTTTGTCCTGGATTTAGACAAAATATTATTTTACTCTAATGTAGGTATGTCGAATTTGGATTGGAATGCATTTAGTAAGTAAGTGTTTATTTTGATTTTCCAATACAACAAAACAAACAAATGTACGAAAAATTAGCTAATTGGGCAAAACCCAAAAAAAGATTTAACACGTGCTGATGCACGTGCCAACTTACCCCAAACAGCAACAACTCATTGAAGTAAATTTTAAAAAAAGAGACACGAAAAATAATTCGGGCTTAAATACTTGTGTGGATGTAGAGTTTTAACATGGAGTGTAATTTTTATGTCAGCGGTGTGGCACATCACGATAAGCGTTTGGGATACGCTCGCCACCACGCCTCTGATTACCCTCATGGGTTCGCAGGTTCGAATCCCATGTTTGGGTAGTTATGACCGAGAGGGTTGCTGGACTCCTTGCAACCGCAGGGTGGTTCACGTAACCACTGGTCGGTTACGGCATCCTCTACCACCAAGTCCACGCTTCCGGAAACAAATAACTGGCTAACTAATTTGATACCCGAAATGAACTGTTAACCAGGCGAGAGGCCGTGGTTCGCCATATGATTAGGCCGTCTTATCGGCTTTCATCTCCCCTGGTATAAATATAAACCCTATTCTATATTCTCAGAAGAGGAGAGCCTACAATATGACATTTGGCGATATGTAAGGAACTACTATTTTAGAATAAACGGAATAGTTTCGATTCAGAATTGTCTACTCAGTTTATCACACCCTGCAGCCCTTGATGAAGTAAGTGGTGGACATGAGATTTGAACCCAAGATTTGAAAAAAAAAGATGCCGTCGTCGACCCAATTAGACTCCAATATGGTAGGGTGTCCATAAATCCTGTCCCGCAAGCTCCTCTCTGGCATAGTGAGTGGAAGCGTGTTTCCAACTTTATCATAAATGCAGCTGGACCAATTTATTCATACAGTTGGATCTATATTTTCATTGAAAATACATCATTTTCCCTTTTGCCACAGTTCAGACAGCTCAAATTCAGAACACTGAATTCTGGGAGCTTCGGTTTTTTCGGAATAAAATCCATTCGTGCTTGTGTAATAATTCAACATTAAACCATCTGTAACAACTTAGATAAGCCAAAAGTGTCACAACATCACAGAAATCGTATCGGATAATTCAAAAAATTGACTTCTTTCACTACCTGATATTCTTGTCGTCTACTGTCATCCACGTTGTATATTTCAGACACAAGTTTCCAACAAGGATCTTCGAGGTCTTTGTTCCCAAGATTTCCAACCAAAATGATTTTAAATCCATTGCTACAGAGAGGACGGGAGATATCTCCTAAAACAAGAGGTCAAAGGTCAAATTTGAGGACACGACGATTGAATTAATGATCGCAATATTGCAGTATATTATACCAAGATTTCTCAAAACGAAGCGGTTTTCTGGGACCACGAGCAAACCTTCCAGTATGTAGTTCTGTTCAGTATGATCCTCAGCTTTTTCTTTTAAAGGGGTGTTTCCAAATTTAGGGGATGGTTTGTTATTAGTGATAAAACTATTTGTAACCTATAAAAATGTGTTATGTCTTTGACTGATAATCTTCACCGCATATGAACCGCATTCTGAGTATTGAAATACATTTATATTTACGTTCAGAATTTAGGTATTAAAGGGAAATCCCTATTGTAAAGTATCATTCCCGATTACTACGTTGATTTAAAATAGATTTACTGTGATTCGCTTAATTCTTTGACTGTTATGAGTTTAACCAAGGCCGAGATGATTTAGATTATTCATTGCCCGAGGTAATTAAATAACTAACGTGATACTTTTGTATCTGTTTCGGTATTTCTTGTATTAAACGCCTTTCGTGCTAGCCTGTTATATTAATTGTTGACATGCAAAATAAATTCCCCCTCGGTAGAAGGAAATTAATACTCGCGTGCGGGGAATAACACCGAGACGTCCATAACCACAAAACTTTGTATTTTATGCTGAATGACAGCTTAAATGCATTTAAAAAATGTTTACCATTTGTGCATTTGATATCTGTTTTATAAAGTTTTAATTTTGAAATAAATGTAAATTTTTTAAATTTTTTTTATGGTTTTAGGCCTGTATACACAGAATTACGCCAGCTCACCTCAGCCTGATTTTTTAAGATTTATTTTATTTCTTAGCGCTGGCCTGCGTTTTTGTTGGGCTGTAGTTTTCCGCGTTCGCACGATGGTTACCCGCGTTTTATGACCGAAGTTTGACATACGAAAATCCGTGTTCTGCACGTCCTGTTAGACGAAACCAGCCGAATGCAAACCTGGGAATCTCAAAACAACTTGCAGGTATGTATTAAACGAGCGGCTTGGTTTTGAACACGGAGTATACCAAAGTTTGTTCTGCTATATCAGGAGTGGGCAATTACTTTTCTGAGTAAGACACTTACAGATAATAAACTTGGTTACTGAGCCAAAAGCTCAAAACTCAATATGAAAACTACGAATAAAAAACAGTTTATTTACAAACGTTAGTCCAACAGCTGGGCTAGCGTTTGTATAATAATAAGAAGCACGATGTAACTATTGGGGTCGTTATGACAGTATTTTCATCGATTTTTCAACAGAAATATCCATAAAAACTACAATCAAAATTTGAGCAGACACAAGTGGGTTGTATGAAACACTCCGGGGGACCGGATCCGGCTTGCGGGCCGTAATTTGCCCACCCCTGTGCTATATTGTTATTGTTGTTTTATTGGGTTACAAACAAACGCTTATTTCCGCAAATAATGTACTGAACCATATCAAAGTTTCAGCGATCAAAAACAAGGAATCGCCAGAATGATGTTACTTTTATTTTATTTTTTCCAACTTTTCATGTTCCACGAGGCTTTATATTTCATCACAAAATATGCCGTTTTATTTTTATTTCATTTCAGATTACAAATTACTTAGCTTACCTAGACTTTCAGTTCTACTGCGACGTGATGGCTGAGTCCTGTAAAAATAACGTCTTGGAAGAATTAATCGAAATTGATTTTAGTTCTTCAAACATAATGGATGTTTCCCGACCCTTGACCACATTACGTCATCGTTTAATTGTTGCTGATTGGTCAATGTTACAAAAATAAAAGAGGAAATCGATGCCCGCGGAAGCATACTTAGTATAAGAGGACATAGATTATTCGACATCGACTTCCGACAAAAACAAAGAATTTCAAATCTACGGCTCGAATCCAGATCCAGTCTGAAATGATAACTCCGACCTCGACTCCAATATCAATAAAAAATTTCGTCACTACAGCCATATTCCTCAAACTAATACAATGTCAAAATATCATATGTCATTAATTTTGTATGTCGATTGCGTCAATAATCTCAAGCGGAATTGCCACAAATTTACGATTGTAGGCAAATGTACGGCTTCCTTCACTAAGCAATTATTTCCGTAACCAACGTGGACTGGTAACCAGACGAAAAGTCGTACTTCTCAATATAATTAAGAAATCTTATCGGCTTTTCCTAACCGAGTGATAAATATAAAAATGGTATCCGACCTGCGAGATGGTTGTCTGATCCGCGAAGTTTCTGCGGGCGAATGGTTCTTCGGCACTGTCTCCTCTTCAAGAACGACTCTTTCCGACGCTGTTGTGCCGTTAAGTTCCCATGAAGCAACTATTGCAAATTACAAAACAATTACAATATTTCGGTATTTATTAATGAAAATGGGGAAGTCCCTAATCGAGTCCCTGATAGAGTTCCAGTTTCAGCACCAAAATTAAATTTTTTGTGACTTTCAGCATTGAGAATTAAATGATGGGATACAATATACTGAACACAACTTTTATATTTTCAAATACAAAGCTTTCAAATTTGACTTTTTTTTTGTCGTAGATAACCCCTAAAAATTGGGGGCTACTGGAGGCCGCGTTCGCTATTTCATAAGCAATTATACCTGATTCACATGTAAAAACCAAGTTCTTTTCATCCATTGCACTCTGTATCGCTGAGCGAAGTTGCTGAGGAGTGAAACATAAATTGCCTAAAAATATATTTAGTAAATATAAGTCACAGATAAATTTAAGCTGTACTCAATTTGTCTTTTAGGATCGTAAATAATGGTATTACAAAATATTTCAATACATCCAAACGTTATATTTAAATTCAGTTAAAAGTTCGTATCGCACAGAAGACCCGAGACATGTACAGAATACAGATATCCACTGAGATGCGAAGAGCTTCTCCTTTTTGGAAGCACCGGCCTATTCCTATTCTACCATAGCCCGGGAAAAACCACGACTGGGTGGCCATGTAGCGGTTCTTTGGGGGGCACGAGTCGAGGTCCTCAAGTACCATTCGTGACGTTAATTAAAAGTAAATTGGTCGCGATATGATCAGTTATTTTGGCCAAAATGCATTTATTTTTTTGCTTTTGATTGCCTATGTGGTTCGTAAGATAACTGATGGGAACTAGTAAAAAAAGGGGTGTGGGGCGGGCACAAGATTGTTTTTACCTTGATATGACGTCCTATTCGAGTCAATACCAGACTGCTGAATTTGTGTGATGACTTCACTGATGACGTTTTGTAAGTCTGAATCGGACACAAGAGGTTGAGACAAGATTTCTGAAACAATGAATCATAATTGATAAGGGAGAATAGTGATTCACGTTAGTGAACTTCGCGTAAGTGGTTCCCAACATTTTATATCCCGTTGTCCCCTCCCGGAGGCCCCATGTTTATCATTTCAGTGGTAGTTATGGTGTTACTTTGAATGGTCGATTCGAAATCCGATTATGTTCAAATAAGTTAAGATCAAGTAATGAAACTAGGAAAAACGGGGAGATTTATAGTGAAATTAATATCAGATTTGCGATGACATGAGGAAAGCGGTCCATATGCCGGTGAAGATGATCAGTCAAACACGTAACACATTTTTATAAGTTACAAATAGTTTTATTACTAATAAGAAAATATTTAACCAAGCATAAATTTGGAAACACCTCCACTAAAATGAAAAGCTGGGGCAATGTATCAAAAAAGCTTGGGGACCATCGATTTAGGTAATCATTGCTTGTTATAAAAATTTCTAGGGGTCTCCTACCTTGCCTCGGGCTAAACACCTGAGACTGCAACACTTCTGAAGCGGTGGGTCGTCTTGTTGGATCCACTTGCAGCATCGATTCCAAGAGTTGTTTAGCTGAATCCGCATTTTGGATTTTTAGTCGAGTCAAATCGCGATTTTTGTTTCGTGAGATGTAATGATTCCAAGAAATGGACTTGTCACCGTATGGATGTTTGCCATGTGACCAGAAAAAGTATAAAATCAGGGCGAGAGAGAAAACGTCAGAAGCCTTTGACGGTGGGGATTCACCCAACAGGTCCTCTGGCGCCCTCCAACCATCTGCACTAACGTGAGAAGGCGGGACATTGGCAAGGTCATGTGCAGGTCGGATAGATTTACTCAATCCAAAATCAGTTATTTTAATAGCAGTGAATCTTTCAGTCAGGAGAAGGTTCGAAGGTTTAAGATCGCGGACAATGATATTGTGTGAATGCAAAAACTCAAGTCCCGTGGCGACCTGCTGCCCGTATGAAATGTACTTGCCAGATTCAAACGGTACATTATTTCTCACTTGTGACTTAATAAAATCTTGCATATTGATGTCACAAAGCTCCATTGCTATGAAAATTTTCTCGAATCCATTATGATTGAAGGTATCGGTTGAGTATCTTCGAATGATATTTTGGTGGTAAGGTACTGAGAAGTACTTTTGGGCTTCTCGCTTGTATTTTTCCTCGCTTGGTAAGATCTTACATGCGATCTTGATGTCACCGGTAACGTTGCTATGAATCACCCCGGGATATATTGATGAAGCAACACTGATTGGATTGTTTTCATCGAATGTGATGTCCGAACGAATTCCAAAGGTTCCTTATATAAAAAAAAATTGGTAAGTATAGAATAGGATTTTCTTGTTTATCACGGGGGCAAGGATCGTCTTAATGATATTATAGAGCATAAGTTCTCAAAATTGCTCCGTAAGGACTCCCAGGTCTCCGTGATAGAAAACTAGTGGCTTCACGAGCTATTCGTTTACTTATTAAAATACTGACTTGGCTAGTTTGTGAATGTCCACAGAATCAATAACAGAAATATTAAATTTTGGCAACAATATCTTCGAAATATGGAAACGAAGTGGTAATTTAAATATGAAATTATTTATAAGCAGGAGCGCAGCCAAGATTTTCAAAATGGGGTGATTTAAAATTGGAATAGGAAATCCCTCGCAACATTCTTCACTTGTTAAAAAAAGACTTTCTCAGCGGACAACGAGTTTTCTGCTGCCTAAAATATTTAATCCATGACCGATGCGAGCGAGCATTTAAAATGCCTTGTCATAATAATTTAATTGTGTTCATCATTTCTCGCCTTTGAGTCGAGATCACTAAAGTGAAAGACAAAATGACATAAATACGTGCTGAACTGCCAACTATAAATAGACTGGAATCGTATTTTTGCGGTCTTGGAATTCGTCGAATTTGATTTTTCATTCAGCACTCAAGATTATTTTAAATCCAGATAACGACATTACGAAAATCCCAAGGTCGGCGTTAAAATTTCAATGATTACAATTCACAATTGCGCAATTAATGACTGATGCGCGGGCCATTTTTAAAATACCTCGTTTATTGGCTTGATTGTGTTCAATGAAACCTAGGTTGCGTCGACTTACGACAATATAAAACTATTACGATTCAAAATCACCACGTCAATCCGCGGACATGAGAGACAATGAAACACAGTCAAGTAAACGCAGCTCTTGTGGACTATCGGACTACCGTATATCCCGAACAACGCGGTTATCATAATACATAACAAGCAATGTCGTCGTAATCAAGATAAGAGGTATATGGTGCAGGAAAGGCTTAGTTGCCGTTTCAGAAGTTAAATGTTCCCACATAGTAAAAGAGGAACTACTCTACACCGTTTTAAAATTACTTCTTTATCCTAGCAAACAAACGCTAAGAATCACTTGTACGCAGTTTTTTGGAAGAGTGCTCAATTCGGTGTCATGCATTCCCACTCAATAGTAGAGGAGACTCATGTATGAAAGAAGCAACTACTGAATACAAAAAGCCCTTAAAATGATATCATCTTATGGTCAGTGTTGGATTATTCATGTCAAAATAGGCATGTGCTTAGAGCGCAAAGGGAAAGGGGGCACCACACAAAATTCCCATCGACGATTTTTCAATGGTGCCTTAGTGTTTAATGAAACAATTAGAGTTGGTCGGATGACATGGACCTCAATATCGGCCCATTCTATCGATGTTTGTTAGTAGTTTCCAAAAATATCATGTTATTAATCGTAACTTGGCCCTCAATTAGTATGATTACTGAAACATACTCACATAACATAGAACACTGCTTATTGTGATGCATCTCGCCAGTAAAATACTAATTTATCGAACTTTCTACAATCGCTATTTAATCGCGTGATTATAAATTCAATACTGACCTTTCGGTAGAGCAGAATTATCCGGAGCTGCTGTTCCACGCATCATGGTACATGCAAAAGAAAATAAAACCAATTGGAAAAAAGATACAGCCTAGCTGTACGCAAAATATTGCAAACGTTTCGGACAATTACACAGGCACTTAATTAGGTACTCCCGTAATGTTTATATCAGGTTAGGCTTAGGCCATAATTTTATTCCAATTTTCACTTATTTTAGTTCTATTACGAATTCGGGGACTGTCTGTGTAAGCCAAGTGAATATACCCCCTGTCCATAGGTTTCAGTCCCTTTACACAACTTGATGTAAAATAGGCGAACAAAATTATATTGGTACATTGGTACTCCATATTGGTACACACACTTTTGGAGCGCCCTAAATTGTACCAATAGGCAAATAAGATAGATAGGACTCTGAAGTCGGAGTCTCGGATGAAGTTTGAAATGTTCCAATTTATATATAGGAATTAAAGCCATATACATATTTTGCAATTTCAACGAGTCGGAGTCGCATTTTCAAATCGAAGTCCAAATTTTGTTGGAAACTAATAAAAGAGCATTTTTAATAGCCAATAAAGAAGGATTGTATACGCAAAAAAAATATGTTGGAAATTTTCGTAGTTGAGACCTGGCATCGGGATCGAAAATTTTGTCGACTACCAGATAGTGCATTTTCCCCTAAACAAGTACCTAATAGAAAGCTCGAGTAAAAAAGCATTTGGACAACAAAAACAAGTCGTTTTTCATTGTAGAGATAAGGCTGAACAAGAACCCCGCATTGAATGTGTTTTCCCCACTCGAAGTATAGGTAGTTAGTTTAATAAAAAAAAACTCTTTTAAAAATTACACACAAGTAGTCATATAGAAGTCTTATTGTAAATATTGTAATATAAAAAATCATATTGTGCAGTTGAGCTATAGAAGCATTATTATATGTATAACTTAATGTACTGTTACTTTACTGAAGTCAAGCCCTTGGCGCTTTCATCATTTTGAAAATAAAATAATAGGGGAACACTTTTATGCGGCAGACTGATCAATGTTAGATCACGACTTTTAATTCACTTTGCGTAAATACCGACAATATAGTGTCAGAACGAGTATTTATTTTTTTTGTATTACCGAGCTTAAACCGTGCCTATCGTATGTTTAATGCTCACAGATCATACACGAAACGCCGAAATGCTAAATAGATGATTATCGACGATTTAAAGGCAGACAATATCGCCGCAGGCTAATTAGTGAATAGCTGAATCTAAGAAGAGCCCGGTATTATAATTTTTACAAAATATTAAAATTAACGGGCACAACTTTATTTCGACTCTGGACGGGACATTTCCATTTAAATAAGCACCTCCATAAAATAAAATATCATAGTACTGGCCTTTGCAAATTTTGTGATGTTTTCAGAGACTGTGGAACATTTTCTAATGAACTACCGTGCGCACAGTCATGGAGGACAAATACTTAGGCTGAAATGTTGATAATAAATGAAGCACAACCGGTGTTAGCAAAACGATGTAATTTGCCGACGTTTCGAATTTCTATACAGAAAAACTTCATCAGGGCATGATATGGAAAGGACACAAGTGGATATATATATGCCCTTCATCATGCCCTGATGAAGTTTTTCTGTATAGAAATTCGAAACGTCGGCAAATTACATCGTTTTGCTAACACCGGTTGTGCTTCATTTATTATCAACATGAGTTTACCTGGTGGCAATCATGCACTACTTAGGCTGAAATGTCGCGATTATGGCATTGATTTTTAATTCAAGGCTATTATGAGTAACCCGCGCATTTTCCATTCACTGCTTGTTGTTGTATAGCCCACCAAAATAGTATTAATAGTCATAGTGAAAGTTGGGTTTAAATTGTCTTTCGCAAAAGATATAAATTGTTAAAAGCGCCATATGCCTTCGTACTACACATACACAAAATACTAAGTGCTTGTGGTTAACTTAATATATTCAATATAATGTTTGACTGTCTCCAATGGTGATTTGTCGTGTACAAATTTGCACGTCTGTTAAAGATTGGATCGTTTGTTGGAAATGGTTTCGTACAAATAATGAATTTTACTTGAGTTTCAAGCCAACTGTTTTTACCAATATTTAAAGGAAAGCAGTGCTCAAATGTATGGAGAAGAGTTGCAAAACAAAGTAGTATTCAATTCGAAATTTTATTTTAATAAATTAATTTGGAAATATAATGAAAAAGCACTAACCTTGTTGAACGATCGTCGTCTTGTTCACAACTTTAGGTATATTCATATCTCCAATGATAGTTGTGCCATCGAAGGTTCCGCCTGATACAAGTGTAACTTTCTCTGAAAGTCAATATACGAGAATTTGTGAATTAAAATAATGTTTCAATACGCTAAAATAAGAGGGTCTTATGATGTCATACAGCATGGGTGTGTAACCTTTTATACAAGGGGGACAGATGTAAGTGAAATGCAGGACGCATCTTTATTTATCATGGGTTGCACGTACAAAAAATTTTGGTTATTGATCTGATGACATGCATTGTTCACCTCGCACAAGCTAGCTGTTAGGTTAGGCCGCAGGGGTTCTCATCCTTTTTTCTGTTAAGTACCCCCCGAGTCACGAAACAATCGACGCAAACCCCCAGTAATCAGACACCAAACAAAGTTGTGATATATTGACTGACAATTTGCTGCAACGGCAATTTATTGACCAACTGCTGTAACTAAATTGAATCTTCGTGTTAATGATTTTGCCCTTCTCCTCCACCTAACTAATGAATAGTTGAAATCTCTCTTAAGTTTCCATTAGCATATCAATTTCTGCAATGCTCGCAGCACATTGTCTTTTGAGATTTCACAGTTTGGCTGGAAAGTCGTGCATTTCACATTGTTGCGTCACAATCACAACAACGCTAGATCAGGGAAAACCTACGCTGGGTTTCAATTGGCACGCATTTTTATTTGGTGTTTACTTAGTTTAAAACTAAACTAAAAAATTCGACTGTCATCCAAGTACCCCTGGAAATCATTTCGTGAACCCCTGGGTGTTCGCGAACCCCAGGTTGAGAACCCCTTGGCTAGGGTATTGTAACGTCATTAGAATAGATGTTAAATTGGACTCAGGTCTAGGCTTAGCAACGCAAAGGGATTCGAATTACTCGCATCTACCAGGTTAAACTAAATTAAAAACTCGTTTCGCGGACCGCACATGATTTAAAATTGACACATCTCCGCGGGCCGCACATTGTTCTTAACACTTCTGGCATACAGCCATACATACAAAAATCGTTTTCGGTTCTAACATTCAAAGTAGAAAACGACTATGTATATTTTCTGAAAAATTCTCTCAAGGCGAGCTACTGAAGATTACAAAAAATCATATAAAGTAAAATTTCGTGTCAGTAAATCCAATTGAATCCAGACTTGAAACAGTTTCTTCAATAATTTATTTCCTTTTTCCTATAACGGGGTTTTCAGAATCCTTTCACTTCGAGCAAGGTTGTATTACTGACACGTGTTAAGTGAAGGGTTAATATTTAGGATAACAGGAACCAATGTTTATTTCTTCCTCATCGAAATCGTGGGCGTGGGATTTGAAGCTTAGATCTTCAACCTGTGATTCCAACATAGTTAAATCCAACTCTTAAACTATTGAGCCATCGTGGCCACTTAACAAGCTTCCTACCTGGAGAGCCGACGTGAGGTGGTTCTTCTTGGACTTCTCCGCCCGCGACAGGCTCTTCATCTATAAGACAAAGCATCACAATATTTTTCACTTAGTTTATTTTAGATATTTCGAAGGAGATGTGATATCTTGGGCTGCGCATTTCTGAATCCAAACGGTTCAAAGTATACTCCGTATGTATCTATGTTTGTGCCAATGTAGTCTGTGCACTACACTCCTTTACAATCTATAGCAGTGGTTCCCAAACTTTTTCCTACCCGTCTTCAAAAAATCTAGCTAACAATAAGTCACAAATAAGAGATAGTAAGTCGAAAGTATGTTTTATTCTATAAACACGTTGGAAATACGTTGAAGGAACGTAAATATTCAAAATAAAGAGAGCAAGATCAAATCTAACAAATATTTTAATTTTTTAACTTCACGCCTCGTCAAATAAATTGTCTACGCCCTTCTTGTGGGGCAATTTTTGAAATGCCATTCCTACTCGACTCCAATGAAAACATGTCAAACTCCAAATCCACAGCCATATACACCGGCACATATATAAGTACTCCCGTATAGTGTGTGTACCAGGTTGGGGTTGGGCCATAATTTTATTCCGATTTTTCTTATTTAAGTTTTATTACGAGTTCGGGAACTGTCTGTTATAGCCAAGTGAATATACACTCCTTTTACACAACTTGATGTAAAGTAGGCAAACAAAATTAGTTACCGCCATATTGATACACATACTTCTGGAGCGCCCCAATATGTATACTTGTCTAGTTAGTATTGAAAAAAGCAACTCAGTACCTGAATCCATTGTTTCACTATGTAATAGTCTCTGCTCAAAACTTCTACCTACGGGAAACAGAAAACTTATTAAGTGACTTGCATATCCGAACCATTAAAATAAACAACAAAATTATCAACTGCCTTTTATCTGAAAAAATGAATAAAATTTAAGCTAATATTGAAACCGAAAATTTAACAAACAGCTATTTACAAAGTAAATTGTAACTTTTACAAAGTTATTCGAAGATATATACGTTATATTCATGATCTCATCTAACTTTAAAATTTTCTGCTTTCTTAGCGACCAGCCCTCTGTTTAAAAATGAATTTTGTAAAATCTAGCGACCCAATTATATGCTCAAATACTAGGAGGCGGTATGTATTGCGTATGCCTAACTTGGTCACAAATTTACCTGACTAATGTGAAACGAACATTTTTACATGAAATTTATTTGCTCAAAAATTAACCCAGAGTGAGAAAGCTGCGCTCATTTGCCATAAGCAAGTTTTTGAAATTGTGACGTGGCTTTAATTAAGCAGAACAACCGCTGCCAAGTTTTTACGGTGTGATACTTCCCACACCTTCAATTGCTATTGCGCCACACTTCGGAACAAATATCGAATAGACTAAGAAATAAAAGCAGTAACTTTTAGTTTTTTGTTAATGAAACAAGCTACCCATAATTTTTGGTACTCCCGTATTATGTGTACCAGGTTAGGGTTAGGCCATAATTTGATTCTGATTTTCCCCATTTTAGTTCTATTATGAGTTCGGAGAGTGTCTGTGTTAGCCAGGTGAATACCCCCCTGCCCATAGGTTTCAGCCCCTTTACACAACTTGATGTAAAATAGGAGAACAAAATTAGTTACCTCCATATTGGTACACATACTTCCGGAGTGCCAAATTTTAAGGCGACCACATTTTGGGTCGCGACCCATGGACTGGGAAACGCTGTTCTAACGTGCCCTAAGCAATATAAGATAAACATAATACGAGAAAACAAATCGACGGGTTGCAGAATGATAGCCGCATCTGTCTTTATTTAATATTCTGTTAACAATAAACACATGGCAGCTGGCAATATTCGTTTTCAAGAAACCTCAAGTACATTCAGATTATTTCATTCTCAAATTACTTTCAATTTCGAGTTCTGCTTTTGGAATGAATAACCTAATCATTTACAATTTGATTCAATAATCTTGTCGCAGTTGCGGTAATTGGAACAAAATAGCTGTTTCGAGATCAAACATACTGGCAAACCAAAATTACTTATTTCAATAACAAATTTGGAATGAATTTACGAGACTGATAAAACTGACTGAAACTACTGATTTAAACCCCAACTGATAGTTATCTAATCATTTATATAGCATTAATGGCAACTGAATATCTGTCTGTTCTGCAAATGAAGATAACCTAATTGTAAGAAGGAATATTTTACTAGCGCTCGACCTGTGTTTGCAAGTACGATAAAATAAAGGGAACTTTTGTACAAAGCCCCGACCAACGCTCAAGATTAGAAAATTAGTAAATATTCAGTCCGGGTTATGAACTTCACATTTTTGCATTAGTGGTGGTTTTGTACAAAAGATTCAAATATAGTTTTTTCGCTGACACTTTCATTAAAAAAATATACATGACATTACTTGATTCTAAATCACTAACGACTATTATTCATTACTTTGTTGCATGAATGCTCGATTTCCAACAGCGAACTTTAATTCTAAAATCTGACAAAGCATAACTAGAAATATATATAAGGTGTCCATAAAGTCTTAAAAAATTGTAAATTTGCAACTGGCCATCACATATGTATTAAATGAAGTAAAAATACTCAAACAATTACTGATTAAAAAACAACAAACCTGATTAAGATACATTGATAACTAACTTCATAACAAAGTTGAAATTGTAAAGAGATTTTATGAACACCCTGTACAGTTGATTGCAAAGCACAAATACGAATCTATTTTCCAAGTCTAACCAGCTTAGAGCTGTTAATTCAGTTAATTACAGAGCATAAATGCGTTTAAAAGCTAAACAATAACAGCTTCAGAGAATGGGCGTCGCAATGCCAGGCTAATCCTACCTTCTTATCTCTCTCGAATCAATTTTATGACGTCAATTGCCAAGTACATGGGAATTACCCAAAAACTAGTTTGGTGATGGCGGAGATGTTTTGTAAGATTCAACAACAACGATACAGAAACCAACCAGTAAAATTGGTAGATACTGTATATGAAATTTGTTTACTTGCAAACGACAATTTAAGACGATATATATATCGGAGACTTGATGGCGCTCCAGAAGTGTGTGTACCAATATGGAGGGAACTAATTTTGTGTGCCTACTTTACATCAAGTTGTGTAAAGCGAATGAAACCTATGGCAAGGGGTATATTCACTTGGCTAACACAGGTAGTCCCCAAACTCGTAATAGAACTAAAATAGGAAAGATAGGAATAAAATTATGACCCTAACCTGGTGAACACACTATGAAAGTACCGACTTGATTACATATCAATATTTTCGAGTTGAACATTGTACAAACAAACAGAAGAAATTGGTAAGAATACATCTGATAATTTGACCACAATTAACAATGGGCCGACTGTTATCAAATCATCGTAATAGCAAGACCATTATTGCTAAGTTCAGCTGCAGATGACGTCAAACAAACGTCAGATAATATAAACACGTTCTTCAACTTATTTTGTGAATGGAACACAATTCGGAAAATGTAACTTATAAAATACAACATCCTATAAATTCCATTCAGAAAAAAAAATGTTTGAGTGGTGAGGAGGTAAACCTCAAGTACTCTATAGACCTAATGGGCAAACTACGGCCCGCGGGCCAAATCCGGCCCGTTCGTTAATTCAAGCCGACCGGCCTGATGATGCCACAACCAAACTAAAATCAAATATTGATGTTTTAGCTCAAAATTAGCTCAAGAAATTTGTTGAGATTGCAATTAAATTTTGTTTTAGCACGAGGCTTATCGTTTCCCAATTTTGCTTTTGTAACACTGTTAATATTGTTCATAAAATGTGAGTTTTTATGCCACACTCAAATGGCCCGCCAGTCAGGGTGGACAAAACTTGTGGCCCCTGGTCCAAAAACTTTGCCTACCCCTGCATAGACCTATAGTAAGTAGTACATAATGTTTTTTCTCATCGTAGACAAGCGTGAGAGATACTTAATGCTTGAACTATAGCCAGGGCTCGATGTGAATCCCAAAATAAGGACATCAGGGAAACATAATAAATAATACGATAACAAAGAATGAAATGTAATAAACAAAATGTATTCTTGCCAGTGCGACCCGTGTCCAATCAAACTTGGCACAAGAAAGGATTTACTAGAAACTATCTGTTTCATCTCACTCCTAAGTTGAATTTTGATTCAACCTACACAAACTGATAATTGCTGGTGAACTATTGTTTTGTCATTGTGGTAATTTGCTGCTATGACGTCATGAATGCGCGCGGCAATCAATTTGATTCTAATATCATTTCTAGTAAAAATTCCCGACCGGTCTAAGTACCTCTACTTTTAAAATAAACAAAATAAGGACACATGTATAGATACTTTCTTAGAAATAAGGACAAAAATAATTATGAAAACGAATGCCCTCAAAAAAGGGACAAATCTTGGAAATGAAGACGTTATGGCATCCCCGACTATAGCGTAAAATCTACCTGAAGCTGGTACTATAGCGTGAGGTCTACCTTGTCATTTTCAATCCTCAAGGGATATCGCTTATTTCTATATTCGTAATTTAACGATTATGTGAACGGTAGTGCCTTATAGCACACTAACACATACGCCAAAGTAGCATAATATTGTTTCATAGTCAGTGATTTTGTCTCTCTGAGTAATGCCAACCTCATGGGTGAGTTATCACAATATAAACGTGTGATACATCACTTCCTAAAGGCATTTAAAAATAATGTAAAATGGTTGAAAATACTCAAAATGCAAGTTATTTTCCCCTAATTCGTCACCGATGTGGGACGAATGTGCTATGTGTGGTTTCTAAATAGATAAATCCTATGACTTCCTTATATGACGCTATATATGTGGCTGTATATATATTATAGTATTGTGTATACACAATCATGTGATAGGTATACGTTCAGTTCAGTAACGTTCAGTAAATTATATCGAGCCTTACATGGCTAGAGAATAAATCCATTGTTGAGGTACGAATTATCGTAGCCCTGGACTTGGACGAACCAAATGGCTGAAGTTCAACAAACGCGATTGAGGACTCTTATTGTTTTGCGCCTTTTAATTAATTTTCATCCCAATTAAAATGCCAACAACACTATTCCAAAAGATGGGTGTCTCAAAAATGTTGTGTCCCACTTGTCCAACATCCATGTCGGCCTTAGATAGCGCGAGGTCCTATAAGAAATAAGAATGAGATTACACACCGAATACCGATTGGTGTTCGACTAGACTTGTGTAACACTAGTATCCTTCTTTATATAATGCACTGATGAAATTTTTCTCAATTGAAATTTGAAACGTCGTCAAATTACATCGTTTTTCTAACACCAGTTATGCTTTATTTATCCTGGAAGTTATTCAAGTCTATACGATCAGAAAAACAGCTCTGAAGTAGCGGTGACAGACGCATTCTTACCTGAAGACGCATTTGGTTTCAATAATAATCACTCGAATGGCTGCAATACATTTTGATATTAAAGCTTTTTTTGGCGATTAAAAAAGTATTTGTGGTCTTACTTTATGCTAACAACGGCCACTAATAATATCCATAGCTGAATGCAGATTGTCTAAAACAGTGGTTCTCAAATTTTTTATGCCACGCCCCCTTTCTAGAAGTCTCGCGCCCCACCTCAAAAATAACTAGCTAACAATAAACTACAAATAACAGATAGTGAGGCGGAAGTATGTTTTATTCGAAAAACACGCTGAAATTTCGCGGATGGAACGTAAATAATGAAATAAATGTTAAATGTTTAAATACAGTTTTGAAATGTAAATATCCAAAATAAGGCAAGCAAGATCGGATCTAACAAATTTTTTTATTTTTAAATTGCTCCGCGCCTCCTCAAAAATTGTCTACGCCCCCGTTGTGGGGGCAACCCATCGTTTGAGAAACACTGGTCTAAACAAATTCCAAC